ATAAGGTTTTGAGTGGTTTCTGCACTCATCCCAAATTTTTCGTCCGGTGAAGCTGTAAAAGCTAACTACGGCCAATAGCATTAGATAGTTCGAACAAATCATTTGGTTTACAACAGTAAGTGTTCAAATGTAACCAAACCAAATTATATTTAATGATATGTAAACCAAATGATTTTTTGAGTCAAATAATCTTCAGAAATGAAACTGCCGCTAGATTATAACAATCAAGATGGGCATAAAAATAATAATATGACTATATTCCTGCGCTTCCGTTATTTTTTTAAAATTAAATTACGATCTTGGCAGTAATGTGTCAATATAGAACCCTAAAATGTATAAGCTTTTAATTTCCTTAACATTAATTTGGTTACAGATTATTTTATTATCTTCCTTTAATTAATTATTATTGTTATTGTTATTTTCGCACGAGTCTTGCAAATATTTATGTAATAACGAAGTATAAACAGAATTGTATTAGTAAGCAGATTGTTGATTAGTATTTAAAATGTTTGCTCTGAAATCAGATTAAATCAAAAGTCGGTTACAAAGAGCAAACTTTAGTGTGTGTAACAATAAATGTAGAACAATAAATTTGGAAAAATATTTGATGGCTACCGCCCGCCATATTGAATTTTCATTAGTCATTTATCTTGTTTGATAACTCGTAAATATACATGTGTAATTCGTACCTAACTTTCCAGCCAAACATGATGCAATAATAATATCAATATCAAGTCAGTTCTCATTTACAAAAGTTTAAAGTACAAAAGAATATATGTACTAAGCAGTGAGTACTCATTAACTAATAAAACAAACAGGTGAACTGCAGACAGGCACAGATTGCATTATTGGTTGCGGCGAAACGAAATCATGGCCGCCATTTCGCGCCTTTTTTGCAACCCACACAATACACAATACGAGCTCGAGTGGACGAACGCCTGCTACTAATTAGAAATGCTAACATACCTTCACTACTATTATTCTAGGTGTGGTAGACAGAGGCATAGTTAATTGTCGCATAAAATGCAACACTCAACATACACGTAATGCCAACTTGGCATTCTAGATTTTTGAAACTTTTTGTCCAAATCTACTAGGCGCGGTAGGCTCTTGAATAATTTTGTTATATAAAGAATGTACTTGTCCAAAAGAGGTAATTAGGAGTTACAACCACAAGTACATTGAACTGTATGATATCACAATACGATATACCTCCGAGGCTGTCTTTAAAATCTTCTTAAAAGTGTTTGCTCAGGCTTCCATTTGTATTTCTGGGAAAACTATGACAAAACTACTTGTGTGATGTAATACCTGAACTATTCACTATTTACAGAGTGATTGCGTTTAAATACTAGACTAAGAACTAGAGGTTATACGAAGTGACCTTGTAAAATCGATATGGTGTTAATTTCAGACTATTTAGGCAAGGTCTAAATTAACATTAAGGTAAAATTATGTGTAAATTAGTTCTATTTACATTATTATTTATTATTTATCAATCCTTTTTTTCCTAATAGACTTGACAACTTTGGTGATATACTGCTTTGGTACAATATCTCATCTTCTACGGGTTAAAGGTTCATACCATACTTGTGACTGTATTGCGTTGTGTCTTTTCTATGTATAGAGCATATACATAAAACAGTGTAAAGTAAGTTTATAAAAAGCTTTCCGTCATCCCGAATGTCAAATAGATTTTTTTTTTAAATAAAAAAATGGTAGATAGACGATGATAGCACTGATGGCTTAATAATACATGATGATAATATGAGAATAAATTCACTCTGGTTAGTTAATGACGACGATGTTACAGAGACAGTAGAGGTGCGGTAAAATTAATCAATATTGTAGCAAATATATTGATTATGGGAGAGTTTCTGAGTGTTAACTATGCAAAATATAGGTACTTTTAAAAGATGAGATTGATACGACAGCGATATAACAAATGTATTTAAATACAGTATAAATAGGAATGTGGCAAAAAATATAATTTAAAACAATATAAAATGTATCAAGGAGCTACAAGAATAATTAGAAACGATAAAAATGTTAAAAATGTAGAGAATCGAAACTATACTGACAATGGATAGGTAATCGAGCGATTACAGTAATTTTGTCTGGTACAGCAGAGCGAACCGCGGAGTCGATGACCTGACTCAATAACTCATGACCAGTAGGTATTTTACGTTAGCGAATCCACTGGCAGGCACTACACTCTCTACAGTAGACCTAACAACGCTAATGTTTTATTAGAAAATACTATTTTATTCATTACACAGACACGTTTAGAATTGTAAAAAGTCTAGCGTTCAGTTCTTGCCTGCCAGTAATTAATTATTCAATTGTTAAATCGTGCTAATTAACGAATTGTAGATAGAGTTGAATTTTGGCGGGAAGTTTCAGTGAAAGTAATAGATACCTTTTTATTTTTTTAAGAATGTGATGCTACCGCTGAGGAAGTAATCACTACGTTTTTAAACGAGTTACATTGAATAATAGTATTAGTAAACTATATGTACAAGGTTAGTTGAAAAGGCACGTGTCAGGTTGCACGTACAATTGTTTTAACAATTTGAAATATTTATCGAAATCAAAAACCAGTGATATTATTCACGAACTGTATAAATCTACCAAGAAATAAAGTGAAAAATTGTTAATATTTTTAGAAACCTTTCTACAAACCATGCGTTTATTATTACCATTAACCATATTTATAGTACACTAAACGTGTACTACGAAAAGTTCGATGTTTTTTGCAGTATTTCAGTTTTGATTTATTTTTCTCGGTTCACTCACTCACTAGTCAGTTTCCTGAGTACCTATTCTACATGTTATTGTTACCCTGTATGTAATTAGAAATTACAATAACGCATATTTTACAAAATATTTATTGTAATAATTAGCAAATACTTAATTTGAATAAAATAAATTCTCCTATTCTTGGTGACACCAGAAACTTATTGCAAATTTGCTAAGATGAGCTAACTGACCTGAACTCATGCACATTTTGTCATCCTCCACTGGTGCCGCTGCAACGTAAACCGTTAGCGCAGATATGTGCACCACTCCATTAGCATGCTTAAAAAATACTCTAAAATAAAGCATTTAATTCCAAAACAGATCCTACTCTGTAAAACTTTTAATGGAAGTCTGGCTAGAACGTGGCCACTTTCATTCGTGTTCAGAGAAACCCAGGAACAGTCTCTACAAACGTCTATTGTATATTATTTATTGTTGGAAGATTTGTTATAGATATCAAAGTTCTTCAAATCCCAGGGAAGAATCGAACTCCGAATATTTTATTATTTCAACACCCCATCGAAATTATTTTTCTTGTAGAGCAAGTTTAACGCTATATGGTGCTATATGATTTCACTAAAATCAATCGCGATTTTAGCTGTCTTCATACACTTTCACAATAGTTCATCGTATATAGAAACAACCTAAAAATGGCGGGAAATTAAAACTCAATTTATTCGTGTAAACTAATGATTCTGAAGACCGGTCTAATGATTTGGTCGATTTAATATGCCTTGACAATTATAATACTAATAAATAAACCAAACGAGTACTTTATTAAAAGAGAATGTTTTCTATATTATATTAAACGTAACATGGTTAAGCAAACGAAACGTTTGGAAAAGAACTTTCTATATTCAGTAAAAGTCATGCTTTTCTTAGCTTGTGTGCAGTTGCATTAAGGCCATATTTATAAACTTAAAATTAGCCATGAATCCTCTGTACTTTTTCCCCATCCATAATGTTTTATAAGTATTTTATAATACTTCAAATTTATAACATATTTTTAATTACCCGTTAATAGAGTAAATACGTTGGTCTCTACATACCATAAGTTGTCTGTATCATTAATTTTTCTTATTCTCTACTGTAAAACGAGAGGTAATTTATAATTAAAAAATATTTAGTCCACATAATACACACAATATCTAGTCTAGTGTGTCTTGGTTATTTGAAATGTTAACCATATAGAATTGTTCGAAGAACTCAACGCAAGTATCTAAGATTTCAGAGATTTGAAACAATTGTGAGAGTCGTTCAATAGATTTTATTGTCTGTCCGACATTTTACTTTCCTGGCATTTAGCATTCCAATTTAATCTTTGTTTAATTATCCATAACATAAATATATTGGCATCTAAAACAAACATCACAGTGTTCAAACTAAAACCACAATCCCGTAGGAGATATTTTTATTTTGATATTTATTTGTTTCTTCTTTCTCAGATATTTATTTAATAAAACATTTTATTTTTTTCTTCTAAACAATGAAGACTGTCCATAACGAATAATTAATATATAGATAGATAAACAGCTAACACCAAAATAGGTTTCTAAAACCTTTAGCGTTGATCTATAAATCTATTTTTGTATCTTCTTCCGGACTTCTACAACGAAAATACAACAATGCGTGTTTACTTTATACGCAACGAAATAAATACACGCTGTTGTTCATGTACACCATTAAAATATCCAATAGGCCACTGCCGGACGCTACTCAGCAGTTTCAATTGATGGTATTTAGGGCATCAGAGCAGCGGCTACTCATTCCGATCATAAGAATCTATTTTTTAACCTGCTAATTGGTAATTACTAGTATCTTTTTGTGTTACAATGATAAATAAATGTGCAACGTGTTCTTTTTGTACTTAAATATACCTTCTACGATTTTATGAAACCCGCATTTTTGTTAAATACTGAACGAATATAGATTATAGAAAATTCACGCAGATATCTCAAAATTTTACATTCGTATACTCAGTAGAAATGGTAAATACGTATAAGTAGGTATATATGGATGAAGAAAAAAACACTATTTCCACGCGGGAAAACTATGCCTAGTGCGGAAAGGTGGAACGCAGAGAACTCCCTCGCTGCAAGCGTCCGAAAATACGTTCACCACTAAATATAGACGTCGTAGGAGAAGGTAGCGTCATCATCGGATTATCAGCTATTATCGGGTGTTAATTATAATGCACTTACCAGAATCGTGCGCTCGCATGCTAGAGTTGGCGGATGCGTGTTTATTTCACTGAAATTATTTATGTTCGCGTCGCCGCTCGCGTGCGCAGATCCCGGTCGTGTGGCGCCCGCCCGGGCGGTGTGCCGACTGAGGCGACCGAGCTGCGCGCGCGCACGCTTACTAACACAATTCCAATATTTTTGACACTGTGTCTCATAGCCGATACTTCGCTTGCATATTTACAGAACAGAACAGCACTGTGTTTGTAAATGAAAAACGGTAGACACACAATTGGAGCTATTGAAGCATTGAGTCAACGCCTGCTCGCTCTACATCTTCGCTATTCGGTAACTGGCTTTGTTGGTTAAGTGAAGGTCCATTTGATTCTTCATGAGCGATGTATAATTAATATTTTTTTGCAACTGGATACGCTTGCGATCGTTTAACTGGCTGTGAACGAACTATTTGGTGGGAAAAAGGGGATGAATAAGATAACATTGATGAGTGTAACTTCATTATAAGATAGTAAAACATAAATCTGGCCTATCTTGAACTTTTGCAACGATAACGGATCAAACCTTTATGTGCTAACAATGTGTTCACTGACATCTTGTACCTTGTATTTCACTGATAGAACATAAATATGAATTGTGTCTAAGGATAGAAGGTCTCTACTCGGTCAACTACTACCCACTGGAGGATTATAGACCGAAATTCATATCATATATATTATAAAAGGTATATAGGCGGAAGTCAGTGATAAACTATAATGAAACTAGATATATTTCCCGAAGGAGCACAGTGGAAAACAGGATTTTTTTTACAAAGAGAATATCATATATTTTTTCATATTTCCACTTTGTTTCTTGGTTAATATGGATCAGTTTCGTAAGTATTCTACTTGACTTTCCGGTTAATACACCCTTTACTAAATCTGCATTCATATAAATAAGCCCATTTGATTGAAAAACAATTCTTTTGAAAATATGAGTTCTATTAAGTTGACCATAGTTCTCATTTTAGGCCGTCATCAAAATACAATTAATAAAACAACTGATTCGGTGTTCGGAATGTATCTATTCTAAAAAATAACTAAACAAATTAACTACTTAATACGAAAGATTTACTAAATTGTCAATAAATAACTAAATAAAAGACAGAAAGAACAAAACAAATGTTTCTGCAACTTTGGTGGTATTGCTTCGAAATGATACACAAACAAACATTCAATATGTAACGGAGAAACGAATATTAATATAAAAGTATACATATTGTCTCACTTTATATCATTCTGTATCTATACAACTTACAAATTTATAATTTTATACAATGCAAAGTGAATATTTTCACAATACCAATAGCTTACGTCTAATTAAGTGACAACTAATAATATCATGTATACAAAGCTAATATTCCATTTTAGGAATCACGTTTATACATTTATCAATTGTAACAAAAGCAAATAATATTATAATGCAACCAACCAACTTATATTTAAGATAATTCAGACCCATCATCTCAGTTTGTATACGTTGTTATACAGGTTTAGTAGTAAATGGTGTACCATGTCAAAAGCCAGATAAAATACTGCTTAAACTGAACCACATCCACCAAGAAGTAAAGTGGAAATTTGTAAGTAACTAATTTAAGTTTTCATATTACAATTGATCACGTGACCGTGTAGTTAGAATTAAGGTTTTCCAAAAGCGAGATAAAGTACTCATTTAAATGAAACACATTCACCAAGAAATAATGTGGAAATTTCACTAAATTTCATACTAAATTGGTAAAAGACAATATAGCTAGAAGGAAGGTTTGAAATATTATTTTCAATTATCCACTGTGCTTTTTTTAAGCAACTTTCGCGATAATTATTTCGACTTCATACGGAAGTCTTTTTTCGGGTGAAGATATCGTGTCGGTACCAGGTTCTCGCCTCATCCCGTATTTTAATCTTAATAACATTATAAACGCGAAAGTTTGTGAGTATGGATGTCTGTTCCTCTCACGCAAAAACTTCTGAACGGATTTTGATGAAACTTTACAATAATTTAGCTTATGTAACAGAATACATAGGCTATATTTTTTATTGAAATATATATTGATATTTAACGCAGGTGAAACCGCGGGCACAGCTAGTATACTTATATATTAGTGCGAAAATAAATACCTCAGCTCACTATCATGAATACCATGTTTGGCTTTTAATTCAGTATACCATTTATGACTGATCCTTTATGCAGATATACTTACAGATATAGCAAGTGAAAACTTAAGAAATTTTACACGTGGAATAGTTTCCTTTTCTGAAGGTTATCTATAAGAGATTGCTTATAGTTTTTATCTATACTAAATTTCCCTTGACGAATAAAAATATTGTTTTACTACACACAAACCATGGATAAATAAATCCAAACAACTTGGTTGGTATGAAAAACTCACTACTATTTGCAGATTTGCTTTACTAGTCACGAGTAACATCTAATTGAGGAATATGTCGTTAGAACTTTGCAACCTGTACTTTAAATGTTACATCTCTCTCTAAAGAAGCAAACAGCTTGTGAAAAAGAAACGAAATACAAAGACTACCTCTGTAAATAATAATACAAATTGTTTGTTTATAGTACAACACTGTAGAACAAAAAAATCACGGCGTAATAAAATACATATAGTTATATGTTATATACATAGAACATTACAATACAGCGTATATCATATTTATACAAAACATTTTTACAATGAAGATTATATTTTAGATTTTGAAGTCCATTCATCCTTTTCCTTTGAGCTATTTTCCTAATTTGCAAGAGAGTGACAAAACATTTACGGCACGAAATAAATATATTTACATCAGAAAGATCAACTATGTATAATTATATCATCATACTATATTATGATATTTTCAATACGAAGTATAATCTGTATTTACTTTACAGCGCATGTTTTGAGAATGTAATATATAAAATTATACAACTATATATATAATATACTAGCGACAGGTCCCGACTTGGCACGGATGCATTACACACCTTTGAATGTTTCGGCTTGTTCTATACTATAACACACATGTATTATACATATAAATCTTCGTCTTGATTCCTCTATAAATTGCTGCAATCTGCATTAAAATCCGTTGCGTTATTTAAAAGATATTAGTGAATAGACAGCGGCGGCGACTTGTTATATACTATGTAAAGATAAAGACATATATAAATGATTACATCCGGTAGTTTAATTAAAAAACCTAATAGTCGAAATAAGAAATGCTTATAAAAAAAGTGAGCAATGCAAGTTTAGAAAATACATGCTAAAAATATCTATATGTGGTACGTTTATATATATATATATATTTATATATTGCAATGTTTTGTCATTGCAATATATAAAAAATATATATAATTGATATAGAGAGTCATAACAATAAAGAATATTACGTAAATATATAAAGACTTTATAAATATTATCGTTTTTACATATGGTTACATTAATCGAATAAAATAATCAATATATAATTCAGTAATCATAGTAATGCTATAATAATATATTAATACAGGCTTCAGAATTATTACAATAATGGAAATAAATCATTTTGAGATATTTATTAGTATATTCTTTATGAGCTCCCGCTATTTCGACGCTGTTAGACGAATAGATTTCAGGAAATTTTATTTAATTAAAATTTTATCTTTGCATTAAATTGCATCAACTGTTTTATCCAGCTTATTTAATGCATACATGTTTAATTGTGTGTGTAATAACCTTGAAAACTGATTAAATTTATAATATTAATTAAATTACATTGACTATTTTATACAACTTATTTAATGTGCACATGTTTAATTGTAAACCACCATGAAAAAAGATTATAATTAATTTTATCTTTTAATTAAATTACATCAACTGTTTTATTCTATAACATAGGATCTCTGTTATTTAAACATTGTTTTCATATAAGGCAGTACTGTTTTTATGTTATATTACTTTTATACACAAATAAATTGGTAATTAGTCATATTAAATACATTATTCAAGAATGCAGCTAGAAAAATATTTAATTTAAGCATAAATTACAAATCAAATGGTCTACCAAGCCGAAAGGCTGACTTTTTATGTGATATTGGCTTCGTCTTTGAGAGACTAAATTAAAATAGTATGTGAAACTAGACATTTCTTCTACAAAAATAGGCTTCTTCCAAGCTTTAGTCAAGAAGCAAAGTGAAAAACGGTGTTGATGACTATATCCTAAATATGCTTTTTATTTTTTGTATTTAAAACTGTGTTAATCTATTACTTTGCCATTGTTTAACTAATTAACTAAATGAAAAAAAAAACTATATTATAAAAATTTAAATAAACCCTACAAAATAATACAAAAAAGTAAATACCCCATATATGTGTCTAAGATTCCTATCGCTGCTGACGAAAGACACCAAATCTAATACGTTATGTCAGACAATTTCAATATTTTAGGCGTTCTTTAGTGTTAGCTATCTCTATATTAGATATCACTTTGATTGAGATTAATGTGAAAGAGCATACTTTTGGCTTAGGTATATTTAATAATCCCTACATGAATACAATACAAACATTGAAATTAAGAGTTCATAGATAAATTGGAAACATATCGTTATATATTAGAGAAAGTATGGAATTTCATAAATGATTATTAACTTGGCTATTATTGTTGTCACTAACGTCACATATATCAATATTAAAGAATTAGTTATTGACGCATTTTTTATATACATACAAATAATATACATCAATTATGTACCTTAACAGATTACGATAGAGTACATATTTCATTGCAAGTATAGGTGTGAAATTTTAGTGCAATTTTATGTTTAAAATTAGAACAATATATTGTATATCCAAAACATTCTTACAATAAGAATATTTCAGGATACTTCACACAGCGCCATCTAGTCCCAAGCTAAGCAGAGCTTGTGTTATGGGTACTAGACAACTGATATAAATACATATATACTTTTTTTTGTAAATTCATACTTAATATATATATAGAAAAAACCCAGACCGATACAAACAATCATACTCATAAATAGAAATGTTTGCACTGAGCGAGGAATCGAACCCGCGACCATCGGACGCAAAGTGTGTTAAACCATTAGACCACCGAATTCAAGTCGTAATCAGGCAGTTACAATGAATAAATAGTATTGAAATATTCACAATTCGCAAATCTGTTCTAAAATGCTGTACATAATCATAACTCTTAAACAGAGCAGATTAACCTCTCCCATATCTATATGTCTACATGGGACAAATATTTGTGAAAATATTGGCGTTACAAAGCGAATATACATAAATACATCTGTACCATACATGAAATATCCCGAGCATATGAGAACATGAACATTTGCATTATTCAATGAATATAATAATTATATTTGACAATAATTTCATAACATACCAATATCTAAATGCGATCTTCTCTGTCGCTTGCACAAATGTTGGCTCATAGTTTAATTGCACAAACGTTTGTTCACATCTTGTATCTACTATGTTTTATACAAGTCCAATTAAAGTTGGGCACAAACATCACTGTTTTATTGTGACGACTTATTTGCCAACAATCATTTGCTTGGGGACGTCAGTCCGAGAGCGACTGACAGTAGACGCACCACGTTCTTTTGTTCAGTCGGCTCGTTTTCTGTAATTACAATAAAAAAAACATGAATATCCATATATTTATGAATGTTCACACAAAACGCGTTCCGCATCGTAATAATAAAAATCTCAGTACAATTCACACAACTTCATCTAGACCAGAGGTTCCCAAACTTTTTTGTGTCGTAGACCCCTTGCTATATTTTTTGGTTTTGGGTAGACCTCCTACTCTTACCTTTCTAACTTTTTTTTTGTAAATTTCTAACTGTAGTAAAGTTTTGTGTTAAAAACATAAAGTAAAAACAACAAGATGACCGCTGTCATAGACCCCTAGCAGTGTATTATGCTAAGCTAAGCTAGCTAAAGCGTGTATTATGGGTACTAGATAACTATTATACAAATATTTAGATAATTTATCTTCTTAAATATATACACATTATACATAGAAAACGCCCAGACGTATACAAACAATGATACTCATAAATAGAAATGTTTGTGCCGTGCTAACAATCGAACCCGCGACCATCGGAAGTAAAGCGGTGTGCTAAACTGCTAGACCACCGAGGCCGTCCCATCGTAAAGTTTATAATCCGTACTTAAGAAAGTAACTGTCTGTCTGACTTTGTCATGATGGACTAACTGATCTGACTTTATGTCAATCTTATCATCCTCCACTGGTGCCCTGCCAGCCTAAACTGTTAGTGGAGGCGAGAGCACTATTCCATTATCATACATTAACGAAAACATACCATGTGATGTGATGGGCTGTCAGCTTATTTACCATTCCAATTTAAAAATAAACTAGCAAATATTTCAACTTTTTTTACTGTGTTAGCACCATATCTATACATATAAATAAAATTGGAGTGTCTGTTTGTAATATTAAAATAAATATTTTTATTACTTGCGTCTGAATATAAATACGGTACATACACCAAAATAATATTATTACAATTGTCCGTCTGTCTGTCGGTGTGTTTGTTCCGGCTAATCTCGAAAATGGGTGGACCGATTTTGACGAGACTTTTTTGGCAGGTAGACGATGTAATAAGGAGTAACTTAGGCTACTTTTATTTTAGAAAAATTCTTTAATTTTAGAAAAATAAACTTAAATTCCACACAGATGAAATCGCGGGAACAGCTAGTACTATATAAAATGTTTCTTGACGTGCTCCACTGAAAATCGTACTTAAAAACAGACTTTATATTACTTTTATTACGGTCTCAAATAACTACTGCAATAACATCATACAATGTAACATTTCCTGACGCGTGTGGTAATGCTACTTAAAAACAGACTTTGTATCAGTTTTGTTAGGGTTTAAAATAACTTAGTGATCTCAGCAAAATATGTATATATAAAGTGATACATACCATCTGCTCCTGTGACGTGTTTCTCGAGATTAAGTTTCTCCTGTGCAACCTGGTAGATACCCTCCTCGATGGTGCCAGCACTCAGCAGCCGGTAGATGGTGACCGGCCGCGTCTGGCCCATCCGGTGACATCTGCGTCCACATATAATATAAGCATTTATTGAGACTGTCTGTACACATTTTTTTTATAATATAAAATAATTACGACGGCTTCGGTAGTCTAGTAGTTTAGCACACCGCTTTACTTCAGATGGTCGGTTCTCATGAAATCTATGACTAAATAGCGCTGTGGGAATTATACTATTATTATTAGATAATATTGTCTGAGTGATTTCTATGTATAATATGTATTTACAAAAAACAGACTAAGTATTTATATAGGTCTATACTAGGCTACCTATATAAATACTACGTTTTTTTAATAATAATACTACAAGCTGAGCTTAATATCGTATCGAATAGCATTAATGTACTGTGTAGTATGTATGTATATTAGCTTGGGTGTAGATGGCGCTGTGTGAACTATTATTATATTAAAGCATTACTCACCTGTCCTCAGCCTGTTTATCGTTGTATGGGTTGAAGTCAATATCGTGTATGACGACTGTATCCGCCGCCGTGAGATTGATCCCCAGCCCGCCGGCGCGGGTCGACAGCAGAAACACGAAGATATCCTCCGCGTTGTACTGGTCTATTAACTCTTGTCTAAAAGAATAAAAATAAAACGGTAATATAAAATATATGTAAGAAAGAGATGGAAGTATTACGCTATCTCTAGCGCACACAGCTGGCGTCATGCGGCTATTAGGCTATGAACGACGAGAATGTGAAAGGCTATGAAAGACGAGTGGTGTGAGTCTGAGAGCCGATAATTAAGAAAACAAAAGTAGATAATGTTGGGGCCACAGACATGTAACAGACTGCGTTAGAAATACCATAGTGTAATGCATCTCTATATGTAAGCACACTTCATTTTATAATTTTTGCAAGTTATATTCCAGCACAAATTATTTGTATTGTATTAGAATCTGAAATCCAACTTCATACTTCTGAGTCTAATTCATGAATAAATTGGATACACTAAGCATTCCTGTTACTGGATCGAAAATCAGGAAATAGTTTTACATATATATTACAAAATCTAACAATAAAATAAAAAAAATTAAGTGTAATATAATAGTATCAAAATATAATAACATTTAAAAATATATATATATTGATAAGCTGCCAGCAACAATTACCTTTATTTACCATAAAATTATTCGGTTAACAATATAAATAATGTGTATTAAACACGAAAGTTAAAAAATAACAATTCCAGGTTGTCATACATAGCTATCGTTGCATGCACATTTTAAGTGAGGCGTCTTTACCTGTCATTGACGGCCGTGCTTCCATCAAGCCGCAGGTATCGGTATCTTCTAGCAGCCAGGTACGGCTCCAGGATGTCCAGCATCATGGTGAATTGACTGAAGACGAGCACCCGATGACCGTCAGCTTTCAATTTTGGCAACATCTCGTCCAACTTTTGGAATTTCCCCGAGTCGAGGATAAGGTGCTCCGGAACTGAGAATTGGCTTATGCACTGTAAGGAAAAATTGCATTAATTTATTTGTTAAGGGGAGTACTGTAACCTTGTGGTTCACTATCCCTGCTAACAACCAAAAGGCAGTAAATTCAAATCTGGGCAATTAAGGCAATTAAGGAATAAACGCTTTGGAGAATCTATCACAGTCCGCTCTTTTTACTCCTTCAGCAATACAAAAGACTTGTGTCAATGACGAATCTAAATTTAATATAATGCTACAATTCTACAAATCTACGCAGTTCCCCCTTGAAACCACAAAAATATGCAGACAATAATCATGTTCAAACCTATAATTTAAATTAATTAAGGTATAATATATGATATTATCACTTACACTATGAACAAGTGTCATCTGATGTATTTGGAAGTCGGACAAGCACATAAGATCTTCATAAACATACTGCTCATTCTTCTCTTTGTACGTTGGGTCTCTAGCCAGCCGCGTTGCCATTTTGCGAACCTGAAAAAAACGGTACAAAATTATTATTAATTAGTTTAATTTGATGTGATTATTAAGTATTTCTTATATATGTCACAAAAATACTAAATGATTTTTCTGATAACATTGCTTGTTCTGTATATATAATATAAATGTAATATTGTCTGTCTATTCCGTTACATCATGTACGTAATACATGGATATTATAAAATTAATGTCAATTGTATGATGTGATTAGTATGGTTACCAAAAATCGGTAGAAAAAAATATATATGACTATTCAAGTTTATTTCAATAAAAAATATTTATATTCTATTCTAAAGACTAAGGTATCATCCTCTAATCTTTTAGGACAAACACAATATATCTCTGTAGGCAGCAAGGGGTGCTTTTTCCATCTTTTGCCATCTCAGGTAAAGACAAAAGAAGTGAGCCCCAAACAGTTATTATCTTCGGTAGTATTTTTATAACAATTTATTGTCTTCTCAATTCATATCCTTTTTTTTATGTTGTAAGTTTATCGCATTCTTTTAAAACTTGTAGTTTTTATTTTAATCAAGTAGGCTCACTATGTAGTTGTGTAAAAATATTTGGCACTCAATATCTATTGTAAAAATACGTCTAAAAAAAGTTGATAAAAAGTACTCAAATCAACCAATGCGCTACTCAAACGCTGATGGTACGATCCGTCAGACTCTCGAAATTGGAAATGTTAACTAAACAAGATAAATTAGTGAATGCGCACCTGGTCCTCCTGATAGTGGTACCGTAGTAACAGCGGATGGTTCGCTAGCTTCCTCATGTCCATCATCATAGATATGCCACTCTGCTCTGTTGTTGCGTGTACCTGTACATTATTACATAATATTAATCATGTAAACTAATATTGTAATCAGGTAAGATTTCAAATTTCGTTCGTAATTAATTAAAAATTAATTATTAGAGAAAAAGATGGGCTGTTCTTTATTTAAAAAAATAGCAAGCACATATACATACATTTATGTGAGACCTCACATAAATGTATCAAGATTAATAAATATGAACAAACTATCTAATCAAGTAAACATTGTTTTGACATATCAATTATTTCCAGTGAATATTTTGGTAGTCAAATAAAAAATCCAAAATTATCTACCATCTACCATCAGGGTGAAAATTTAGGGTTGCATCTTTTGTATTCATCAATACACAAGTTAAAGACATATATTCTTGAATACAAATCTTAATATATCACATCAATGACGTGATGTATTAAACTAAACTAATACACCAGATGTATCAAGATCAAATTTAAATGAGGAATACTTACAAGACCATCCTTAGCAGAAAACCCAGTTACAAGCTGTTTGTATAGAGTCTCTTGCCGCTCAGACATGGAACAGAGTTCAGTGTGGTTGGTCTTCTTGGGCAAGTCCTGTAGGACATCCCGCTTCAGTCTTCTCAATACAAATGGTTTCATGATCCTTTTTGCTTGAGTTATTTGACTCTGTTCAAATGCTGGCACGTCGTCCTCCTGAGTACCGTCTGCTTTCTTTGTTGTTTTTGCTTTCTGGAAGATATAAAGAGAATTGACATGAAAAAATTTTTTTAAATTTCCGACGGTTTGGACATTTGGGAAGAGACTTTTTTTAATTATGTATTTGCTTTCCATAGACTAAAGCACAGGATCTTTTTTACATTTAGTTTTATACTGTTTGTCCTTTCTTGCCTTACTTGTTCCACAAAAAGTATGTGTTGTGCCTTTGCATAATTAACTATTTCATTTATTTCTTACATTTACATTGCTTGGTTGCTTTGGTTACCGTCCAGAAAAGATGTTTATTTTTTAAATATAATTATCAGTCATGGACTATCATGGTCATTCCGATGGCACTTACGCAAGTTTCTTGCTCGTTCGTCTTGCGATGAGGCAGTATTTCGAATGAATGGTAGATTAATAAAAGAAGTAAAGTCTATTCAAAACTTACATTTAAGCAAAATGTAAGTTTATTTGAATAAATGTCTATTCTATTCTTTACTTACAGAATTCTTCTGGAAGAGACTCTTAAGATCGTCTGTTTTCCCAGAGAACATGTGAGGCATCACGAAGCATAACAACGACATTAACTCCAACAGATTGTTCTGCAGCGGCGTGCCGGTCAACAGCAGACGGTGTTTCGACTGCAAGAAATAAACTTAGTGATTAAAACAAAAAAAGAAGGTTATGGTTATGGATTTACTACTGATCTTATTACTAATAACCCAGATACTTATTGAAAGAACATCCGCCTGTTTTGACCTCTCATGAGCTGCAGTTCTTAAAGATTAACTAATTTTATGCAATTTTGTTGTCATATCTCCTTTGTCTTTGAAATCAAAGCTTCTGATTCACTAAGACGACTGTGAGAATGACAGATGCACGTAGACTTTACAACACAAATAAACTGCTACATAACCAGTGTTGTAAAGTCTATCTGCTGATGAAGAAATTGTTAATAATGGAGACCAGTCGGCTATTTATTTATCCAAAATAGTATAAATTTTAAATACTGCTAGCAATGTAACAGTTCGAACTCGACTTGGTGGTTTCTCCACCACCATTATTTTGAAAATCTCCACAACAGACTAACTGACATGACATCATGTTCATCCCATCATCCACTAGTGTCACACCAGTACATACAACTAACCCTATCATTATCATTCCATATTCATTTGAAAATTTAAACAAACTCTTCTAAATTGTTATTTCACTAATTTCTTCACTTCTTTCACTAATGTGAAAAACTAATACACTAATAAAAATTTATAATGTATTAACACAACCCACATTTATATCGCCACTTCTGATCAGGTGGTCCTTCAGCATATCTGCCATTCCACCTAATTCTATTTACCTTTATTTTGAGCAGGTTGTCGTATCTCTGTGTTGACATGTTCTTGAGCATATGCGCCTCGTCGTATATTACGTAGTGCATGGGCGTGATGCGGAACATCTTGCGCTCCTCGGGACAACTGCTCACCATTGTGTAACTGTAACATACAGTGGGTTGCCATTAACATTTTTTATAATTTTTGTTCTTCAAGTGGTCTTGACTACGTTTTTAAGTGGTAAAAGTTTTTTGCTGATATGTTTTTATGTTCTTAACTCAAATTCAAAGTGAATTTCAAGTGCTGAGAGATTTATTTATTTTGGAAATATATTTTAATGACGTGTAAAAGTGAAACACGTAAATTATTCTTTTAAACAGTTCTTTAGTGGTTTTGTGAAATAATCAATACCTGCAAGTAAGTAATATTTTACTATAATTAAAATTAAAGTATTTTGGAGCGGATTTTAGAACAATTTTAATTTATTTTTATATTTTCAGCTTTGGCTATGGGTCGAGGGGTAGATTGGACTCCGAGAAAAAAAATCCGAGGTTAAAACCCTTCTCCTACACACAAATCACTCTCAGAGGATGATAGCACAACTGGCCGGGATATCGAAATCTGCCGTCAATAAAATAAAAATAAATTTAGATCAAAATCAGCCACTTTCGCCCAAAAGAAAAGGCAAATGTGGCAGAAAACGTATCACAACAACACGTTCCGATAGGAAAATTCGAGATATCTGCTTGCAAAACAGAAAGAAAAGTGCTGGGTTTTAACTCAGATAGTACAGGAATCTGGAATACGTGTTTCAAAAAGAACTGTATAGCGAAGGTTGGCACTGTTGAAGGAACATAAGGTCAGTTCTATGGTTAATTTTATTTGTGTTATATAAAATCATATTTACAAAAATGTATAATATAGTTTCATATATTATTTTTCTATATTTTTTTAGGTATGTTTCTCAGACGAGTCAACTTTTGAAATTCTGGCCAACAAAAGTAACTTCGTGAGGCGGCGCCCAGGCGAGAAATTTCATCCTGATTGCATAGTGGAACGAATTAAACACCCTGTAAAAATAATGGTATGGTCTGTCATCAGCGCAAAAGGAGTTGGGCGCCTCTATATCGTCCAGGGAACCATGAGACAGGACCAATACAAGCAAGTATTAGAAACTCGCCTGTTGCCGCAACTTCAGGAATGGTTCCCGAATGGGGAGGAATTCGTGTTTATGCATGATTCAGCTCCATGTCATAAAGCGAGGAGTGTAACCAAATTTTTGGAAGACCACAACATTCCAGTTTTACCTTGGCCTGGCAATTCTCCTGATATGAATCCCATAGAAAACTTGTGGGAAATTACCAAGGCGGAAATTGCTAAGGAAATCATAACTACCAAAGTAAAACTAATTGAAAAATTAATAAATGTATGGTTTCACAATCCCAAAATAAAAGAAAGTGCTAAACAGTGTATTGAAAGTATGCCGAGGCGGATTCAAGCACTGATAGAAGCAAAAGGAAATGTGACAAAATACTAATAATTTCCCATCATCATTTTTATTATACTTGTTTATATTTTCTAGTTGTTCAAATATTAAATTATTATAGTCTAAATTCATTATAAGATATGTGCCTGATATTATTAAATATAATTATAGCCTAAAGTGACGTTTTTAATTAATTATAGACCAATGTTTTACAAAAAACGAATATTTCGTGACTGTCCCTATTAATTTGGCAACCCACTGTATCATTACAGTTCTTTGTATTACAAAAATTTACAGTCCAGTCTTTTATTCTGCATCATAGGTACACTTTATAGAAGTTAGATTCCTCGCACGGTACTAACATTTGTATCCATGATTATGATAGTTAGTATTTGTATACAAAAAAATGTATTTTAATAAGTTTCCTAGTACCCAAGCTCTGCTTAGTTTGGGACTAGATGGCGCTATGTGAATTGTCCAGGGTTTATACACATGTACTATATAATATATCAAGTGAACTATAAACAGTACATACGTGGTCAGAACGACATCGTAATTGCTGAGGTGCTTGGCGTACTCTATCCGAAGCAGCCTTCGCTCCTCAGGCGGGCCGTAGTATTTGCTGACGCGTAATGACGGGCACCAACGTGCTAACTCCCCGCTCCAGTTGTCTGCAATATTACATTTGCTGATAAAGATGGATTTACAACAAGGTATGAAGGACATTTATAGCCTATATGTTATTCTGATGTAAAAGCTATATTACTGTAAAGTTTCATAAAAATCCGTTCAGTGGTTTTTAGGTGAAAGAGGAACAAACATCCATCGTTACTCACAAACTTTCAAGTTTATAATATTAATAAGAGTTAATCAATGACAATGGAATGGTGCACTCGCCTGCGCAAACAGCCTACGCTGGCAGGGCACCAGGGAGATGATAAGATGAGTAGGAAGTTAGGCCAGTTAGAGCATCGTGACGAATTCACAAAGAATTATCCGCTATATTACGGTTTCCATAGGGGACCGCGTGGAGCTCGAGCTAATATGTTAGCAATGAGATTACCTCTTCGCCCTTTTTTTTGGGGGACGCTTATGTGGAGTGGACGTTTTCCGGGCCGAAATGATGATGATGATGATGTCGATGATGATGATGTCGATGACGATGATGACGATGATGATGGTGATGGTGATATTATTAGTATCTCTTACCCAGTGTAGACGCAGGTACAACGATCAAATGCGTCCCACGCGCCTGCCCCGTCTCCTTCAAATGTGCGAGGAAAGCTATCACTTGCACAGTCTTTCCGAGCCCCATCTCATCCGCTAGTATACCCGACACGGCCTGCTTGTGTAGTACAGCGAGCCAGTTCAGCCCCACCAACTGGTACGGGGCTAGTTTCAAACTGAAATAATAAATAAGTATATAAATAAAGAACCCTGGACAGTAAACAGAGCTTGTTATGGGTACTAGACAACTGATATAAATACTTAGATTTTTTTTAATATACATCGAAAACAGCAAGACCGAACAGTCATGTCACTCATGAATACGAATGTTTGCACCCTGCGAGGAGTCGAACCCGCGACCGTCGGAAGAAAAACAGTGTACTAAACAGTTAAACCGCCGAGGGAGTCAAAAAAAATCTAAAGAAATTAAAGATATGTGACACCAAAATTCCGTTGTAATTATCCCTATTATCCACTGGAGGGATCCCAAAATCATTACACTCTTCATTAAAAGAAATGCAATTAAATAACTACAGAAATCCACAGTATTAGATGTGTTCAATAGTCAGGAAATGTTTCATTAGTCCTTTAAATAATATTTAAAATACAATTGCGGAAACAGGCGACTTGGAAGTTAGGACATAATATAGTTGCGATCGACAATAACTAAATCATAATAACACATAGGTTATAATTTAAAAAGATATTACGTAAATTCGGAGAAATATAATGACAAAGTAATTGCTATGCAGATCAGGATGCGCGGGTCAGCTACTATATACATGACTCTAAAGTGTTTTTTTTTTCGGACTACTCTAATGCTGTTGGCTGCAACTGGCCTTTGCAGCTTCACCGGACAATAGAGGCCGAGTGTAGATGGCATTCCAAACCCGCGAAAAGATTTACGGAGCGGCTGAAGGCTAACTCCCGGCTGACGGACACAATTTTAGTCTGAGGGCACCGCTAGGGGGTTCGAACCTCGGCTCAGGCCGTCATAATTTCGATCCCCGTTCGAATTTGACGGGGGATCGATCGGAGGGGACGCTACAATTGTGAGGTAATAATCATCACACTACACACTCACTTACCTGGAATCTAATATGTTCGGTTGTTTCAACCTGGTTACGCCGGCCGCGACTGCAGCTTCCAGCTGTTGTGCCAGCCCCACGCATTTCTTCATCAGGCGTTGTATGTTATTTCTTGTCGAGAGCAGCTCTTGTGTAGAGTTTAATAAGTCCGTGCTCAGCATCTTGTTGCTATTGAATTTTTCTACCTAATGGAGAATAATTATAATATTTATTTTTTAACTTTCGCGTTTCGTCCACATTATTGCGATTGCAGTGCGTGGCTCGTAGCCACGGCTAGTGCAACCTAGTCGAAACGTAGAAAAGGTAATATTATCATTTATTCATCAAAAAATTATTCATGTTAAGACCCACTTAACAATGTAAATAAATGTATTAAATTAAACAATTTTGCTAGTTAAGTATATAATTATTACGGTAAATAACCTTAATAATTATAATATTAATTAAGGATCGGCAAAATGTATCTCTGGTGTCACAGGCGTCTGATGGTGAATCAGATAGGCCAATCAGAATGAAACCTGTTTGCCAACATCATAATATAAAAGCACCTGGACTTTACAGCTTCACCATACGATAGAAAGCGTGAGATGGCATCCAAAGCCGCGGAAGGACTTATGGAGCGGCTAACTTTTGGCTATCGAATATGATTTTAATCTTGGTTTGGAATTGATCCTCGGCTCGGGGCGTCGTTAATTTCGATCTCTGTTTGACTGTGACATGTCTAAATATGATTTCAATAAAAATTAAGCAATAACATACCATATCTAGCCAGCCTTTGAATGGTCTCTGGGCGATGATTGCGTCCGCTTTCTTCTGCGAACACCCGCTCAGTAGAGACAGTTCATTCAGGTTACTATTGTTAAGGAACTCGAACACTTTCTTCTTATCACCAATAAGATCATCCGAAATATCATTATCAGAATCGTCACTGAAATATTAAATTGGATTACTAAACAGGTACTGTAGATGGAATACAGTAGATAATTCCATGGGAACACAGTCGCAGGTAGTTAAATAATATTTCCATGCCTTAAAAAAAGTGCTTGTTAGGAATATTACTATAGAGTATAGAGGCAAGAGATAATGGTGTCCATTATCATGACTAAGATCTCTTACATCAATAGCTTAACTAGTGGGTCGTCAGCAAAATAAAAAAAACAAGGGTATTTTACTTTTTTTATTTATTATTATTGAGTTGTAACACTGCTGAAATATCCGGATTCCAATAATAATAAATAAAACATGATTCCATCATTTTCTTACTTTGCCAGCATTACAGTCAGGGAAGAAATTGGGAAATCAAATCAAATATAAGATTCACCCAAACGAATTAGCTCAAAACTTCTAAACAACCCAGCAAAAAGATTGAAATATAAATATCCTTGAGCTGGATGAAAGATTTCTAGCTAGTTGGAATAGCTAGTCAAAGGATAGAGATCCTCCCACGCCCACTACCAACAACTCACCTCTTATAGTACCAGTACTGATTGCAGATACCTACCTTCATTTTCTTACTATTACATGTATAAATGACCCCAAATTTAAATAAGTAAATATATGTGGTTAATAAACTTACTTACCTATCATATACCCTGTCATCTTTTCCTTTCCTAACACCATAGTCTTCATCCTCACTTCCACTACTACCCTGCGTGCCCCTACCACCCTTATGGGGTAAGGGTTTCCTCACAACCACCCCAATATTAGGTTTAGACACACTTGTCATCCTAATAATGTTCAAGTTCCCGTTAGACTTCTTCAAGCCCGAGTTTCCAGGTCGAGGGAAGTAGCTGGATCCACCTGAACCCCGATCATTACTCTCAGGGTCATACTTTAAAAGTTCATCTCTTGCACGTTCTTCATTCCAACCATGTTTCACTAATATATCTTTGACAAACTGCAAATTAGTTGACAAAAATTAAAATTAAACAAATCTTGGCATATATTTTTATAAGATGTCTAGAATAAAATAATTTTTGTTTCACATGGAAGGATATACTAAATTAGTATAGATTATAAACTGTTAGTTTTAAACATCAATGTAATTTAGTATCTAATATGATCTATAATTCCTAATTGACTTTTGCAATACATGTTATGAAATAATTGTTTATAGAAATTGTGGTCAATATGAATTCTAACAATATATTTTCATATCTATAATTTCATGTAGATTTTAATAAAAAAATTTTAGCTGTGTGAATTGTCCTATTATTATATTTATATATTATTAAAGCATTATATTCTTGTTTATAAATACATACTATTGATTTATTTAAATACATAATATTGATCTATATAGTATATAAAATAATTATTCCTTACTAATGGTGCAATTTCAGGGAACATTTGCAGCATATTCCTAAATCGCCTTTCTCTAATAGCCGTACTGAGCTCAGTCTCAGCAGGTTTGTTTGTGTCAACCGCTGGCTTCTTTGTTGGTGTCGCTGGATCATCTGAATCGGAGTCCTGAATCCTGATGCGTTTATATACAATTGGACCATTTCTATTTATTGCATTCGGTGCTGGCATCCTAACTATTGTGTCTACAAAAAAAAACAGAAATCATAAAATATGAGAAAAAAAAAATTAATCCACTCATACCTATGAGGCTAGTAGTTAATCTGCCAAAAGTTTTAAGTCATAAAACTTGCTGTTCAACTGACAATGGTTGATTATTACATAGTATAACACAAACTCTCTGTCTGTCCATCCCTATATATGATTAAATCTTTAAAACTATGCAACAGATTTTGAAGCAGTTTTTTTTATAACAGATACGAGTGATTCAAAAGAAAAGAATATTTATATATATAATACAAGTACACCCGTCCGAAGCCGGGGTGAGTAGCTAGTGACATATATAAGAGACTTCAACAACAACAAATATCAGACTTCAACAACTTGACAAAAGTTGGAATATCTGTGACTGGATTCTCCATCGTCTTAAAGAGACATAAAGTACCAGACTTCAACAACCTGGCAAAAGTTGGAATATCTGTGACATATATAAAGAGACATAAAGTACCAGACTTCAACAACCTGGCATAAGCCGGAATGTCAATTGAAAATCACCTCTCATGAGATTTTATAATGGTAAATTAATGTTTTTGTAGTTTGAAAGACTGATTGCATGTATAAAAAAGTCAATTAAAGAATTAAAGTTAAATTAATACATGTGATCATGTTTTTAAAACATAAGGGACTTGTAGAACATCTGATTACTGCTGCCCACAAGTGTGGAGAATTGTCAGCCTTTTAAAAAGGAATATTATTTATGCTCTACTATTTCATGAAGGTTCAAATATCATACTGGTTTGGAATTTCATGTTGCAATTAAGTTAGGAATAAAAGACATTTGAGAAAGGCTGAATAAAAATATATATTATTTTTATGTGCCAATGATGTACTCTCCTTCATAATATTTTACAACTTAAAGTGAAAAGCAATTCTAGCATACAGATAGTATTAGAGATTAGAGAAGGAGAGAGAGGAGAGGAGAGAAAAGAAAGGAGAGTAGAGAAGATTAGAAGAGAGGAGAGACAAGAAGAGTATTTAAGAAAATGCAGAAAAGGTATAGTGTTATTGATAAGCAGAAGTAGAGTAGGAATGTTGTACAAAAAGAAGATGACATTATTAGCAATTTTAATTACTATTACTCTCCAGTTTCTGGATTGGGTGAGTGTCAAAGTTTTTTATATATGCCACCAACAGATTATGCTGACCAGATACCAGCAGATGATGATAAGTTGAACATGAGGTCAGTTGGCCCATTGTGACAAATTCACTAGGAAATTATCAGGTAAATCCTTTTAACCATTAACAGCATTATTTTCAGAGGGAACCATGTGGAGGTCAACTGGACAAGGTATCATTCATCACACCACATTGCTAACAATCCCCTTTCCAGGCCTCAAGTTTTTTGTGGATGATAATGGAATTGTGCACCCGCCTACTCTCAAGGTTTACACTGACAGGGCACCAGTGGATAATAAGATGAACATGAGAGCAGGTCAGTTAGCAGTAAATTCACCAGGAATTTATCACAATGTTTTTCAGGAAGAACCAATAAAGCTTGGTATATTACTAGCTATGAGGTCATCAGTCCACATTACTAACAAGCCCCTATCCACCCTTGTGTCAATGTATGGTGTATGGTATGTAAAATGGTAGTAGGTATGAAAAGTATAATTTCTCTTTGTTTGATTATGTTTCTTTGTATTCTATAGACAGATTTCTTTTTGTACTTTGTGTATTATGTGTTCTTCTAGACCACACCATGCTAGGATACTATATTTTCTCAATATTTCCCACAGCAGATAGCAATGGATAATACTTGCATTATGATGGTATGTATTCACGTTTATGTGTGAAAGGTTTGTCAAACTTTCACAGCTTGACAACAAGTGTTTTCACTTCCATAATCGATTTCCAAATTCAAAATACCAATAACCACAGATATAGTAGTAATTATGGTGTAATTACTCAATAAATAAGTAATATGTTATAACATTTTTATTGATTTCCAATCAATCATTATATATATATATTATGAAATCGTATAACAATAATATACAATGTAGTAGAGTAAGTTGCAAGTACCAGAGCACTAATAAGTGCCGGCACACAAAAAACAGAACCTTGACAAGTGAGGGTCACTGAACAAGCTCAGAACTCCTCGCCTCGTGGCACTGTCGGCAGTAGCAGGCACGTGCTAACAATTCATAGATATTTCCATCAAACACATATAAGTTTACTCACGGGAACTGGAGGGTGCCGACGTAACCGTGACTGGCATACTGGTCCCTGTCGCATTTGGTTTCCTCTGAAACCTATACTGCCTCAAGAAGCTCATCCCGTTTGAATTGTTACTATCCGACATATTGTGAAAGAAATATAAAAAACAGCACGATACAAAAACTACAAATTGTTAATGTTCAAGAATCATTAAATAAGTTAAATTTACGAGAATATTAAGTCTTTAAAAAGGAGCAATGATTGCGATCAACAATACAGCCATTTTTATCCGCGAGACTGAACGAAACCAAATTTATGGAACGAATTTAAAATACACAGTGGAACAGAACGAAACGAACTGAATATCATTTTAAAAAAGTCAATTATACAATATGTCAAACTTGACATCCATAGTTTGACCAATAGAAATACAATAAATGTGATAAGTAGGCAATAACAATCATCAATATTAGGGATAAACCAATAAAAAAGATGTTATAGTGTTGTGTACTGAATTATTGTTGAAAAAGTCCGTAGTCAGTCGGTCAGTGATTAAATCACTGAGCAAGTAATGACTACGCAATCTTTATACTAATTTACTAATATAATGAACGCGAAAATTTGTAAGTATGGATAGATAGATAGATGGACAGATGTTACTATTTCAAGCAAAAAGTACTGAACGGATTTTGATAAAATTTTATACGGGTGAAACAGTGGGCACAGTTAGTGTTTGTTAAATAACAATTTGAAACATGGACTATCAAGAGATAGATTCCATTGGTCATATTTTAAAATAACAACTGATAACCTAATAATTATACTAAACTAGTATTTGATTTTAGAATTCATTAATTTACAATTACTGTTTTGTTATCTATACATACATAAAATAAAATTGGAGTGTCTGATTTTTACTACATGCATATGAATATAAATACGGTAAATACACCAAAATATATTTTTTTAAATTGTCTGTTTGTCTGTTTGTTTCGGCTAATCTCTGAAATGACTGGACCGATTTTGACGGAACTTTTTTTGGTAGATGTCACGCGGACGAAATCGCTGGCACAGCTAGTTAATAATAATATAAAGGAGTTTTATGGTTGTATAGAGGTATATTTACCGTATATTTAAATTCGTAAATACTACAGATTTGAAACTGTTAAAATGCAAGTTATTACCATCCATAATTTCAGTTTCAGATCATTGTGGTTTTCATCGCATAACTTAACAATTGCAATTAATTAGTTACTCATATTTATGTTATTTTTTTATTTTCATTTAATATTAAGACAATAATTGAGGATCTAAGATTATTTAGTTTTACTTTATCTAATTATTGCAGAATTTCTCTCTCTCTAAGTCAGATGATTTAATCCCTAATCTCTATAGTAGACATCCCTATTTCAATAAAATTTATTTATTGCAACATTCCTGTGTTGCTGTCAGATTAATAGGTGCGGCCATGTTGGTCTATAGCGAATAAAATTGAGTTAATTTGCTTTTAAGGATTTATAATTGACACAATATGCCCAAATGCGACCTAAAAACTAGATACATTCCAGCGACATTCGCCTGGACTTTACTATTGGGCACGACATCTCTGTTTTTTTATTTTCCGTGAGTATAATTATCATAAAATGACTACAAATTCATAATTTTGGTTTGACAACTTTCACATGAGATTGTAGGATTGTTTCTATTAATATCTTGAGACTGTACCTTTGCCCTTCATCTTAGTGTACCACTACAATAGCTTTATTAATTGTATTATAAGTAAAATGTGAATTATCGGCGTTAAATTCGAAACACATTTGTTACACATCATGAGCAATAAATAATGATTGCAATCCCATTCTTATTAGATAGTCTGATTAATTATTCCTGTTACTTGGATAATATTGTCGATTATCCTATTTTTTTTATATAAAAAGACAGCTGTATTTGTTACTTATCTCCAATTTTTAAGTTGATGATACCTTTATATTATTGAAATATAACAGTTGAATATTATTTTGCAGTACATGCGTGTATGAATTCTACCTACTTCATTTATTGGTTGTTTATATTTATAAACAAAAAATATGCTACTTTATAAATAGGTAGACAGTTTAGTCATTTTATAACAAGTACTTACCCTGTTATTGACATATACTGAAACCTACCATAAACATGTTTTGTCTTAGAGAGTGTAACAGCTAGAATAATATACAAATGCACCTTTTCAAGACATGTTATTTTTATTAATAAACATCATGTGTTACTGTAATTATTAAATATTAGGGGCAAACTTCCAGAGTTTGCCAAGGTGCTCATGATTTGATTTTTTTATATATATATGTTAAATTAGTACATAACATCTGTTATTCTGGAATAATGTACCTTGATGCAGACCACTGCATCAAGGTACATTATCTCTCTCTTACTCTGGAATCATCTAGACTTTAATTTCCTTATGACAAAATCCACTTTACCTTTTTATAATACTATTATATATATTATAGGATTAAATAAATAAGCCAATGATGTGGTTGGACTTGTTTATTTGTTTTTAATTTATACAGAAATGGCATACATGGTATGTTGTAGTCGAAACTTTCCTGCAATTATTACTCATGATTCCAACAATGGACTACATTCACAAATGTCATATTGTATTAAAAAAAAAAATTCAAAAATAAATATTTAATACATCCATATTTTCATATTAATATTATAAATACAAAAGTGTTACTGTGCATAAAACTATTTGCAAAAACAAATTGTTGTATAGGAATTCTGGAGACTGATCTCAAAGTTGTAAGCAGAGACACTTTCTAATTAATTTTCATTTGTTAATAATTTTTAGTGATAACAATATATTTGGGAATAACTGTTTTAATGTGTCTATTATTTGTAGATAACTCATAATGTTCACAAAAATATTTTTATTATTTCATATGTATATTAGTCTATAAAGTTTTTATAATATAGCCCTTAAGTAGCCTGAATTTAATAAATAAATAAAATATTCAGTTGAGTTTATTGAAATTGATGTTAGAATATTTAAGTAAATACTATCTTTCTTAGGATTATTTGTTATTATTAAATTGTATCACAAAGTTGTTAATTGCAGGTGTCAATACTACCTCCACAAGCACCCATGGGTTCTTGCATATCAAATCGTGATAACGTTTTTTGTTTTGGCCAATTTTACACTGGCCACTTTCATGGACCCGGGCGTTATACCAAAAGGTAAGAGTGTATTACATTATTTGTATACCAACCTCACACCAGAGAGCATCATAAATTTATAAATTGATATATCTAAATTTTGTTTATAGATAGATATTTATTATTTATATAATCAGATTCACATTTTACAACACAGTATTATTAAAAAAATACAAATGATCAAAAAAGAAGAATTAAATATTCTATATATATGAAATTTCATATATGACCTTTCTTTTACAACACAGTATATTTATAAAAATTGTTTAAAAAAGAAGAAACAATACAAAATATATAAAATTTCATACATGACCTAAGTTTCCTCTGCCTTTATACATATGTGTACCACAGTTATGCAAAAAGGTACTAACTCAGTGCATTGTTTGGTCTGGGAAAAACCACTGGTATTCAGTTACTACCTAGACTACATACAATGTTGTGAGCGCCTCTGTATGTAGTAGTATCTATTTATGTAATTATATATATATATATCTAATAATATTTGGAAAACAAGATGACAGCCCATATGACATGATTGGTGGTTTTTATAATGGATGACAATGATATGGTGCACCACCTTCGATAATGGTTTGTGCTGGCTAAACACTAGTGTAGGATGATAGGGTAAGAATGTGGTCAGGTCCAACTGACTTATCATAATCAACTCTAAACATTGTGATCTACTTTAATTATACTCGGGACCAGTTTGCTTACATTTTAGCTTCCTTCTTATTTATTTTAAATGGCTGCCACTAATTTTGATCTGTGATTTTGCCAGCGCATGTCGCTGTTTGAGAGACTTATTTTTGTACAGAGTTATTTAGTATAGAGAGTTATTTTGTAGCTGTGGCTTATTTCAATTTGCTCAGTAAAGTTTGGCAGCACAACACCTGAGGGACAACAAAACTATTATTAGTAGGGCTTTCATTATTAGGTGGAGAAAACTAGTTAGTAGACAATACACACATATACACTTAATACTATCTCTGATCAACGCGATGGATGACTGGTAGAGAATGCCATTAGGCAATAAGTCCGCCATGTATATAATTTTGTGTGCAAAAGAATAAATAAATAAATAAATAACATTAAATTGAGATAGGTAGTCCATTGGGAGTTACGATTTTAGATTATTTACAATTTATTTTTTAGTTTCTACTGGTTGATTTTCAGTGGAATGATTGGGAGTAATAGATGGCTTTATGAAATTAAAAAAATATATATTCTATATATTATTGCATGCTATAGTCATTAGATACACTAGTATTCGTTTCTGAGAATTGCCGAATCTACAATGTATGAGATTAAACGCGTGCGTTATAATGTAGTTTGTGATACTCGTGACACTCTTGTGCTGTTTGTGTAATAGTATATAGGCGACGGTTATCATTTTCCATCTGGTAGGTCGACAACTCATTTGTTACTCAGTAAATAAAATTTAAGTGTCTGTTTGTAATTTCAAATTAACAGCTTTTGACTACATGCTTATAAAAACAGTATATATGCTTCATACATATTTAATTTTTGGCTCTATGTGCTACTCTTTGAAACGGCTGAACCAATTTTGAAGGATCTATCACTCGCGGATGTTTAAAGTTATTAGGAGTAACTTAGGCTACTTTTATTTATTGTTTTCCACACGGAGGAAGTCGCAAGTAACACAGCTAGTCTTATGAATACTATAGACGTGAAAATTTGTGAATATGGATGTTTGTTATTTTTCACGCAAAAACTACTGAACGGATTTTGATGAAACTTTACAGTAATATAGCTTATACCTCAGAATAACATATAGTCTTTAAATTTCACAGCTAGTTACGTGCTGTTTGGATGATATCACGTCCGGTAAATCCAAATTTAATTTCGTAACGACATGTCAAATTCTCAGTCCACGTTAGAGCCATGTTGCTATATGATTTGTAAAGACAGAACACCCGTATATCCGTCTTGTTATCATTTATCTGTGATAACATAAACTCATGTCTACAAATTGATAACGGATTTGTGCAGTCACTAATTACTAATGTTTTATTGTTTGTTGACAAACAAGGTCTCGTGGCTTATGTCGCATTTGATAATGAACGTATTAAGTAATCTATTTTTATATAATTATCTATATACTATAATTATATACGTAAAATTAAAAAAAATCTATTAAACATCAACCAAAAAAACTTTACTTACTATATATTATAAACGCGAAAGTTTGACTATGGATGGATGGATGGATGATTCTCTTTCACGCAAAACTACAGAACGGGTTTTGATGAAACTTTACAGTAGTATAGCTTAAAAACACAGCCTACAATTTCACGCGAGTCAAACCGCAGGCACTTCTAGTGATACACAAAATCTTCTTATTCATAAGACTTAGCACTGTCATTCGCAGATGATTGTACTCTTTGGTCTTGCTATCGTGCATAATGTGACCATTTACGATCAGTTTGTATATAAAGTAGCCATCAGGCATAAAACTGATGGTAACTGACCAACAGTCGTATGCCTCCTTGTTGACAGAATTTGTGACAAGAATTTAAATTGTCATTGTAAAAGTATCAAAATTAGTATTTGTTGATACATAATATAAAAGCTAATTAACAATAACTAATCGCGACCAGTACGTAATGACTATTATCATTCATATGAAATCTGAACGAAAATTGCATAACATCAATTACAGTTCAATGTCATTGTCGTTTTTTTGCTTAGTCAATATTTTTTATACACTTACATATCTACAGTATTTCCGGATTTCGATGACTAATGATCCATTATAATTAGGTACCTCGTAGACGCTGTCAGATATGTTCGGAACTAGAGTATGAGCATGGGAGAAGGCATAAAACTACATGAAACAATATTGAAATAGGGTTGTAAAATATATTTCAACCCCAACTAAGATTTTGTCTATATTGTCTAATGTCGACAAAATTACTAAACAAAATGGTTGACGAAATGAATATTAACAAGATATAAAACAGTAACTAAATATTTACCTCACTTCGCATATCGTTACTTTATTTACCATTAAATTGTTTACCTGATAACTTGTATTAATAGATAGTAATGTAGAATAAACGCGAAAGTTATCGTCTGCTTCTTCAGTGAAGAATTTTCTTCTTCATTCATTTGGATCGTAATGTTTTTTTTCCATTCATCCCTGTTCGCAGTCATCACTCCATTTCTTGGTATATCATGTTTCATATAGTTCAAATATATGCTTTTCGGCCTTTTGTAACCATCCATATTCATTATGAACATACACGAGTAAACGTAAACGCGAAAATTACTAGTGACATTCATCATCATCATCATCGGTACAAACAAGAGATATAAAACCTTTATGATATATATGGGAAACCATTTGCGTAATCTATGATTTCTATATTACCGTTCGTATTCATAGACGATAGAGCACTTTTTTCAGCTCGTTTATAATAATAATAATCCAGGACAATTCACACAGCGCCATCTAGTCAATGCTAAGCAATGCTTGAATTATGGATGCTAGACTGATAAAAGTGTTTAAATACATTTGTTTTGTAAATACATACCGAAAACACCCAAACCAATACAAATAATCATATTTATGAGGAATTGAACCGCAACCATCGTAACTAAGGAGGTGTGATATTTCGCTAGACCACCGAGACCATCATCATTTATTATAGTATTACAAAAATCCAACTAAGATTGAACTCCTGACCTAAATTACGGGAAGTACTCGTGGCCAGCTACTCCACCGCTGTATATAGGTCGTCTATTTCCTCCAATAAAGACGCAGCCTCAAGTTAATTTCACCCCGGAACAGTTGCGTAGCTAGCGTAATTACGTCTAAGGAATTGACGGTCAACTGGTCAAACCTAATTAGATTACTATTGTGGAGGTTGTTGCAAATTAAGATTTTGCTAAACTTACATAACTTAATCTAGTATTCATATTTCAATTGTGTGTTTGTATGTTTATTTACTTTTTACGACGAAACAAACTGAACTGGTTTGAATGAAATTTGCCATATTTTAAGAAAGCCAAACGTTAATTATTTAGTCATAAATGTCATACGATTTTTATAATTTTTGACCCTTCCTTGTCATATTCAAGTCACAAGTGTAAAACTCTTAAGGTGATCCGGTCAAGCCCACATGGATTATTCAGAGACTTTGTCTATTGTGTTAAAGTTTGTTGCGAATTCATTAAGATTGCTCTAAGCCTAAATTAACTTTGTAACTAATGTCTATTTATTACTTTGTTACGACTTTTACGAACGGACTTTTATGAATTTTGAGATGGATAATTAAAACGTAGCTGTGGCTTGTTTAAATGAATGATAATAATGGAATGTATATACATACACCCGCCTGCCCTAACGGTTTACGCTGTAGGGGCACCCGTGGAGGATGATAAAATGAACATCACAAATTCACCAGGAATTTATCTACTAGCCTCGTGATCTAGTGGTTTAGTGCCTTGATTTACTTCGAAGGTCATGGCTTCATATCTAATCGACTCGGATAACTGTATAACTCATTTACCGCAAAATATGACTAAATCTGGAAGACGGCGAGTTCAACAACTTGTCACGTTGTATTCAAATACGCTATACATCATATCATATGTAGGTTCACCATAACATCCACAGCATTATCCCATTTCATATTCCAGTCGAGTTTTAATAAATAATATAGTAGGTACCTACATATATATATTTTTTCGGTCTTAATCTGTTGGCCGCAGCTGGGCTTTATAGCTTCACCGGACTATGGGGGGTGAGTGCAGATGCTACTCCAAACCAAAGGAAGGACTTATGGAGCGGCTGAAGGCCAACTCCCGTCTGACGGATACGACTTCAGTCTGAGGGCACCGCCAGGGTTCAAACCTCGGCTCAGGCCGTCGTAATTTCAATCTCCCTTTGAATTGGACGGAGAATCGATCGGAGGGGATATATTCCATATTATAAATAGTCACAGTTGTCCCCTCCCCTGTCCTATTCAAATGCGGATATAATTCAAGATGGTTTGAGCCAAAGTTCGAACTCCTAGAGCTCTCAGACTTAAATCGTTTCCATCAGGCAAGAGTTTATCTGCAGCCGCTCCATCTCAGCAAGTCCTCGGGTTTGGAGTATTGTCTGCACTCGCCCCTTATCATTCGGTGAAGCTGTAAAGACCAACTGCGGTCAACAACATTAGAATAAACACTGTTTTAAACTTGTTTTCACGGTTGTTTACATTTACATACAATTCATACACACACGAGATATTTACCATACAGCTAATTGAAAGATGTATCGAGTATTTCATATTTATGATACAGCAGATCGGTAGGTCAAAAAACATATCCATGTATGCTGTCCATACATTTTATTTCAGAGAATTGTATGGACCTATATGTACCCATTTTATAACCACTGTGCACACCATATTCCTCGCAAAATAAACAATTTCATTTCCTCATTTCATATATAACATTTCTGTTGTCTGTAACTGAAATATGAATTGGCGTAACTTGTGAAAAATTAATGATACACAATATAATGCAATTTTGGACAGCATCAGATGTTTTATATTAATATAATACATACCAATTTTCAAATTCTCTATAAATGTATAAGATTATTGTAGTGTTATATAATCATAATAATATTATTGAAATATCGGGAGCTCTTTAATAATATTATCACCGTAAACATCTCGTGTTTATAATGTGTGGATGCATCAGAATTGTCCGGCGAAAAAGGACAGTTGTTTGATTTCATAAATAGGTTACAAACAGAATGAGATTAATAATATATTTATTTATATACTAGTTATAAATAATACGTGAAGCAAAATAAATTAAAAACAGCACGGACGCAGGAGTATGAAGTTTCGCATACTTTTAGTTCATATAGAGAAGGAGTGCAGAATAGTAACATTTATTTTAAATAATGCATAAAAATACATAAAGTCAATAAAAAAAAACTTTACACACTATTTAACTCAAGGTCAATTTGAGATTAGATTAATATTGTAATTTGAAATATAATCATAATTTAAATTATTTATTTATGGTCGAAATTCAGCCATTGAGCGACCTACAACCACAATGAGGTGCACCTATACAATTCTGGTTTTCAGGCAGAAATTTTGATTAAAGATTAAAGATAAGTCAAAAACTACTGATTAGATTTTTATCAAATTTAGATGGGACCACATGAGAAGTATCGTCATTCAAGTCATTGCCTTGCCTTTATCTCATTATTTAGGATCGGCGCAGTACGTCTTCATCCACTGATCCCTGATATCTTTCATACAAAAAGCATTCAATCAAATAATAGAAGGAATTATTAAAAACTAAAATTTAGAAAAAAGTTTTAAGATAACACAAGAAAATATACAGTCGAATTGAGAACCATCTGATTTTCTAAATAAAATTGCAAGTAACAGCTAATATGTTAACATACCATGTCCATAGTGCTAACGAATGGCTAACTTAACCTCGGACATTTGCGACATGACTTTTGTTGTTGTCAATATAAAAATTAAAATATTTGTCGTGACCATTTCTATATTTGTGCCATATATTTTTTTTATTTTTTGCACTATGTTTTTACGTTATCATTTATCATATGTGATTTCCTTTTGGCGTTTCTATCGCTCTGGACACCGACTAAACAAATTTTAAGTCTTCTCTAATCAATACGACTGCTTTACTCTAATTTAGTTCTTTTTCTTCTACTTATTCGATACGCTTTTGTCAGAACGGTCGTGGTCATTATGTAGTAGAGTGAGCGGCAGATGTCATCCGCCGTACAACAGCTCGCCACTTCTACCTGGATGCCATTCTGGTACACTCGTGGAGTGGATTATTTAGTTATTGAACCAAAATATTAAGTACACAACCAGTTGGTTGTGTAATTAATATTTTGACTCTTAATCAATTAGTACTATTTAGTAGTTTGTATTCACACAATTTAACTTAAAAATGTAAAGTTATAACAGTTATTTAAAACGGCAACACGCAACTATCTGGTTATCTCTGTGATGATACAGCTTTCAGAATGAGATTAAAAAATAAGTATGACTATTCAAAAGTGGTTTAGTTTATTTGAATAAAGAATTTTCTATTCTATTCTATATTTATTTTATTAAGACTTGGGAATCCTATCAGTTCCGGATGGTGTTAGCAGTTAACTTGTAAGATAACATAATTACCGACATCCGCAGTAGTTGCTTGATTGCATTACGAACAACGTGTCGAAATAATTTTCTCCTTCTGTCGAACCTGTATCACGTACACAACATACTATTACGACTATTATCCCGGATGATGTACTCAGAGGCATTGTCAATTATCGAGGTCATTAAGAAACTTACACTAAATATGTCCATTTCGCTGGGATCGAAGGTGGTGATAGTAAGTGTAGACATACGTCGGTATAGGGGCTCCTTAAACCTGCGCCCGAGCACAAGTCCTGGGAACTACTCGGAGTTTCCCTCTCTGCCACACGATGGACTCGACACCCGTACGGTGATTCCTTGGAATGCTGAAACATTCGTCTGTCTGGTCAGGGGCGAGCCTACCGTCTCTCGAATTAATTTTGTTATCAAACACCGATAACAAAACCTTAAATTATCCTGAATTAATCTCTTCGTCACCGGAGAGTCAGTTACAAACAAAAATAGTCAGTTTTTTGGTAAGAACCCGATTTGAACTTATGACTATCTGAGGTGTATCTGAGGTGGGGAAACTACTAAGGACACGACGTCCTTATCACATTTACATTCATATATATGACTGACCAAGAGCGATTCGTCATGAGATGCCTAATAGCTCGTACCGTGAGTATGTTTTACTTATTGTCTCTGATTGTTATGAATTAAAAAAAATTTTTTTTAATACTCGCAAATAAACAATACTTATGTGTAAGTAAATGACTACGCAAAATGTAATCGGTACTTAATTTATCTTTTGTTTTTTTTTTCAAAAATAAAAAGGAAAAGCCAAACAGCTTAATGTTGAAAATATGTTTAGTGTTTGATTTGTGTTGAATAAAAGAGTAAACATATTACGCCGACCCTAAATAAATGGGATAAGGGAGAAACTGTTGATGATGATGAATAATAATAATGCAACTATTGTCTATGGATCCATTATTCACAATTTACATTGTAATTAAATATCATTAATATGTATATACTTTTATACATCAAATAAAATGTAACATTTTATTTTATATAGACAACATAAAGTGATACATATTTATGAAACAATTAACATAAACATACAAGATACACATTTACCTTGTTTTCTCATGTAAATATCTGGGCAAGCTTGTTTATTGTAGACTAGCTATACCCGCGACTTCGTTCGCGTGGAATTTAACTTAATTTTTTTTAAATAAAAGTAGCCTAAGTTACTGCTTATTACATCACCTACCTGCCAATAAAAGTCACATCAGAATCGGTTCAGCCATTTCAGAGATTAGCCGGAACAAACAGACAGACAGACAAAAATTGTAAAAAATGTAATTTTGTATTTCAATAGAGTTAAATAAACAAATAGAGATAATATTAAATACACAACCAATTGGTTGAGTAACTAAGTAAGAGTAAATCAGTGGTAGTGATTAGAGCAGATCAGACCCTACAAGCAGCACTCGTTCACGAGTATGACGGACGAAGCAGCCGTCACTGTTCATTATTAGCATGCGCTACTTGTGCTAATCTCACGCACAGGTGGCAGGGAATTCTTAGTAATATGGATGGATGACTCCATTGCTAGCAATGTACCATATCAGGTTTACCTCCACGCGCTCCCCCTGAAAACCATAGTGGTAAATTCCTGGTGAATTTGCCTCATTCTATCATCTTCCATTGGCGCTCCGTAACGTAATCTGTTAGCGCAGGCGGAAGAACCATACCATTATCATCCATTAAATGGAAATCTTACCCACAGTTGAATAAACAAAAATTCTAAAAATCATTTTGGGTTCTAATACATTGATGAGTTTGCGAGTACGTAGTAATCGATTTGATTTACTCCAGGGTTTTACAGACGAATGAATTCCAATTAGTGGCTCAGATCAGGGGTTGTCCATTCCTTGTATTGATAGAAATGCATATGGGGAATTGTTTATTGGCAATTCTAACTCGTTCGTTTTAATATGAACTCTATTATGTACAGATTAAGTGTTTATATTAACTGGATTTTGTATGCAACTTGGCGTGTTCGATAAATAGCAGCCTATGTTATGTATGCCCACTGTTCATTCAAAGTGGTGATAATTGATTAAGTCTTGGAGACCTAACAAAACATTAATTCAGTTATGTATATGTTAATATTACTATTATCATTATCTTTTTCTTCTTATATATAAAAATGAATAGATGTTTGTTAGTCTCGCTAAAACTCGAGAACGGTTAGAGTGTATTGTCTAATTTTGGTTTGGAAAATTTGTAGAACTCCAAGGAAGGTTTAAGTGGTGAGAAAATATGAAGAAATTGCATGGAAAAAATTAAAAACAACAATTTAATTTTCCGATACAAACTGTTCGTCAAACATATTTTAGTATTTATGATGGCAATATTTGATGTTGCTATCGTGTATTGAACTAAAGCGGCTTAACTAGCGCTAGACCATTGAGGTCTAAACGTGGTCAGTAATATTTTATGTTCCATTACCTTCAGCTCCACCTGACGAGGACCGTGAGGATGACTTCCGGGCGCCTCTGTATCGCAGCGTGGAAATAAACGGCATCACGGTGCGGATGAAGTGGTGCGTCACATGCAAGTTCTACAGGCCGCCCCGCTGTAGTCACTGTTCTGTGTGTAACCATTGCATAGAGGTAAGCTGTATTAGAAATATTTTCTTTCTTTCTTTATTTATTTCTATTATTTCTTTCTCTATGTAGGGTAGAAATAAAACAATATTGTTTTAATGTCACATACAATTACATCTATAAACACAAAGGGAAACGATCATTGTAATCTAATGCGGTACATCGTGTATATCCAAGATGCTGGCAGAGTTTCGCTACCAGCTCTCGGGTCACAAGTAACCTCGATGACCCGCGCTGAAGTACTTGTCAAAAATAATTTAGCTACTGGAATCTGTGTGCCCAACGTCTCCATAATGTAAAATATGTATATATTTGGTAAAAGGCCCACACAATGTCTTCAGTAAAATTATCTAAACTATAGAAGACACATGCCTATGTTTCTAAATGTAAAGTTCTAATTATAATGCTTTTTATTAACAAGAGTCAGACATAAATTTAATAATAAAGCCAATATAAGCGCAGTTATATTTTGCATGTTAAAATTAGGTATTTGTTGTATTTTTTGTCATAATCATACCATAGTCTAGTTGTTTACTACTCTGACGGTCAGAGGCATTGTTGCTTAGATGTAGCATCTAGCATTGTACCATGATTGCCAGGTGCTTGCTCAGATGGGGTTGGAAATTATGATTTATTGGAAAGAATTTCAGATTAACCTGCATGCTCTCTCTATGCATGGGTCCCTCTGGAAACCATTATGATAAATTTAACATAATGGGATAACTAACCTGACCTTACGCTCATCTTATCATCTGCACTAATGGTTTACGCTTTGATAACAGTTATAAGGTTTTATAATGTTTTTTTTCACGATTTAAATATTATGTTTTGTTTCATTACAGACATTCGACCACCACTGTCCGTGGGTGAACAACTGCATAGGGCGTCGGAACTACAGATTCTTCTTTTTCTTCCTCATTTCTCTATCAATGCACATGCTGAGCATATTCGGGCTCAGTCTCTACTACATAATGAATAATAACAAGACTTTGACACAAGTGACGCCCATTGTCTCGTATCCTTTTTACATATTGTTTTTATCACTTTGTCACACCAGCACTGTTATCTTACTAAATCTTACTAATATTATAAACTTGTGAGTATGTATGGATGTTTGTTATTCTTTCACATAAAAATTACTAAACGGATTTTGATGAACTACAGTAATATAGCTTATACATCAGAATAACAGGCTATAAATTTCACGCGGCTGAAACCGCAAGCACGGCTAGTGTTATACTAAACGTGAGTGTTCAAAAATAAGTGCTCACAAAGGTCGTAGTTAATGTTTTTATTGAAGAACTAGATTTTGCCCGCGGCTTCACTCGCGTTAATTTATCCCCTTAGGGGTGGAATTTATCAAAATACTTTCTTAGGGGATGCCTACGTCGTAGCTTTATGCATGCAAAATCTCAGCACGATCGGTTTAAAATTGACAAAGTTTCATACAAACTTTCATCTCCTATTTTATCCCCTTGGGGGTAGAATTAATCAAAATCTTTTCTTAGCGGATGCCTAAGTCATAACATCTACCTGCATGCCAAATTTCAGTGCAATCCGTCCAGTGGTTTAGACTGTGTGTTGATAGATCACTATGTCAGTCACCTTTGAGTTATATATATTTAGATGAACTCCTTAACAGATAACAGAATGGTAATAATGGGTATAATCGCACTACTAGCGATACCAATATTTGGGCTTACCGGCTTCCATATGGTCCTCGTATCGAGGGGGCGGACCACCAACGAGCAGGTCACCGGCAAGTTCACAGGCGGCTACAACCCTTTCTCGAAGGGTTGCTGGCACAACTGTTGTTATACTCAGTTCGGACCGCAGTATCCTAGGTACGAGTTTTATATAATAATCATACAGCGCCATCTATATTGTTAAAGTGAAATTACAGGATAAGGTATATCCTAGTCCTATGGAATGCTAATGTATATTGGTATTACGGGTGTCACATGATAACGTGATGCCCGTAGTGCTGTTCATGTATATAGGCAACGATTACTGTTCACCATCAAGTGGTTAATTTGAGGTAGGTTTTTACTATTTGAAATATCAAGGTACATATGTATGAGATTTAATTCTCCGGAATTATAAAGCATAAACGGCACTACGGCCATCACATGATATCTTCATATCTCTGGTGCTTTTTTTTCTGTATACATATATATATATATATATATATATATATATATATATATATATATATATATATCTTAATGACTCTACCCACCAACCAAACACATGGAGTAGTGTTATAATTGTGTCTGTATATTTTCTTCTAAAATGCATCCATTTAGGACCTTGTAACTCTGTTGAAATCTATAATTTACATTAACGCTAAAACTATTGCCTTAGGACAGAAATTCTTTGAAATAATAATAATCAAGTTAATTGAATATGCATCACATTAGTATCAGGCAGATCCATCAGAGTTGCCTATCAAAAAATAATCTATAGCACTCAGCCTGTATAGCCTTAAAAATAAAATTGTGACCTTTCTTGTTATTTAGACACCGATAAATTATCTGGTAATATATTTTTATTCACTACAATATACAATTATTCCTTGTAGTCTATTAAAAGTAGAAAATGTTTTAAACTAAAAATTAAGATGACTATTCAAAAATATATAGAACATAGATATTTTTTAATTATAATTTATAATAACCTATTACGGTAAATATATTCTTTGGAGTATTAAGAATAGTACACAAAAATAGAGTAGTTTTGAATTCTAATTTAGGGTTTCTTTGATGCTATTCTCAACTTATATTAAAGTAGATGTAGAGCGTTCCTTGGACAATCATATTGAACGTCATTAAATGACAAATTGCAAGAAGCACTTGCATTAGAAATTACTCCAAGCTTTGTAAAAATTACTTCGGCGTGTATTACTGCATGATGTGGCAGTTAACAAGCAACTTCTTCCTTTCTTTTTATAACGAAAGTTAGACACAATGTATTTACGCCCTAAATCAATGTATTCATTGATAAACCTTTTATATTGTAGTTTTAAATGTAGTAGCTTATTAAACCTACATTCTAATCCAAGCAAATATTTATAACCTAAATTAAAAGAATTACCTATCTCTTGTAACTTTTGATCGCCGATAGGTAAATTAACAGTAAATCGGCCCCTATTATCTCTAACCGTAGTGCTCTTGAAAATATCCTCACATTTCTGTTGCGCTGTTGTCGCAACTGACGGTGAAGGATCTTTAATTTCATCTTGCTCCCAGAACTTAGTCAATAAGTCCTTGCAACAAATATCATTGTAAGAGCAAAGAGAAACAACCTTATTATTATTATTACCCCTAAGCTCTACTGGACCAGATATAAGCCATCCTAATGTCGATTTAATCATAGATGGACGCCTAGAGCCTAAAGATATAGTTTCTCCATTTACAATATGAAAGAATAACTCGGCTCCAATGAGCATATCAATATCTTTACTTATAAAAAACTGTGGATCAGCTAATATAAACTCCGAAGGTATATTCCACCTAGCAATATTAATATCCATATGAGGAAGTGGAACAGTAATTTTATCAGTAACGTTGCAATTAAGTATATAAGTAGTATTAGAGAATGTTGAATATATTTTTAATGTAGTATAATATTGTGTAATCTTAGGAGAATTACCAATGCCTTGTATTTGGCAACTGTGTGAGATCAATTTTGAATTTAATTTGTCCGTTAAGTTTTTAGTTATAAAATTTACTTCGCTGCCCGAATCTAGTAATACGCGAGCGTTTATCCAGTCGCCCCCTTGAGTACGCAACCTAACTATTGCGGTGCTTAATAAAACCGTACCTGGATATTGAGTAGGCCTGGCGACAAGAGCAGCTGCATGTGGGACTGATGTCTCTATATTACCCGACATTGTATGTTCATTTGTGGACTGAATAACAGGACTAATCTCGCTTTGAGTGGAAGTACCTGCCCTAGGATGCATATTCAATTAACTTGATTATTATTATTTCAAAGAATTTCTGTCCTAAGGCAATAGTTTTAGCGTTAATGTAAATTATAGATTTCAACAGAGTTACAAGGTCCTAAATGGATGCATTTTAGAAGAAAATATACAGACACAATTATAACACTACCCATGTGTTTGGTTGGTGGGTAGAGTCATTAAGACAGAATTCAATAAGGCACCTTTCATAGACCTATAAAACATGCTTGTTAATTTCATTATTTCCTGTACATTTTATTCATAAATTAGTTAATATTCATATTCACATCTTCTAAGGTGGAGTATGTTTAAAACCTGTTTTGTACATAAATATTTAAAAACATTATAAAAAACAATTGAAATATATTCACATAAGTCAACAGACAACAGTCTTTGATTTCATACATAATAATGTATAATATATAAAAGAACCGGCAAATACAACCACATATAACCGACTCTTCCTAATTCCAGTTGCATAACCTCAATATAGCCAAAGGGGTAAGATATAACAAAATGAACCGTACATAGTACAACATCGACGACTTCGGTGGTCTAGCGGTCTATGGCTATCAGTTGTCTAGTACCCATAACACAAGCTCTGCTTTTTTGGGACCAGATGGCGCCGTGTGAGTTGTCTCGAAAATATGATTATAAGTAATGTTTGGTAGCTTGGTGCGGCCGGCTAAGTACATCTACAAAAGCAGCAAGAAGCGGCGCGAAGCGTTGCCGCCCGGGGCGCTGTCCGCGTCCGCCATCTCTACGATCGCGACCGACACGCAGCACCAGGTAAAGACGTACACGGCGGACAACGGCAACGCGCTGCGGCCCGCAGGCCCGCACGCCCACTACAACAAGGTGAGAGCCAGACGCGATCTCATTCGCACACTACACGTCCGCTTCCCACACTCCACCGAATATTCATATATGCAACACGATTGTGCTAATTCAAAGTTTATTTATAGTAGGGTCTTATATTTATTAAAACTTAGTGTATTAAATGACTTATTAAATGCTATTAAGTTAGAGTTTTATACTTATTGAAATTTGGTACTAAAGAAGAGTTTGACTCTGTAAGCATTCTCTACTAGCCGACGCCTTCGGGAATAAAGATACAAATATGTCAAATCTATCTACTAATATCAGATGTTTAAATATTTAAAATAGTAGTATAGAATGATAGATAGAATATATTTTAATATTAATGATTATTGTAATTATTTATGAAGTACAAATTAAATAAATTACATGCAATCTTGTTGTATATTATGAGTCTTTCCTACCTTGTTCCACACTTCCCGCTACATGCTTCGCGCTACCTGCTACCGCTACCTACCCACTACTGCCCAATATAGTTTGTTTGTATCGCGTGACAATTTCCTTTATTATCCTTATTTTTTCTTTTTTTGCATTTATTGTGTGATTTAATATACTAACCACATCTGAATATTTTTTCTATGGTAATGTCTAACCATCAAGAATTGTAATCTGATAAAATTAATATAGCACATGTTTGATTTTGTATTTATATGTGTTTTAGCGATTATCGACCTGTAATCTGTTTACGGGAATGGGCATAAAAATACAGTGAAAATTACATTTCGTAAAGGACACTAACATTATATCCTATAGATTCCACAATGCAGTAAATACACATGATGTTACTGTATCCTTACCCCAGATTCTAATCATTCTTAAAATTGGTGTATCTGGTTTGTTCACCCGCAAGTCTAGTATCTGGTTATTAATGAGATATATTGGTTTTTACTTGTGGGCAAATAGTGCATATTTATTTAGTATGTATACTTACATGTATAGATTTTGTATCCCCATTACTAGTTCCCATAATATGTTAGACTAGACCTGGATGTAGACTTTCGCACATTTATAAATTTTTTATTTCATTTCGAATAAATTTATTTTTAGGTAATTTCTGTTAAGCAATTCTATTATTTAATATATTAATTTTAATCTACTGTTATTAAATCATCCACAGTAATTAACATCCAGCTCTTACGAAGACTTAGTTAAAAACTTGAGTTTCGCAGAGTATTCTGTTTTATAGATCCATTCGGAACATATAGGAGAAATAAATATTGAAATGTAAATATAACAGAAATTTCATATACCACTTGTAATATACAATCTTTTGATATTGTATAGAGTTATATAATATGTTTTTTTTTTCTCTTTTTTTAAAGCATCATAATTACAAGCTTCTAGAGATAGAAATAGCTTAACACCACTCATACGCAGTAGCTATGTCGAACATTTAGTAATCATGCTTGTAGAGCATACGAATACATACCTTCAATTCACGTTTATAAGTTCTATTATTGCACTCACACTGTTATATATATATATCGGTGTTATGTGAATTGAAGACATGGTTATGTCTGGCTCTCTAACTATACTTACTTTCTTACGTTTTTTGTATGCATTTTTATGGATATCAGGTGGGATTATTTTATTGTTATTTCCTTTAATAGTTTTTTTTATTTAATCTATTATATTATATATACTAACATTAAGATATATCATAACATTCAATTTTATATTGCACTCTAGTATATACATTTAAACAACGCGTTATTTTGACATGAAATAATCACAGGGTTTAGATTTTGTAACGCAATTTCAATTTGTTCTTATTTTAAGCTGCTTGATATCATTTTGTAAACTAACATTTATCAGGTAACTGAGAGTTGTTATAACCCAAATTATACGCAACGCAACTACATCAACATTCATACATGATCGCAAAATTGTCAATTTCAAACAGCTTCAAATAAGAAACAATTACAATTTAATTCCATAATTAAATCCCACTAATACCACTATGGGTACTTTTATATTATATTACTTTCTCATTTCATCTTTCGGATTTCTTAAATTAGTAGTCGGTTAATGAAATAACGTAAAATTATTCGTATTATAGTGTACACAGCTTCACACAGATTGTAGAGTCAATACTAGCCAATGTTAGACGATAGATTCTCAAATTGTTTTATACTATAGATATATATATATATATGTTATTGTTATCATCAAAAGTTAGCAGGTATATCTCGAGAAAATATATTCCAATTTTAACATAGCTACTTGAATTAACCTTTCTATTCTGTGTACAAATAATAGGTAACCTTAGAACTAAAATAATTCTAACGAATTTACATTACATTTACTATGTTTGTTACGCTATCATGTCCTAACAGTTTGACCTGTCTATATATATGTAGCATTTGAGATGAAATAGGATATACTACTAGACTACTTGATAGATGTCACTTTTTTACTCCAAAATGTTTGAGAATCTAATTATTCGTTAGTCGCCTTTACATAATACATTCTATCAGGAGCGCTTGCCTATGTTAATATAGGCAACATTTACATTGTCTTTGCGGCATTAAAGCCGATTTGTACGTGTAAAGGCAGCTATTAAGCTTCTTCAAAATACCAATTTCGTCTCAGTGAACGAAAAGAAGAGTCCTTTTAGGTTATTATGTGATGATGAGTGGGCAGGTGTATAGGATCGATTTTATGTCGGACAGCTGTCGCCGGGGCGCGAGGAGCACGAGGGCGAGATGGAAGGCCCCGGGGCTTCGCAGAGCGCGGACTGCGAGCCCACGCCGCCGCCCGTGCAGCGCCGCGGCTCGTCCGCCAACCTGTTCCCGCCCGCAGAGCCGCACCACCACATGCCGCCGCGCCCGCACCACTACCCGCGGCTCAGTCCGCTCTCCAGAAATACGAGGTACGTATCCTCACCACTCCTCAGTCCACTCTCCAGAAATACCATCACCACCACTCGTACACCGTTTGTATAGTCACAGATAGTCGCAGGTCTTCTGCACAAAGAGGGTAAAGGTTGGGCCTCGGGGGGCCAATTACCCGGGCATCAACTCCAGCGGCATTAATTCCCTCACCACTTTCCTAAAATACCACCACTCATGCATAGTTCAATCACAGACAGACACGGGTCTTTTGTATCACCCTAGGGGGGTGAGGGTCCTCGTCGAAAGGCCCCCGTTTGCCTCGCCATCTATTCCAAGGATATCAATCCCAGGGTAACTAGATAATCTTATAAGTTAGGACTTTAGATAGTATTTAAATTATATTAACTTTAGAGTACATTTAAGTACCATGCTTTGGGAGTCCCCAATGCAAGGTACTTAAATGTACTCTAAAGTTAATATATATATATATATATATATTTATTATTGAGTCCTTGTTGTGCTAAAAGTACGTGACATACTCACATTCCACTGACAGTATTTGTCTCTTTCATTATTTTGGTTTCTTATTCGTCTTTGTCATCGCCGGAGTTTCAATCAGATGCTCAAATTTACACAAAAAGTTTGTAGTGTCAGCTAGATTTAACCTTACATTAACAAAGATAGGGTATGTATTGAAAACTTCGAGAACAGAGTTTTTTCTCTCTTATAAGGCCGGCAACGCACTTGCAATTCCCCTGGTGTTGCGGGTGCTAATGGGTGGTAGTAATAACTTACTACCACCTTAGTTTAATACTTTAATCATCACTTTGTTTCTAGTTTTGTTGTATAAATAAAATATATTATTACTTGTATTAATCGACAAGCTTCAAAAGTGTTTTTACAATGTCATTAGAATATTGCAGTGCGATAAATGCGTTTTTTGTTTATATTGTTTATGGACATGAAATAAACTATTTCATCCTATAGGCTCTTATCAACGAAAAATCTATGGCTGTTATTGGGACGAGGTCAGTGATGGGAATAATGGATTATAATATCTTTAATGCAGTCACGGAGGAACGACGACTTCGGGCTACCGGGTCGTAATCGAGCCGTTACGATACGACCCCGGCGCCAACGTTGGCGCTCGGCCTTCACCAACGATGCAGCAGCGGATAAAGGCGCTAGGAGTGCCCACGCCGCTCGCCGTCAGCAGCCCCGTGAGAAGGTACGTTTGATAAGGGCTCGTCGGGGGACCGGGGGAGACAGCGGGGGACGAGATTGAAACGTAACCCTCACAAAATGTACATAATAAAATACAAAGGTTGAATTAAAATTAATAAGATCCTATCTCGTATTCAGCAAAGCAAAGAGGATATAAATATTACTTTAACATGGAACAGTAATACGTTTTGTTGCTACTTTTGTATTTCATTATATTATGCTCATTTAAGAAATATAAATCAGAACATTTTCGGGTTAATTTTAATTTTCATTGAATACTTCTTGCCTCCACGGAATCTCTTTATTCTATTATTCTTGGTTTTTAAGATTAGAGTATTTGCAATTGGTTGATCCTTTACAGCATACATATGTTTGAGGGTTACGTTTCAATTTTGTTCATAAATATAAATACAGTACAATACAAAATTATTGTTCAAAATTCTTAGTAAATGTTGGGTGTCCACATTTGCAACTTTACACAATTTGCTTAATGTTATTAGCCCAATTATCGTATAAAGGACCAATTGGCGATATATTAAAAGAAGAATGTTCTCATAAATATAGGTATTTATATGATTTCCCATTGTATCATGGCCTGTTCCCATCATATGACTAACTAAACTCGTTGACAACTAAAACGTCCCTCTCCAGACACAAATGCATCGCTTATATGTTTTTCTTTAATGGAGTGTTTATTTGCATGTAAATTGGTTTGCGTATTCACAAATTGTTAGAGGTGACCATTGAACGGTAACTCGAAGTGTCAGTATACAACTTCATTGTTGTGTTTGCTTTGATGTTATAAGGTTTGTTTATATTCGATAATAATTTATTAATTTACTATCTGTTATTACATCCAAAAGGATAAAATGGAAACCTTTTTGTACATTACATTTTTTATAAGATTTACTACCTTGAATATAAGCAAATCTATGGACACTTCAGCAGAGGTGTTTGGTTGTATTATTTGTACAGAAAAATAATTATAATATCTAAAACACAATAAAAAAATAAAGAACTGAATACATTATTATCGTAAAGATAAATGATGTATAAAAATCTTATAATACTTTTACTACACTAATATTAGGAGAACATTATTTTCATAAGAGATATATTTTAATTGTATTCAGTTCTATAGGAATTAAAATAAGAGTTTTCTACTGCTTATCCAATTAAACATCTCTCACTCATTCTATCTCATGAGTATCGTAAATTGATCTATTGGCCATGCTGGTTAGCATCCATTGTCGGTCTATCATAGGCCTTATAAAATAGTGGACATTTGTGGACATTTTAAACTAAAACCTTCACATCATCAGTCATTAATATAATAGTAGCTGTTAATCAATTGAAATTGCTTTAAGTATTATAATTTTAGGGGACCGACGAAGGACGCAATGCAGTACGACTACAAATAAGTAATTTGTTTAATGTTGAGTTGACCAATGTATATTAACTAATATCGACTAACACTAAAATGCATGATAGTTACTGTATTAGTTATTATTGATGTTTGATTTTATCAATTTCTGATGGCATATGGAATTAACTGTATTCAATAAATTATATATAATAATAATATTAAATTCATATTAGGTAGTTAGTTTATCTGGATGATTTCATATATATATTAATGCAAGTAATTCTTTTGTAATTTTGATTATAAAAGATTATAAAAGCATTTTAATATTTAATAAAATGTTAAATGAATAATTATTCTAAATTTTCATCATATTATTACTATTCATTAATATTTGTAATTAACAACTTGTTTAGGACTTCAAACTAACTTTTTATTAACAAATACATTTCTCGACTCCTGAAACTAAAGTCATTAACATAATATAACGTAATTTTACGTCATAAAACTATTGTTTTAAAATTACTCCTAACATCTAATTCTTGCATATCTCCTACCATTTATTAATAAATTAATCAGTTCTTTTGTTTGGGGGCTGCTAGTTAAATGGATGATGTAGGGACTTTAATCTTTTTCGTTTTGCTTATTAATGTCGTCGTACTGTATGCAATTAATAGATACAGAATATAAAATGACCGTTTACCGCTTACCACGCGGCAGGTGGACCTAACGCATAGGGACGACGTGTCGACGGTAACTCGTAATGAAATTGTTGTGTTTGGTTTTGTGTGTTTATTATAACTACTGTACAGGGCTAGTTGTAAGTATACGAGGCCAAAAACTAGGGATAGTATTCATGACTGTGGACTGTTTCCAAAGAAGCAAGGTTTCAATTCTTAGAACCCTCTTAGTTACAAAGGATTTAAGAATTATTTTCAATATCTGTACGCCAATGTGATATTTAGTATGAAATGTTCAAAATTTGTAATACTTAAAACTCTTATAGATAGAAAGGTTTTAAGGATTATTTTCAATATCTGCGCGGTAATGTGATGATTAGTATGAAATATTCATTATTTGTAATTCTTAAAACGCTTAGATGTAGACAGGTTTTAAGAATTATTTTCAATATCGGTGCGGTAATGTGATAGTAGTCTGAAATGTTTAAAATTTGTAATATTATGAAATGTTCATAATTTGTAATTCTTAAAAGCTTTACATGTAGAAAGGTTTTAAGAATTATTTTCAATATCTGCGCGGTAATGTGACATTTAGTACTAAATGTTTAAATCTATTTAATACGAAATATTCAACATTTGTGACTGTTAATACCCTTATAGGTAGAAAGTAGTCGAAAGGTTTTAAGCATTATTTTCAATATCTGCGTGGTGATGTGGTATTTAGTATGAAATGTTCAAAATTTGTTAAAATATTTTCACTTTGCTTCTTGGTGAAAGTAGTGGATGAAAGTTGGTTCAGTTTCATGAATATTCTTCTTCGTTTTCGGCTAAGCTAAACCTTTACGACTAACCCTGTATATGGATTGGTGGAATTTTAATAAAATAATTACTAGACTAGAATTTTAATAAAATAACCCATTACTTTATTGTGACAAACAGACAACTGTTAATTTTCAAAACATTTACAGTATAAATAAAGAAAGGAAAGAGATATTTTTAAACAATTTCTTTAAATTGAAGATTTTTTTTTAATTAAATATTTTTGTTAGAATTTGGAAGTATTTTTCTACATTATTTATATCGTATAAATTCCACAAATTCGTTTGTAAATACATTTTTTATTCATGTGGCTGCATCTTTGATTTTATTTGCTAAACTGATATCCTAAATACCTATTGGACAGGTTGTAAATAATACACAAACTTTTCAATAATAAGGTTATTTTTCTACGGTTTATACTTTTAAATTTTATGTACAATGCTTTTTGTGCTTTTTTTTAGAGTACGTAGTTTTTTTCTTCGAAAGTACAAACAGCATTGTTTTCTTTTGTATTATTTATACAATATTCAGCATGTTTTGGATAAACACGTATATTTTTTTTATCGGTACAGAATAAGTTACCTATGTATCATAAATATTCAATTTATAAGTAGTTTTAAAATTTAAAAAAGTACTTATTCTCTACCAGTAACAACACTTAAGTTTGTATTATATTTTTTTATTTGCAAGCTGTTGTCACAAAACGGACCGAAGTCGTTTCGCGACTCACTATACAATGGCGGGTAACGGCTATCAACTGTTGTCTATGGTCGATATATGATCACAGATAATAAATGTTTTATGGTAAAATGTCAGTTAAATATGATTTCAGTCATTATCATTTTTACATGCTTTTGTTTCATTTTCATGTTATTTGTTTTGTATTAGTTATTATGGTCTATAACATTAATTTGTTTGAATACATATTCAGTCACTGCTAGAAATATGTAAGCACCGAGTAATAAACACTGCTTTTGAATGTTTTTCCGGTTATATGATAAAGTTTTAAGAGTTAAAAATTCATTCATTTTTGGCCATTGTTAGGGTCGCGCTAAATTTTTCGGAATGTTTGTGTTGTTTCCTGGTGTGATATGTTTATGAAATAATAATTTTAATGATATGCATTGTTATTGAATTCAGTTGTTATTTGTGATTATCACGCCAGGAATAAAGCTTGCAGTAGCAGTGATGCCAGATCGTGGGATTTCCCTTCAAATTGGGGGATTTTTGGGCATTGAGGGGGGTAATACAAATGTGTAGTGGATTTGTAGTAGTACAAAATAAAGATATTTATGTTCTTAACAGCTTTTTAGCTGATTAAAACTAATAAGAAATCGCAGAACAGACGCCCTAAAGAAAGGTCAGCAGTTTTACAAACCTATCGAAGAGCTATTGTAGAGCATGTGCCCTAAAATTTATTTATTTATTTGTTTCATCAAAAAGACAAGGACACGGGGAAGTGAGTAATTTATTTTGAGATTTTTCTTGAAAACTTGTTAAAATTTGGGGTGAATACCACATCTGGCAACACTGCAGTAGCCTGTAGTGTGGATTATAGTGTAATATATTGTAAATTTGAGGCATGTGGCGTTGGCATGCTCCCCGCAACCGTAGTAGGCGGCCGCCGCCGACGGACCTAGTTTGCAATACGTTCAGAACTAGGTCTCCTCTAACGACCTGTCGCGGCATCGTATTTGTAAATTTTAACATTCTTACTATTGAAGTAGAGTAGATTTCACATTGTTTTGCTCTCTATATACCGTTGGCATAGAGGAGGGTTGCAAAGTACAAATTTTGTAGTTTCAATACAATAGCAATTTTACTGGTTAATTTTTTCATTTTGTCCCAATTAGTTCATACCGAAATGCTATTGTTTTTAAAATTATAAGTAGACAACAAAATTACATTGATCAATTATCAGACATAAATGTAGATAACAGAAACGCTAAACTATCTATAAAATTACAAAACTTGAGTTACTTAGCTCTCCATGTATGCCGACGTAATAGACTCGTCCATTAAAATTTAAATAAATAAACATCACTTACCGAATCGAAACGTGGAGTTCTGAACGAACGAGTCCGAGGGCGGCGGCGCCGGTGGCGCGATCGCACGTGCAAACGCTTCGCCCCGCAGCTCCCTTCTCCTTCTGTCCGTAGGCCGTACGATAACGATAGCGAGGGCTCGGACGAGCTCGCGCGATTAAACCCCTGACGTGAGCGCCGCGCACAGGTCCAACCCGGGCACGCCCACGCAGCCGCGCCGCCCCGACTTCATCGGCGTCGGCGGCCGCGCCTCCCCCCAGCGCAGGTTCCTCTCCGAGGGGGAGCTGCTGCGCGAGCCGCCCGCGCACCGCGCCACCGCCGACGACATCCGCGAGCTGGCCGCCTCGCCCCAGCGCGGGAACTACCTGTGGGCCGAGCGCGCGCACCCGCACCTGCACCCGCCGCGGGGCGGCGTGCCCGTGTTCCCGCCCGCGCCCCCCGCGCCGCCCGCCGCCGCGCCCTCGCCGCTGGCCCGGCGCCGCGCGCCGCCGCACCCCCCGCACCCCCCGCACGTCCCCCAGGGGGCGCCGCGGCCCGCGCGGCCGCTGTCGTTCGTGCGCGCGCTGGAGGTGCAGGACCAGCTGGAGGCCCGCGCGGCCCCCGCGGAGCCCCCCGACCGCGCCTCCGTCTACGACTGCAACTACGAGATCTCGGTCTGAGCCCGCGGCGCTGACGGCATCGAGTCTAACCTACCCGCTAGTAACTGAGCATTCTATTATGTGTTCACCGTTCTTGTTACCTCGACGCGTGACGTCGCCCGCGTTCCTCTCTGCGAGTTTTGACTCCCTATTTTCACGATAGGCCAGTTAAGCGCGTCGGTCGCGATAGATACTGAACGATCGAATCGCACGCTTCGCACGCGCGCGGTGACTGCAGTTCTCCGATTTGTTCATATCGACTGACGTTTTCGACGACGACCGGATCGCGCACGATTCCAAAGAGACTTTGTTATGTTTAATGTATAAATGACGCACAATAATTATTGGGAAGGCGAGGATCGTACCGTGTACATTATGAAAATATTGAGTATTTATGTAATTATGTGCGAGACAAGCATTTTATATCATGCCATAATGTGTGTGCAGCGAGTGTGCGCGCGTAAGGTCCGAGTGTTGGAGTTTGACACTCGGGTGTTGCTCGTAAGTTGTAATTAGAGTTTTATATGTATGTATATTTGTGAACAATTTTTATCGTTGATTATATATAACTGTGAATTGTTTGAAAGTGTACATAGTCCCCCAGTGTTGTGATTCCGAGATGACATAATATAATTATAGAATATTATTTAAAAAAAAATCAGATTGTATCAACACTTGTATGTCCCAATTATAAATATTTCCTTGAAGCTGCTGTAATTTTTTTCAATAGGTATCTTATATTTGTTAACACGCAATATATATGGGATTACCTTTACAGTTCTTCTCGATTTTTATAGTGAATGAAGATCACTAGAGTTTCCTTTTTACTTTATCGATCATTAATAATGTTCAAAATTATGAATAGTACTGCATTTCTGGACAAAGATAAAAAGAGAGTGCTTAAGAAAATGTGCCAAATATTGTGTAGACACAATAGTGTGTAATGTTTTATTTGATTTCAGTTCCTATATGTTTATATATTCCGTTTGCATTGTAATTAAAATTGAATTTTATTTATAGTTGCTATTAGGTATATATTTGATTGGATCAGTTTGTTACATACGAATTTTAATCGCTGAATTACATCTGATCATACGATGCAGCAACGTAATCCGTCCCCGTCCTTGTTGTCATATTTGCTAATGTTGGATGAGTTCATCAAACATTGGCAATGCGAAATAGAAATCTAATGACACCATGAGATTATAAACAATTGAATGTAGATTCTTAGGTTGTATTGTGTAAGCCAATATTGGCTCAAATTAGTAATGGCCGACCAAATCCGTTGGCGTCAAATTTGTTTGCAATTTTTTCATATTAAGAAAATCGCATAATAAGTATTAATTATAGAAATAAATTGATAATGGAGTATACAAGGCGTGAGTGTAGCTCAAACACTCGTTTTTAGAATTGAAATTCATTACCATAGTTTTCCGTTAAAGAACAGTTTTTTTTTAGTATAAATAAAGGTCATTTTCTTTTGTTAAGCCTTACAATTTGTACTATGTTCTTATTTTTTTTTATATAGTCATTAATATTTTCGAAGTATAGTATTTCAATCGCGTCTATGTTTCTTTATTATGTTTAAGTATTGTTTTTGGTTGTGAGGTAGAAGTTAACCTAAAAGCATACCTAAATACGTACTATATCTGATTTACATGTGGAATTGTATAATTATTTCTCTAAAAAACCGCGAGGCTTTTCAGCCCGCATAGATTGAACGAACTTCGAATATACGATAAATAGTACGATACGTAAATAGTAGCTTCAAAACTACCAAAAATACCAAAACCATACATTGCTAGTTTTGAAGCTACTATTAATAACTATTGAACATGACTTGGTAATCCCGTGTACTCTCACATGAGAACAATTCCCCCATCATAAAAACCATTGTTAGAGTGTGTATCGCCTTGTATATAGAAATAAATGGTATTTTTTTGCAATTTGAAGTACCATTGACAATTAAAAAATTAGTTATTAAAAGATTGATTTTTATTATAGATGTGTTCTCTCAATAACTTCGACCAATGACGCCACGTTATTATTGAATTTATTAGTTGTAATTTTATTTTATATAAGAGTAATTCGAATTTTGAATGTAATTTGAAAATGTAATTTGAATGCCAGTTCTCGATTCTATTAAAAAAAAATATGTTCCTTTTTCATGAGACTTTTGAATGAGACAAAGAGCATCTGGGTGCAAATATTTAAAATAAATTCGACTTTAGATGTTCTTTGTCTCGTTTTATCATGACTGGTTACTCTAGCTTAAGTTAAAATTATATAATATTCTGGCACTTAATTGGGTTAATATTGTTTTTTATTCGCTGAAAACTCTGTTATAAAATATATTATCATATAGCTTAATAAAATATTCGATTATGTCTAAATTGTGCAATTAGGGATTGAAGTTTTTCACGGACAAAATGGTATATTGGTAGAATTTTTCTTGTATTGTGATACGAAATTACTAGATTTGTTTATACTCGTATATTACAGGAGTGCGATTATGTAAATGTATTGGAATTGTAACTTCTTGTACCATTTGACAGTTAAAACTGGGTTTGTATCTGTACTAATATACTTTAAAAACTAATAATACTAGTATACCTACTTTGTTTTACCAACCAGTATACTATAAAAAAAATACTAGTTCAGTTTCCTGTCCGTTCATTGTAAATGTGACAGCAAGCTGATGTGGACAGTGGTAAAAAAAAACTTAAATGTGAAAGTGTCAAAATGTCCTATATGAACCAAACTTTGTTTAAATATTCATATATATGTAAAAAATAAAAAAATAGATACAATTGCAACAGCGTTACATAATCGATTCCTAAATCGCAAAATAGCAGTACTTATTTGTCATTACACAGCGTATTTCGAACTTAACGGTAACCACACTTTGAGAGGAAATAATGTGTATATATTATATTAAATTTCAATGTCACTTAGGAATGCAGCAGTTGAGATTATGATTGTATATAAATAAAGTTATTTACACATTTGTAACAAGAATAAGAACTATTATATTAACACTAGCGTTCTTTTTACGACATAGGTATACTAATAATAATATATATGGCTAGACGGTTATTCCAGATGGGATACTCAGTGGCATTGTCAAGTGATGACGTCGTGGTATGACATTTGATATGTTCACATTACTGTAGTGGAATTCAATATATCGAGAGGCGAGTTTACCGCCGTCTTTCGAATAAGGTTTCATTGATTTCCCGCCAATTAGAAATATAAATTGACATGCATTGTATTTTCTTGTCATATTCGAACTCACGACTTTTTAGTCTAAGACTGGTAGTACCAATAACAACCAATATGCTACGACGCTTTAAAATGTATACCTAATTCAATTTAATGACTAATTTTATTATTTATTGCTAAAATTTGTAAATATTAGGTCCTCGCTTACAGAGGGCGCTAGTGTTGATTTAGTAGTTGTTAATAGATATATTGAATTTAATAAAACATATCAAGCGGTAGACTATAAAAATGCGTATTACTATATATATTTATTATATTATGTTTTTTTTGTTTTCTACTGTTAACGCTTTGTAACTGATTGTAATGTGGTTGTTCATTTGTCTTCATAATTGTCGCCTCTCAGACCCACACCACTATTATCACTCGCCGTTCACAGCTTAATGGCCGCATGACGCCAGCAGTGTGCGCTAGAGACGACATAATGCTTCCTTCTCTTTCTCACATATACTAATGTTGATAGTACATGTGAGATAGTAGTTGATTAAGTGGGAACGCACAGTGCGTTACCTAGGGGTGGAAATCGACCGGTCGCTGCGTATGACGCCGCAGGTGGACCGGGCCGTTACCCAAGCCAAGGCCGCGCGCGCTATGCTGCGACCGGTCTTGCAATCCACCTGCGGACGAAGGTAGGCATTTATAAGACCTACATTCGTTCGCGGCTCACATATGCCGCCCCCGCATGGTACGCACTGTGCTCGGCCTCACAGCGGCGGAGACTGCAGGTCCAACAGAACGCCGCCCTCCGTCTGTGCACAAATGCCGGACGGTACGTCCGTAATGACGTGATCGCCCGCGACCTCAAGGTCCCATCGGTGGAGCAGTTCGTCGTCCGGTTGACGCGCGCGATGTTCTCGCGCGCGGACAGCGGGCGCGAAGCGCACCTGCGCGACCTCGCCCCTCTCCACGCGCGCCCACCGGACGCCACTCGCGCGCTCCCGCGCGACCTACTCTCCACCGAGTGATCACGTCATTTACGTGACGTGGCGGCGTTAAGCCGGCTCGGCGAGCGACTTAAACAGTCCTCCCACACGACTCCCTCAGCCGGCTGCTGGAAAGCAGCCGGGTTCCGGCCGGCCGGTAAACGAACGACGCTGAGGTGGCACACCCCAGCAGTACGCCCGGGTAAAGAGCGTAGCTCGAGGCTCGCACCCTGCGGTCCGTAGGGACCAGCGGACGACTTCGACTGACTGAGTTGATTAATTTACATCTCCACTGTAAGAAGGTATCCAGAGACGTTGTCAATTGTTGATGTGGTGTTCAACTGACCACATGCACAAGCGAGGAATGGTTCCTCGCTGAGTAGATGTATATATGTAATTGCATGAAATTTAGCAAACAGTGAATCTTGCACCCATCTCCTGATTAATTGGGTCTTTATTGGTGTTTGTCATGTCTGAGAGTTAGGTATTAGGTAGGAAATTTAAATTGACCCGTAACGTTTCGTATACTAAAAGCTCTCTAATTTTGACCGATTCGATAATTTGGCGCTATTGAAATAAATATAAAATACAGCTAATAATAAGCATGATTAATATAACTAAGCACTGTTAACAGTTAGTCTGCGCTTGATGTGTTTTTTCTTGTATAAATAAAATCGTTATTTATTAAGACTAAGTATGTAAATATCCAAGAGAATGTAAAACTAAAATGTATAACAATATAAGGATGAATTTTGTATAGAATGTGTAATAATAGTATTATATTTCGTTGTGAATGTATAATATCTTGTTTCCATTTATTTATTTAAGTCCAGTCACGGAGTATAAAGAAATTCGTACAGTCACTAGTTGTTATTTTTTTCGCTCTTACAACATACGCATATTATTTGTCTCTGTCTACAGTTCACTCAGACGAAACACATTGCACGGCTTTATATATATCTAGAGATTTTCTATACATAGAGTACGCTTAATAGTAAACTGCAGTAACTCAAAATAATGGGTATGGAAAATGCTTTATAATGTTAAAGCCTTAAAGTTGATTTCTGAATGTTCATTTAATGTAGATTGTAATTCGAATGATGAGGCTATTTACTGTATATATATGCAGATGAACCAAAAACATTATAAATGTCAGGTAGATTAGGTATTTTTTATTTCAGATTACAGAAACAACATTTGAGATAGCGTCATATTTTTGCGTTGATTATTTAAGTAATATAATATGTAATCTATGACTATACAAAATATTGTATTAGGTATATCTTGATGTATTATGCACAATAATGACTAATATTTCATTATTAATCCATTTCCATGCTCATACATATGTCGTCTTCATCTATCATCATATGCATCATCTCTTACATTTTACGACTAAACAAAACATGCATATGTACATAGGCTGTATTTTGAAAAAGCAGACGAAGACAGCGGTATCAGCTAGTAAAGATATTAGGGGTATCGGAAATAATGTCGTTTCTGCGCATTCGACCAAATTTATTGTACGAAATTCTTTGTGCTTCGCGACCGGATTTTAGTTATTATATATAGCCAATAGCTGTTTCACAGAATGCAGGTTGCATATTGGAAAAGGTAATTGTCCATTTTATTTAGTCATTTAAAAGGTTGATCGGCCTATTGTTGAGATGTTGTTACATTTATCAAATTATTTCATTATACATCTGTTCACATTCCGTAATCCAAGACTTCATTAGATTATGTTTAGGACAAAATCTTCGTAATATTGTATTGTGTACTTAATTGTGTTGGTTTTACACTTTACCGGGGCTGTCTTAGTGCGTGGAAAACGTGTGGACCTTGAGATTTCCCGAACGATTGAGACCCATTTCTAATTTAACAGAAATGGGACCTCAAGGTCCCTACATCGTCTCTTTTTTATTTAATTAAAATTGGCTAATGATCTATTCATAGATTTACCTCTAGTAGCGCAAGGAACAACCTATATGATTTGAAATTAAACTACAAGTACTAGAGAACATTTATATATGTATCTACATTTATATATTGTATTTGTTCATTAAAGTTTAAATAAATGAAACCAACCTACTGCTTGTTGTCTGTAGGTATAATAAAATAATAATTAGATACCACAACACTTCAACAAATGTCAAAAGGTTTTTTTACCACACTGACGGGGCGAGGGTTTGAGAGTGTCGTTATACTAGCGTTATTATTTATCATTGCTCATAATTTTAATAATTTAAAATTTTCACATTACGCTTTTATATCACCAGTGATGTGGCTTCTTTTGGTGTTGTGAAGTCATTTGGTATTTGTGCAAGCTTTAGGCAGACTTAGGCACGATTTTTTTTATTAATAGCCAGTATGTACATAGATTTTCTTTTTGTATTAATTGGAATATAACGGAAATGGCTTAATGGTAGGTAGTCTTCCAAATAACCAATGTGAACTGGTTTTTAACCCAATGCACTTGCTACTAAAATGACAAATCGGAATATTTCCAAAGTTCAAAATAATTGTCAGTCGAAATGTTAATCTACTGCCACGTAAATGATGGTATACATTATATGTGCATTCTGTATTTATTATTTTCATTAAATATTAATAAATACAACGTGTCAAGGCTCGTTCGTAATGGAGATCAACTTGCATCGTAAGTTCACTATACAAACACTTTCCCATCTGTGGTGTAAACTCTCAAGACCATATTTATAATCAAAATAGTTCATCGCCAGCGCATGCTCTGTTTGGACATGTTGATTCAAACGGTCTATAACTCTACATGTAGTATTATGTTCCTTGATCTACACACAACCGTCAAATCAGAGAAAGAAACAAATCAATAGATGCACACGCAGTAGCAACGTTTACTAAACGCGATTTGCCACTAACTATTTGCTCACATACGATGTGATATAGCTAGTGTTCTAGGCTTTACCACGGCTTAGATATTGCCCCTGAATTTAGGGTCATGTGCACGGGCGTATACGCTATCTGATCCAGGGGGGCAAGTCAGAATTCTGTAGGCTGGGTCCCCCGCGCTTTATTTTTCACTTCATGTAGATTGTGGCGCTTGCTTACTGCGCGGTTTTATTTTTAAAAGTTAACGCATTATAATGTAAATCATACAATGTGCGGAGGGGGAGGGGGAGGACAGCTGTCCTCCTCTGCCCCCCGGATACGCCCATGTTCGTGTGTATACCATTATCAATAGGCTTCATGATGAGTGTGCGAAGGCACTAAGACAGCCTCGAATGTGTTACCACCTGTTTGAATTTAAACATAGGCATACGCTAACAATATATATATAAATGTTTTTACCTCAAAATTATAATATCTACTTATTACTAAAACAAAACTCACGCTAATATTACGGACTTGTACATTGAAATTGACGAAATTAATAAGTATTTATTGGATGATTTTATCTCATTGAAATCTTTGTGTATGACCAATTTTGTTATGTGCAATGCGTGGATAGGTGTTATATTTGTTTTGTATGTTCCTCGCATGAGTGAACTTGTCACCAGCGGTAGTAGGTACAGGTGATTTGACTTGTTTTTGTGATTGTAGTAGTGTACGGTCAGTATATAAATGAATACACAAATGTTTCATATTTATTATTATAAACGCGAAAGTTTGTGGGTATGGATGGATATTCGTTACTCTGTCACGCAATAACTACTTAACGGATTTTTATGAAACTTTATAGTAATATAGCACTTCTGAATAACATATTGGCTATAATTTTAACGCGGTTGAAATCGCGGGGACAGCTAGTATATTTATCTTACTGATATAATAGGGTAGGTACTTACTACATATATTCAATATAATTTGGAATCCCTATTTTTTTAACTCCAGTACCGTACGTATTAAATGTAATTTTTATTCTCGAATTTTTTCAACTCCAGTACTAACGCCATAAATGAAAATAAGACAATATTGAATCGGAAATTAATTTAAAAATGGCGTAAAATCATTTAAATATAAATCGGAAATTAAATATTTTATTTTGTCATGCACCTGTTAAGTATTGTAATGCTTTATTCGGAGACTATTTAGGGACTGTTTTTATTATTCTGCTACAAAGTAATAAAAGCAACAAATGAACTTACCTAATAAACTATTGAATCAAGTGTTATACAAAAATGGCGTTTTATTCTATAAATTATTTTGCCATGCACACTTCTACAAATGCAAAAACAAATTGAGTTGCCTATACCCTTGTCGAGACTTATTGTAGGTACCTACACATGTTCTGTACTCCTGAAGTCGTTATTATAATGTACCTATGTGACAGTGTTTTATTTTTGTATTTTGATAAAATTTGTGTAAATAATTTTTCTTATTTTATTGATATTAAACTCAATTAATCAATACTTACATTAATTTTCTTTTACCTCAAACGCTAAGCTTGAAATAGCTGTATTTGGTAATTTGGACTGTTTTTGTGTAATGAGTAAGCCGGCGAGTGCGGTAATTGAAAGGGTAGAACCTTTTTGCATTATAACTAAATATGAAGAGAGCTCCATCGGCTGGTGAACGATATATTAAATATTCTACAAAGATAATTCTGATTTTGTAGTATGATGGCTCATCTTTAGAATCACTGTATCGTATAGGCTAATTTTAAAAGATACTTATAAATGTAAGATAACGTAGATATGGCCGTTAGAAGGTCTGCTATCAAAATGTATATCCTCAGTCACAAAAGTGGTACTAAGTAGGTAGTACAAATACTAGATACATATAATTACGCCCCAATTGGAGAATATCAATTTGTACTAAACAATAAACTATGACATGATCGATGAGTAATCTAAAACAAAACACAAAACTTCTGTCTGTCTATACGCTACAATCGCAAGACTTGAGCGGACTTTCATGCGGTTTTCACTTTTCAGCAGAGTAATTCCAATCGATTCCTATGATACCGGGGTAGGTCGCTAGTAATAAAATAATTCATAATATACCTATTTACTAACAAAAAATTTAACTTGTACTACTACATTTACTCCATCTATCGTCAGTATTCTGTAAACTACGCAAGAAACCCATTGTGACTGAGTTTACCAGAATTGAAATAGATGGCAGTAATAGTCAAAACATAATAAACAATTATATTTAAACATCTTGAGTATTATAATAAATATTTAATTTTAAAAGTAAATATAATAATACATCTCGTCATTATTGCAGATACAATAAGTGGGTACTAATTTAGAAAAGCTGTAGTAAATCAAATCTTGACTGATGTCAGATGTCAACTCAACTGTCAATCTTTGACATATTAATTTTGTTAGCAACACTGTCTTTTTTTGTGTCGACGGATAAGAGAATGTGAGTTTCGTGAAATATTGTAAATATATCCAGAAAAATCTGAGTTAAAATGTATTGAAATCTTTATTATTGTTTATTAGGATAATGTTTGACGCCCGCAGTATCTAAAACTACCAAGATTTTCTACACCTATGTGATTTTACACTTAAAAATATACTACAAATTCTGTTGTGTTGAACACAGTTTTTATTGTTTTTCTAGTTAATTTTATCTCTAAATAGTTTTGGTAACAATTTACTTCACATTATTTCATTATTATATTCAATAATCATATCCCTAAGTGCTTTGTATGCTTCTAATAATAAACCAAAATATTGTTTTGAAGGTTAGTTTTGTTGTTCTCAGATCCATCAAAGATGGGTAAAATTATGAAGCCGGGGAAAGTAGTGCTGGTCCTGAGCGGCCGGTACGCGGGCCGTAAAGCGATTGTAGTAAAAAACTACGACGAGGGCACATCAGACAAGCCATACGGACATGCTTTCGTCGCCGGCATCGACAGGTATCCACGTAAAGTCCACAAGAGGATGGGTAAAAACAAAATCCACAAGCGCTCCAAGATAAAGCCTTTCGTTAAGGTGAGTTTATGTATCTTATACTTATCATATTTCCTTAAGCAATCAAGGCTAGTATAACTTTGCTTGCTTTACCATGCTAAACAGTCTTGTTCTACACCACTACAAGAACTATTGACATATTTCATAATTGAGCTAAGTATAAGCCTTACCTAAAAGTAGCAAAACAAATAGACTGAATTTCAGATGTAAAATATTAGTGGTATATATATCTTAACATGTTTTGTTTCAAATATTTAAATGTAGGTACTTATATTTTTTTGTATAAAGATGCCAAGATTGCTCATATACTGGTAGCAAAAATTTAAGTATATAATTTATTCTGCATTATCCATTTGTTTGTCTTTGTGATATATATTTATTTCGTGCATATTCTACATAGAATATGCCTATATAATGACATATGTAAAATAATTAACTGTAGTTTTATCATTGATTATTAACAAATGCAGTCAAAACCAAATTGGTTACTACACAGTTTTATGTCTAGACTGTAATGCCTAAACATTGATTTTCAGTGGAATATATATACAATAGGAGTAGTAGATTGGCTTTATGAACTGAATAAAAATGTGTATAGCTTGCACATGAATAAATAGTAATGACTTGTTATCTTGGTGGTGTATAGGTATATACTAGCTTTCTATGTAAAAGATATTGTTGCCGCTAAAAGTAGGAAAATACTGTATTATAGTATAGTAAAACAAAATACAACAAAACATACACAAACTTATAAATTAAATGTTAAATTTAATATGTCAACTTCTTATGCATACTGATTTTATACATGTAGAAGTGAGTATATTATTTTTTAAATAAATGGTAGTGGACCAGCTGCACTAACAATTTACATTGGTGAGGTGCTGGTAGAGGCTGATAAGTTGACAATGAGGTCAGGTCAGTTATCCCATTCTGACAAATTCACAAAATATTACCCACAACTGTGTGGTGGTGTTCCAATTTTTTTTTAATAAGGATAAAATTGGTTAAAATGAAGTCATGGTTTTGACAGATCTGTGACAAGACGGTTTAAGAAGGGTGCACAGATCTGTATCAAAACCTTCGATAGGTTAATGAACATATTACTAGTAATGTACCATGTTAGGTTCACCTCCATGGCATTCTCGAAGGAAACCATAGTCATACACTCCTGGTGAATTTGCTACAATAGTCTAACCTGACCTGACCTCATATTCAACTTATCAAACCCCCACTAGTTCCCTGGCAGTATAAATTGTTAGCGCAGGTTGATGTTTCATTCAATTAACACCAATTTAAACAAAATTATCAAATGTCCCCATTACTAACAATTCGATCCCCCCATATTATTTAATTAAGTGGAATTCACCTTCAAATCCTTATTTGAAATCTTCATCAAGGAGGAAGGGAAAGTAGAAAGGAAGAGTCATTAACAAGCAATTGTAAGATTATCCATAGGTAGCTCAAGTATATTTATATATAGGATAGGGATAGGATGGGATGGAAGTTTTATCTACTTTTTGATTGATTTGTATAAACAATGAGAATTTTATTTGGGCTTATTGTTTATTTATGTGTAATATAATAATTATATTGTAGTATAGTATTATTGTCATTCCAAAATGATAAATTTTTATCAATGTATGTCTTAAGAAATTTTTGTTTTATTCAATTTGAAATTATGAATACTTTTATAGAAAATATTGAAATTCTAATGTTCTCTAAAACATTAAAGTACTGTAAAAAAAATGTTTATAGATAGACATTTCAACACACACAAATTTTAAGAAATTTTTGTATTTGTTTCAGCTGGTAAACTACAACCACCTGATGCCCACTCGTTACTCGGTTGACTTCAGTTTCGAGAAGTTCAGCGTCAAGGATCTGAGGGATCCAGCCAAGCGCAAGAAGTTGAGGTTCAACACACGGGTCCGCTTTGAAGAGAGATACAAGAGCGGGAAGAACAAGTGGTTCTTCCAAAAGCTTAGATTCTAAGGTGTAAATTTAAAAATAAACATTACTTCTGTAATGTAATATTGTTTTATTTTGTTTATAAAAGTACGCGTGCAGTACTACGGAACCCAAAACTGACCTAAAATGATTATTTTCTGCATTAGGTTGGTACAATCTGTATTAGTTTTATGAGAATATAAAAATATGTGACAAAGTCGTGGGTTTTACTATTCCGACATAATTAATTTCTCCACAAAAGATCAGTGCAACAATTTGGGCATGTGAATTTGAAATATTTGCGATATAGTTGAACTATACAAAAAAGACACAAAGATCATGATTTCAAACAGTCAACACAAAAAAACAATGACAATTTATACTTAGCTATTGTCTTACTATAGAAACTGTGAAATGGCGGTAGACTTGTCTTTTACCACGTATTCAAATATAACGCTGCAAGGAGTTAAGTCCGCCATATATTTTTATATATCTGCACTAAGCCTAAAGTTAAATAATATAGCATCTTGAATATGGACACAGTAAGTATTGTCAACGTCCATAGAAGACAATGCTTTTGACTATCTCAACGGGCATAAAAGCCGTGAAGGAAGAATATTCTGAGTATATGTATAATAAAAGAAACAAAGTAAAGATTATAATATAGCTTTATTTTTTAAATAAATTATTTATAAGCAGTCTAACAAACTTGAGAAATTAGAATTGAGGCAAAAAAATATTGTTGCATATGATAACGTATAGACAAAAACCATAATCACTTCATTATTTTGCCTTTTTATAACGCTATAATAACAGTTACAATATTCGTAAAGCTTTACAATTTACTTCATCGTTACACTGAGGATTACAAAATGTTATTTAAGTAGGTATAAATAGTTGCAGCTTTATAATGTAGTTGCAGATCACAATGGAGTAACTTCACCATCTGCGGGGCCGTGCCGTAATTGTTGTTTCGTCGGATGATTTGATGAATAATATCATCAGAGGAAAAACAACGGTAGGGAAAAATATTAATTCAAAAAACTTGACGTTCATAAGCGACTAAAATGTTCTACATGAATAAAAGATTTTTGATTTTTATTTGATATGAATTACTAAAAAGCTTCACTTTATTTTTTTTTAATTTGTTGAACAATATTTATGTCAAAAATGTTATGAATATTAGATTCTTCTTGGACAGTGAGCACGGGAAGAATTTAATATTCTCAATCGCGGGACTTCTTCGAGCCTTAAACTTGTGGTATTTTACTGGTTATGCCACTGTATGTACATAAAAATAATTGAGGTACAGAATAAATATGAAGCTTCAACATATAACTTTCGTCACATTCAATAACTCTATTTATTAACATTAAAAAGAATAAAGTTGCAACAACGGTGAAATTTGACAAACAAGCGGAGCTAAATCTCCCACTTCAAATATGATGTACACATGCCGAGTATGTTATAAATATTTAATAATTTTAAATGTTTGATCTATGGTGATCTCTTTTTTAATGTAACGGTTCCGGAAGAAAAAGCCAGCATGCCTCCGTACCCTGTATTGCTATATCCTAACCTTCAATCAAAACAGCTTACAAAGCAAACTGCGTGGCGACTGAATTATTTAAGATAAGAACCCACGCAGACGAATTTGTACAATATATGTCTGCATACACCTTTGTTGTAATCCTTATTCTTCACTCTATACATTAACTCCTAACTCCACCTATATAGTATAAGGAATATCATTTACTTGGTCAAGTCGTGAAGTTCCTTACAACTATATCACAAATATGCAGTAAAATGATTTATAATGAGGTTATAAAGTGCTAAGCGTCTCTCACATTCGATTGGTCGAGTCCTTTGTCGTAGTTCTTTATGCCCTTATTAGTATCAACATTAGGGTTTGCTATTTCTCATGGTCTCACATAACAGGGTTAGCCAAAATATTGGTAGAATACTCAGGACACTGAAAGAGTTTTACCAAGAAATGTTCATTTGTTTCCATTTGTATATTAGAAATGTTTATATCCTTTATCTAAGTATGATTAAGTAACAAACAGCCAAATTAGGAATGTGATATTGTATATAATAGTCGATTATTTTTGATACTACATAAGCAAATATTTTCCTAAAATCCTAATTTTAGATCTGGTTCTAAGCATCGTCTGTGAAAAATAATTGAATATTAAATAAGCGATGTTTAAAATATTAAAAAAATCTATGCGAATAATGGAATATTCAAAGAATAATAATTGAATATGAATATTTGATTCTTTTTTTCGCATTTCTAGAAATGTACATAGTGTAGTGTGTTTGTATTAGTACAAATGTAATACACTTTTACATTTAATATATTAGAAGCAGAGCTTAGCTACATTTCTTAAGACCTGTACAGCTTCATGAATAGTATCTAACCCTGTTGAGATGGTCATATGAAAGAAAGAGATAGCACTACTTGTATGACTATACAAAAATACAAACTTTAAACATCCATTGCAGTGGGCAGACTATTTTAGTTCTTTGTTGATAACTATAGACGTAATAAGACCTTGGTTACATCACGCTGCTACAAGCTTGACGATTCTCTCGTCTAACTTCTTGATCTCCTTCTGCAGACTGTCCACATTGTGAGCGAATACTTCTTGAACACCTTGTAATAGTTCCTTGTTGTTTTGTACACCACTTGCTATTGTGCTTTGCAATGTTTCCAATTCGGTGAGTGACTTCCCAAAGTTGCTTGCTAGAATTAAAACCATATTATCATCATCTTCATCAAGATATATATCACCGCTGCTTTCAACGCCAGAATTTTGTTAAAGATACTAGGGTAACAAACCCAAGAGAACAGGTAAATAAAATATTTTCAACTTAAAGATAAGGCAAGTAATATGTACTTATTCCCCCCTCCAAATCTCTGCTGGTGACATTTAAATAGTTAAAAATACGTGTCATTATACTTTTTTTAAATGAAATTTAAATTTAGATTTCATATATTTTACATCAATTTTACCTATAAATATGTTACGATTAATCGACCCCTCCCCCCACCCCTAAACGAGACATTTACTTGGATCACTGACAGCACAATTAGGTGATAGAGGTACCTATGCTGATAATTTTGTACAACTCCCTTGAGATATCTAGAATATAATATAGGTAGGTACCTTGATTATGTAGAGCCTCCAATGCTTCCATCCGCTCCAAAATCTCAGAATGTGATACACCGTCTATTTGCTTCAATAGTTTGTATAATTCGTTGACCTGGAAGGAGTTCATATAATTTTATTGTCACTAATCTGTTCAGACGACAATACGTAGGTAATAAAATATGTAATACATAAACCCTGGTACCTGGGTTCCTGGGACAGTTTTTGTAAAGTAACTTTTTATAAAATAAAATAAAATAATCTAATAGTTTGATCCATTATTAGTCTATATTTAAATAAATATAAAAAAAAAAAGAGTCTAAATTGTGTTGTGAATTTGTTTTTGTAATTTAATTATTTGATGTGATTGTATATTTTAATTTCATATTGTACGTCCGAAATGGATAAACTGGTCGTTTCCATAATATATGATGTAACACAGTTATAGACAATAAATGCTTATCTTATTTTGTATTTAAAAAAATATATAGAAGTATATCAGTAGTCTAGTACCCATAATACAAGCTCTGCTTATGTTGGCATTAGATGACGGTATGTTAATTGTCTAGGAAAAAAGAAGATTATCGATAAACCGTGGGCTTAAAGATAATTTGCTAAAAGTCTCGCGCATAATAGAAAGAAAATAGTGTCTAGTAACACTAGTGTACCTTGGCGTCGAGTTCCGGGTCATTGGGTCTGACTGCAGCCTTGAGGGTATCGACGGCGGATAGTAGCGCGGCCACGCGGGCCTCCGCCGCTGCCAACTCTCCGCCACGCAGCAGCGCCGCCCGCGCCGCTAGCTCCGCAGCCGCGCCCGTTACCGTCGCCTGCGTATATAAACCCATCATTAGCTGCCTTACACGTAAGCTTTTTCACGCGCGATTCGGCTTTCACGCAGAAAAGAATGTGTGTGTATGTACATTGCTGCCTTTACACGTACGCTCTTAGACGCGCGATTTAGATTTCACGCAGAAAAGAACATTATTGCCTTTACACGTGCGATTCGGCTTTCACGCGGAAAAGAATGCGTATGTACATTCCTGCCTCATACGTACCCTCTTTAACGCGAGAATAGGCTTTCCCGCAGGAAAGAATGTACCTATATGTACATTGCTGCCTTTACACGTACGCTCTTTCATGCTAAATTCAAACATTTGTTCATAAGTATGATTGTTTGTATCGGTCTGGGTTTTTTCTATGAATATTATGTACATATTTCCAAAAAAAATCGAAATATTTATTTCAATTATCTAGTACCCATAACACAAGCTCTGTTTAGCTTGGGACTAGATGACGTATGAATTGTTCTGTAATATATATTATATTACCTATGTGATCGGATACATACCTGTCCTGTGACAGCTTGCAGCTTCCGGAACGCCTCTTCATCTCTCACTCCTGCGGCTTGTTCCAACTTATGTAATCTGAAACAGTCATCACAATGGGGACTTAGTACTTAGCCTGCCTACACAACTTAATACATTAATCTCTGTAGAGAGAGTATGGGATTGTTAGTAAAGTGGATAATGAACCCAATTCTAGCAATGTACCATGTCAAGTTTGAACTACCACGTGGTTCCCTCTGGAAACTGATGATGAATTCCTGGTGAATTTGTCACGATGGGCTAGTTGATCTGACCTCATGTTCATCTTGTCATCTTCCACTGGTGCCCCGTTAGCGTATACCATTAGCGCAGGCGAGTGCAACATTAATGGAATCATTCATTAAAAAAACTCTGTAGACTGTAGTCATACAATGATGATAAATATACACATATATTACTTTTTGCCATAAAATAATATACAAATTTGTAATTTGTTGTAACACGTATATTTTCAGGTATAGCAATATAAACGAGAGACGTAGATGTATACACTAGAGCAGAGGTTACCAAAACTTTTTTGTGTCGTAGACCCCTTGCACTATTTTTCGGTTTTGGGTAGACTCCACATTCTTACCTGGTATTGATTTTTTATAAATTTCTAACTGTAGTAAAGTTTTGTGTTAAAAACATAAAGTAAAAATAACAAGATGACCGCTGTTGTAGACCACTTGCAGTTTGTCATAGACCCTGGGAGTCAATATAGACCACTTTGAATCACTGCTCTAGAGTATTGTAACTGCTAGATATTCTTTTTTGCTATATTATGCTTTTAACATATTTGAATATAGTAACATATTTGAAGTTTGTTAAGGTTTCAATAATATACATATTGGGATGTGTGCAACCAACCTGTGTTCAAGTTGAGCGATTCTCGTTGTCTGTGCCAAATTCACCTCAGGTTTCAGTTTTAAATGTGTGGTTACTATTTCACCTTTCTTCTTGCCATTGGCAGTCAAATATTCTCTGAAAAACAAAAGAAAATAAATAAAAAAAGACAAATTAAATTCAAAGAGGGAACTCTGCCTTTGGGTCTCGAATTGGATAACAATGATTGTTTTTTTTTTATGTGAATAGATGTAATTGTTTGTGACATGGCATATAATGTAAATAGAAAAGTAAACATACTTAAGTTTCTCAGCTTTAGGGTCAATTTGCTCTCCCTCCTCCAATTTAAGTTCTTCAAGTAATTTCTTTGTGGAATTGATTTGGGTTGCCAGTTTTGTAAACTCATCCTGAAAGTGGAAAGAAGGGAAATATATGACACAGAACATCTAAGGGATTTTAGGCTATCCTCTCAGATGCTAAGACATATAACACTGCAACCTGCATATATCTATTGTGCTCGCCTTTTTTCAAAGTTCGCTACATAGCCTCATGAGAGACAAGAATTGAAGGATATTCTTAGGAGCAATGGTTTTTGTCTCCTTAGGATATAGTGTATACTTTTCAAAGAAGATATTTCTGCATGAGTCGGCTACAACCACATATGCTGTCTGTGTGTGGTGTTTCCTGCTCTGTTTGGAAAAATCGGCAGATTGTTGTTAAGCTTTCCATAAGAAGCAATATAAAAAGTCATTAATGATTTTTAAAATCTTCCTATAAACTGGACACTGCAACACCAGGGGTATTGCAAGTACGTTGTCGGCCTTTTAAAAAGGAATAAGCACTTTTCTTGAAGGTTTCAATATCGTATCGGTTCTGAAATACCATTGCTGGAAGGTGATTCCACAATGTGGTTGTGCAAAAAGTTTCTAGAAAACCGCACTGTGGAGGACCGCCATTCATCCAGATGATCAGGATGGTATTTTAGTTTCTGGCGGGTGGTACGGTGGTGAAACTCAGCAGCTGGTATTAATCTGAACAATTCCTCAGAACCCTCCACATGATATATGCGGTAGAAAATGCACAGAGATGCAATATCTCAAATAGTTTAAGGTGACAAGGTGGCACTAGTGGAATATGATAGCGCGAGCATTTATGGTCATGCTATCATGATGCGTATTTATGAAGGAGGAATTTATTATGATGGATTCCTGGGGATACATGTAGAGGTCAATGAAACTTCAATGAAACTTAGTACATTGCTAGTGATGGTGTAATTAGTTCACATTACTAACATTCCCTTTCCCCCTCACGCTGATATTTTTTTACAATGAAAAAATTGTGCTTGCACCTGTGCTAATAGTATACACTGCCAGCACCAGTGGAGGATGACAGTATGAGCATGAATTCAGATCAATGGGATACCATACCTTCTCACTTTCACTAGCTTTATTCTGCTGCTCAGCTACTTCTTCTAAAAGTTCAGAGAACTCGCAGCGGAGTCTGTTGTACCGCTCCAGCAGTGTTTCAGGTTCACCCTCGGCTGCCAATTCCCATTCTCCAGCTCTATATAAATAGTAAATATTTAGACTAAGACCACAGAATATAAAATAAAGGATAATAAGACTTATTATTGCTTATTAATTAATATTGCAATAGATGATGATGAATAGATGTTTTCTGATTTTTTTTCTTTTTCTAACTGTTCGAGTGCTATCGAACATGAACTATTGACAGCCTCTAGGCTGGGTCACCTCTCACTTTGCCATGCGCCTACGACATCACCGCACGCATACCTTATTAATTAGACAATTAAAGTTCCTTGTAATACCTTCTAGTATTAAATATATAAATTCACAGTCCACTAATAATTTTATTTTTGAGTCATCAACACTTACAATAATCTAAAGAGCCTTTATGAAAAGCTATGTATACTATAACAATAATAAACCAGAACAATTCACACAGCACCTTCTAGTGGCAAACTAAACTCTAATTGTAATATATGTAATAAACAAGTCAGAGAACAATTTTTTTTATAAATATATTGACAATAATAAATTAACATAATTTTATTCGGAATAAGTAATGACAGTTTAATAAATATCTAAATTGTATTTTTTTATTAAATTTTAGTCTTTATAAAATTTAATGAAAAAGTAGCAGTTGTAGAGTAGTAAGTAGTAGATCAAGTCACATATGTATTTGCATGTCTGTAAAGACTAAAAGTAAGAGCTATATAACTGAAATAAGATTACCATCTACGATGTACAAATATCAAAATTCAACAAATACATTTTATTTCACCTCTAAAATCTAAAATCCCTCAAATGTTGCTCTACTTGAGAACATGTCATGCACTAGTGCCATGTAATTTTATTGCTATATTGCACCTAACATTTATTAATGTATTATCTATTACAAAAGGTAATTACCTATACCCAATCCTTGTTTTTCGACTTAGACGATCTGAGAAATCTACGTTTCCAGTCAGAAATTTCCCTTTAAATTTGTTAAACGAATCCTTTACAGACAAATGTAATTGTTCGATGCATTCGTTTTCTTCCTCCTCGCCGGGCTCTGACTGATCTGCTTCTGGTAGATCTCCTGTTTCATATACATCAGGCTGGTCGTATGCCTTAAAATTTTTAAAAATTAAAAAGTATGACTGTCTCATTCCTGTGCATAATCAATAAATCACATGAAAGTGCAGACACTCACTATACCCGGAAGATTCTCGTATTTAGGATCAGCCATGATTTCTTAACTTAATAATTGTTGTTTGATTTAGAAAAATAACTTAATTAATAAAAGATTTGCTTGAAATAATGTATGTGTGACTGAATTTTGAAATGAATAAATAAATGTCTGAAAATGACGTCAGACGTCAGTTGGCAGTGCACAGATAAAAAAAATTGTGTCAACATTTCAATATCTAAAGTACGTCGGCTGTTATTAAAATATTGTTTTGTATTTGCCTACAATGTATCTTTTAACATAACTAGTTAACTTAGTTCTAAGAAGTTACTTATTTGCCTATTCTTAATTTCTTTCCTGAGAGCATACGTCTATAGTTTATCTGTGGTTGAATCTCTATAATAATTTACTTTTTTTAGTTTTATTTATCCCTATAGGAAAGGCAAAGAGTCTATGCCTATACAGCCATAACTATTCATTTATCAGACAATGCATGACAGTTGTCACATTAAAGTTAGACAAATAATACACGTCATTCATTGGGCCGACCGACATTATTCCATTATATATTTATTGCGTACTGACTCATATAGATATTTTTGTCAGCTGTAATTTCACAACGATTACGTCAAGAATCGTTGAAATATATTACCGGTACTAATCGACGACTAACACAGTGTAGAAACAAACCGTAAACATGAGTTTACAGTGGACAATAATTGCAACGTTTTTATACGTCGAGATAGCGATCGTACTTCTTCTGACTTTGCCAGTGGCGAGTCCTTCTAGATGGCAAAAGTTCTTTAAATCGAAGTTTCTAGCATATGTAAGTAACCAAGCTTCTATATACTTCCTCGTGCTCGTCGGCGTGCTAGTGCTATGTCTTCTGGACGCCATTCGTGAAATACAGAAATATTCCAACATTGAACAGACAGATCATCAACATCTAGATGCGGAGATGCAAGGAAACATGCGCTTGTTCCGCGCCCAAAGGAACTTCTACATTTCCGGTTTTGCATTATTTCTACTCGTTGTTATCCGGAAGTTGGTCCAGACGACCTCCGAGGTAGCTACTCTGTTGGCGCAATGCGAGGCGAACTTTAGACAAGCGCAGAGCGCATCAGCAACAGCCAAAACCTTGCTAGACACACAAGGATCTGGAGACGAGAAGAACAAAAAAGAAATTGATGACCTCAAGGGACAGATTCAATTGTTAGAGAGGGAGCTGTCAAAAGAGAAGAAGGATAAGGAAGCTGTAAAATCCCAAGCTGAGAGTCTGAACAGAGAGTATGACCGTCTCGCAGAAGAGCACAGCAAGCTGGAGAAGAAGATTACAGTTGCGAGGCAAGCGAGTGGAGGTGATGCTAAAAAAGATGAGTAATAGGGCATTGCCTTGAAGGCAACATGACTGATCATGTTTAAAACTAATTATTATGAAGATGTCAATGTCATTATAAAGTAAAGTCAAGTATTGTAATTAATTGCATTTTATAATTTGCAAATTTATAATTCAACTTCCTAACATTTTTAAATTTTGTAAACTGTAATTTATATAATCATGTTAATGTTCTATTTCATTAATTGATCATTTTAATGTACTTCTATAAAATAATATTTGTCTATGGTTTTTGCTAACGGAAGTCTTGAAAATATCCAGTAACAGCCATGTCAAACTACTACTTTATTAGTTTGTCATTGTACATTATTGGAGATTCAACATGCAATCTTGTAGCTAGTGGATTAAGGTTAAGAATGATTTAATACATATTGCAAGATAAGATGTGATTTGTAGAGGGCAATGTACAAATGAATCAGTTAGTTCTAGAACATACATTAACATATAATTATGTGTAAACAAATTAATCTTCACAGTCTCATTAATATAGTATGTTTGTATTTATAAATTACTACTGGTCCACCAGGCTTCACTTGGGAGTTTATAACTTTCCGTCTCGGAAGAACGTGCAATATAAACAGTGGAAGATTTTTTAAAAGAAATTCTTTCCTATTTACAATTGTAGTATCTTTACGCAGTACAAATTTAAGCCGCTTCCGCAGTTTGTTCTGCTTTTAATGCAGTTTTTAGCAGTCGATATGAGTGAAGCAAGAGCAAGGTTTATATATAAAACACATCTACATCTGTGAAAAACCAGGTAGATGTAGTTTATGAATTAATACCACAGCTGAAATTTCCTGAAATTATAGAAAGTCATATTACAAGAATATGCTGATATTTGTAATAATATAGATGAACTCTATCAATTGTTGTTTAATAATTAAGATAGGAAGTGAGTACACACATGTATATGGATCATAGGGTATTTTGTATAGAAAAATTCAAATAATATTTTACCCTATGTGATACTTTAATCAAAGTCATATTTTTTTTATTACTATATCTACCATCCAGTAGACATTGTTCATTGGACTTTTACATCTTTTTCAAACTAATCCTGTAGAAATTATTTGCACACTGAGATTTATAAACACATTATTGTAAAAAATATGAATTGGTATTTAAGTTTTATATTTATAGAATTGGTGTAAAAATCCTATGTGGCTTATATTGTGCTTAAAATCTTGTATGAAGTTTGATCAATTTAGTAATACAGCAGATCTGTTCAAGTTATCAATGATATATAACGAAATAAGTTATTACTCACTGCATTTTAGATTTAAATTCTATTTATTAACTGTTTTATTTAAGTATCAAAGTTAATTTTCAACATGCCTATAATTAACTTTGGGATTGTCGGTTGTGTATGGAATTTTTTATAGCATTCAATGAATCTGCATGAATTTAAATGCATTTAGCATGGTTAATCATACATGTATATAATACAAGTTAATAATGTGGATGAGACATCCAAATTAGAAGATTTCTGATGTAATAAAAATAATCACAAGACAACTGATTATCATGCGAAATACTGAGTGATTATACTGACAATATGTATGAAAACACATAAAATTACACACCTGTGCATCTATACCATTTGTACAGGTCATACATACAATACAATATCAGTGACTCATGCAAACATATGATGTCAGTCCAGCCAAATTTGTTTTGTCTGTGACTATTATTATTTGGCCTTTTTTTAGGCAAGGCTTGCTCGTATTACTTTATAACTTGGAGAGTTCAGTTTAGTTCGTAATTTTTCCTGAACTAGTACGCTCTTTTAGTTTTTTAGCTCTCATCTTGAGGTAGAGAAAGCTGTATTGTTGTGTGATCTTTTTCCTTCCTTAATAATACTATTTGTTGTACTTAGTATTTTATCGAACTAAATGAGTTCTCTATTTTGTTTAATTATGATGTTCGGGAGCTCTTATGAAATAGTTTGTTAACTACATAAAACTATTAGACAATAGTATTGCATGAACAATTTTGTACGAATAAGTGTTTCATTGTTTTATAATATTCATTTTCTTTGTTATTGTATATACTGTAGATAAATTTTTGCAACTGTTAAGATTGGCCAGAGTAAAATGTCATATATTTTTGTAATGTTGGTAACTATTGAGAAAATATATAAATTAAATGTTTGCAGTGAATTTTTTTATCTGGATCAAGGATGCCAACCTTAGGACACTTTCGTTCGTTCGTGATATCCCGCGTATTTTGCTTTTAATTTGAATATGGAATCAATATTTCCAACTGATTGATATGTAATGTAAAAGTCATTAGTTCTAATAATGTTAACGACTTTTCTGTACCCTTTTTCTTATTTTTAATTTATGGTTTGCGTCTATGTGGGTCTTATTTCTCTTGTTTTAATCTGTGGATGGGTAGGATAAGATCTCGGTAGCTACGCTTTTGGTATGTTTGTATTATTTCTAACATTGCAAACTATTTATTATGGACTGTTTAATAAAGTTTGTATTTTTACATTGTGTTTTAGTATTCTTTAAATAAATTAATTGTTATTTTGACCTCAGTCGTCTAGCGGTTTAAGACACCGCTATGACTGTGTAACATGGATATATTTACTATTACGTCCATGGAATACGAGATATATTTTTATTTAGTTATTTTAAACATATTCCACTTGATACGTCGTCAGACATACAAACATCGCCTATAGTCGCTTAAGTGTATAAATACGTAAATAGCAATGGGATCCGGTAGGACAATAAACACCAGTAACGATGTTTATTGTTCTAAGTTCTATTGATCCTATTGTGTCTACCTGTATTTATAATAATTATCTAGTGTTGTTTACACAATCAACAGTGTTCCCTAGCAATACTATGTAGCGCGGTGGTTTTCCTCACCACTGTTTTTTCCATTTTATTTGTTTTTTTTTAAACCCTGCGATTTGATACTGGGGAAGTTTTTAATAGAAGTTTTCACTGTAGGGTATATATATTATATTATACATATTTTCATAATTACACATATATTATACATACTGTAGCGTTATATATAGGTATATGTATGTTGTAATGAGGTGTCGCTACATAATATATTACTTATTGTAGTTAGGTAGTGAGTATACTGGTAAAATGATTGTACTATTTATTGTAAGTAAGTTTATTGGTAGTGTGCTACAAAGTTTATTAGAATCCTGACTACTCAACGTGCAGTCGTAATGCGGACTGTTTTACACTGAACTTAAATCTATGTTTGTGGAAACGTAAACGGATAGAAGAGAAATATTACAGGTGTAGGCACATCTACACCATTTATATTTATGTAGGTATTTTGTTACCATTTTTGTGAGACATATATATATACATATATATATTTGGATGATAATGGAATGGTGCACCCGCCTGCGCTAACGGTTTACGCTGGCAGGGCACCAATGGAGGATGATAAAATGAGCATCAGGTCAGGTCAGTTAGCCCATCGTCACAAATTCACGTCGTCAATGGGGTTATCAATCCACATTACTAACAATCCACTTTCCCCCCTGTGAGACATTAGTTCTACATTGTATTTTCACGATTTGCTCACTGACTTGACTTCATGTTATCCTGTCAACCTCAACTGTTGCCCCACTAATGGTTAAACTTAGAACAGTTTTTTTTATTTATTTCTCTTTATTGCACCGAAAGGAAATGAATCACATACAAGGAACAAAATTAATAGAGTATGATGCTACAAAAGACTCATCGCTTAAGCAATCTCTCCAGTAGTTGAATACTGTAGGATTTAGGATATTAAAAACTCTGATATAAACTAATTTTTTTAATAAAAGTTTATTTAAATTTAACATTCATAAAATGGTAAACGAATTTGGTTAATATTATTCCAAAATAAAAAAAGATAGCGAACGTGCCTTCCAACTATAACTATAGTTCAACTAAGTATATAATAATATTTATAAAAACAATTTTGATATGTGTATAAAGTAACGTACAGCTCTAAGTACAGTCACAGCAATAGTATGTATGCAATATATTATAACGTTAGTACTTTGTCATAGTAGCATGTATAGCAACTAAAAACATTTTTGCATATTACCAATAAATTATTATTGTGACAGAGTACTAAAATATTGACAATTCATGTTGACCCTATAAGAGATTTAATCAGTCCATATGTTTCTTTTCGATTATTACATTTACAGTTCGTCTCTGATATAAACTTGGTATTTATCATTCTCTAGAAACCCAAGATTGTCCCAGAAGGACCTTTGCCCGAAGTCACTGCTAGATTTCATCTGGAAGGTGTTAGGGGAAGATATTTCCAAGTAGTTTAATTCTGGAGATCCTGGTGTAAGAGGGAGCCATGCTGGAGCACTGTTGGTAGGTTTCGGTGTGCTGAAAGTTACAAATTTATTTATAGTATTTGGCAACTTAACCCAAATTGAATTACAACAAAAAGTATTCAAGACTTAATCCATGGTATTGTCTATCAGGGAAATAAATTTAATTGGCGTTATTTCTCTCTAGCCATGAATTTAAGTAAAGGCTAGAGACTCGAGCCTTTACAAATCCATTTAACTATTATAGTTATTTTTTTCTTATATGTAGTGTAGGGAGTATACGAGTCTGCGTAATATCAGATAGTAAAAGATGACCATGAGTAACCGGAACACCACGAAAATAGCTAGAGACTTGCCTTTTAAGATGGGTTGGATGAGGGGAAGGAATTATGAAATGGATAGAAGTGAAGGGAAGTAGGATTGGTGTTCGGAACCTCGACAGACCATGCGGATGCGAGAATAAATGACGATGGTAAATGAAGAGATGTGCTTGAGTAACAAATATTGTACATCTAAACATTGAGTAGGTATATAAGTATATCATTAATGTTACATATGCATACGACATTAACTTGTAAAAAAAAACATACGTAGAAAAAAATAGCTACTGGTATGTATATCTTTCTTCATATGGCTAGAGGACGCTGTAAATAATAAAATTTGCAAACAATACAATACAATAAGCCGAAACAAATTGTGAATTTACTTATTTTTCAAAGGAGTTGAATAAAAATAGAAAAAAATACGTTACCCTGTTGTGGAATACGTGTAGACCATATCGATTAAAGCCTCACGCATCTTCTTGTCTTCAGTTGAATCCAATGGCAGTCCAGGGAATCCGAATATATGGAACACATCGTCGGCATGGCTTACACCTACAACCAGGGAAAAATGGGATTGTTATTAATGTGGATTTATGAAATGAATTGCCAAGATGTACTATTATTTTATAGTCTATAGGGGGGAAGTTTGAGCTATTTGGGGTCAGGTGCTTAGACCTGTACTGCGGCCTACAGATCTTTTTTGCTCGCAATTTTTTCAAAGTTCGCTACCTAGAACCATCACGGACAAGAATTGATTCTTAGGAGTGATAGTTTTTCTCTCCTCAGGATAGAGTGTAAACTTTGCAAAGGAGATATTACGTTATTGTTGAGTGGGCTACAGTCACATAGGATGGGCTAACTGGCCTGACTTCATCTTCTTCCAGTGGTGCCTCACCAACGTAGACCGTTAACGCAAGCGGGTGCATCATTCCATTATTATATATACAAAGCACATCACACAAAGGGGAAGTGGATTATTAGTAATGTAGGCTGTTGACCCCATTGCTAGCAATGTACCATGTCAGATTGACCTCAACGTGTTGCCTCCTAGAAATCAAGATAAGTTCCTGGTAAATTTGTCACGACGGGCTAACTGACCTGATCTCGTGCTCATCTTATCAACCTTCACTGGTGCCCATCAGGGTAAACCGTGTTAGCGCAGGCACCATTCCATTATTATCAAATAAACACCAATAAGCATTAACGAATTTACATTTATGTGTGTATGATTTTTTCGTACTATTCTAATGTTGTCCTTACAGCTTCATTGAAACTTCATTGTACAGTGTAACAAGTAAGAGGCATGCGACAATCAACATAGAAATCGCTACGCACTCATTATTAGTGTGATCAGATAATATTGTCAGTGCTATGTATTTACAATTTTTCTACAAAAACATTATTATCGTTAACGAATTCTTCAATTTTATAGTAAGCTTTTTTGCAAAGGAAGTGTTTTATTTGACATTTAAATCTTTTTTCTGGCAGATTTATAACAGACTCTGGTATTTTATTGTAAAACCTTACGCAATTGCCATAAAACGAATTACTAACTTTAGCCAAACGACATTTAGGTAAAATCAGTTTGTTATTGTTACGTAAGCTTTTATTAGTGCAATCACTAACTCTTTTGAAACTGTCTATATTCTTCCTGGCATACATGATATTTTCATAAATATATTGAGAAGCAACGGTGAGGATATTTGATTCCTTAAAGCACTCTCGCAAAGACTCCCTGGAACCCATGCTATAAATGGAGCGAATGGCCCTCTTTTGTAAAATAAATATTGTATTTATATCAGCTGCTTTGCCCCATAACAAAATACCATACGACATAATGCTATGGAAATAGCTAAAGTACACAAGTTTAGCCGTTGCCACGTCTGTTAATTGTTTAATTCTTCTTACCGCATAAGCGGCGGAACTAAGTCGACTCGCTAATTTAGTAATATGAGCGCCCCATTGCAACTTGGAATCTAATGTGATACCTAGAAATACAGTATCATCCACAAAATTAATAGGTTTATTGTCCAACGTGATTTTTGAATCTACCGGCCTTACATTGGGGAGAGTAAATTTGATACATTTAGTTTTATTTGCATTTAGTAACATATTATTAGCCGTAAACCATTTTAAAACATAAGAAAGAGCACCGTTTACTTCGTCCAAATCATCAATATGTCGATTGACTTTGAATACTAATGAAGTATCATCAGCAAACAGAACTATGTCAGCTATCTTTTCTACCATATAAGGAAGATCATTTATGTAAACTAAAAATAAGAAAGGACCTAAAATAGAGCCCTGAGGAACACCCATTTTAATACTAGTTCCCTCAGACTTTACACCATTTATTTCGATAACTTGCATTCTATTATTTAGATAGGATTTCATCATGCTTTGTGCTTCATATCTAATACCGTAATGTTCAAGTTTGAGCAAAAGTGTTTCATGTTCAACGCAATCAAATGCTTTTGAAAGATCACAAAATACACCGACTGCATCCTGAGACCTCTCCCAAGAATCAAATATATATTTAATGAGAGCTACACCGGCATCAGTAGTTGATTTACCGGCCGTGAAACCAAATTGTCGACTGTGAAGCAGTTTATTTACTTTAAAGTGTTGCAGCATTTGATTGAGCATAATTTTTTCAAACACTTTACTCAATACTGGTAAGATAGATATAGGCCTATAATTACCTACCACAGTTTTTTCTCCTGACTTAAAGAGTGGAGTTATTTTGCTATGTTTCATTAAATTGGGAAAAACACCATCAGAAATACATTTATTGAAAATAATTACTAAATATGGAGCAATAACATCTATAGCGGTGTTAATAACTTTAACAGACATGCCCCAATGGTCTTCAGTATTTTTTAAATTTAATTGTTTAAATGTTTTAGTAATTGTAGCAATATCAATAAATGTAAATTTAAATGTAACCGGACAAGAAACAACATTGTCAATAAGGAATGATTTAGCTGTACTAGGAGAAGAGTCCAAAGAGGAAGTAATATCAGTTGGAATATTAGCGAAAAAATTTTCAAAAATATTGACTATTTCTTTTGTGGACGTTACTAGTTTATCATTATAATTTAACGTAAAGTCGTTATATGGACTTTTAACTTTGCCAGTTTCTTTGTTAATAATATTCCACACTGTCCTTATCTTATCCTTGGACTCTTTAATTTTTTTATTTAGATAATTAGACTTTGCTACATTACATACCTTTTTAAAAGTTTTTGAGTATCTTTTTACATAATTTACGAATGTACTATCGAAACGGTATTTTTTTTGAGCATATAAATCAAATAATATATTTCTACTTTTAAGAATTCCCTTTGTAGCCCATTCTGAAAATTTTGTTTTGTTAATAATACTGATAGTTTTTTTGTTAAAAGCCTTATTATATTCGTTAGAAACAATATTGAAGAAATCTGTATAAAGTTTGTTAGGTTCATTAGATGGAAGATAAAAATCTAATTTACTACGAACTGATATTTTAAATTTATTTATCTTATAACTAGTCAAGTCTCTTTTTAATAAATTAATTTTCCCAATTTTGTTTAAGTGATTTGGAAAAATAACTATTTGACCACAGTGATCAGAAGGAAGGTTGTTTATTATTATTTTATCTAAATACTCACTGTTGCTAAATATGTTATCCAAGCAAGTAGCAGACGTGGCAGTGATACGAGTGGGTTCGTGGAAGACATTACTCAAGTCAAAGGATTGAAATAAACTCATTAATTTAGTTTTTGTGGTATTATGTGATAAAATATCAACATTGAAATCACCACACACTATAATTTTTTTGTTAATATTAAATACTCTTTTTAAAATATCCTCCATTACCTCTTCAAATAAATTATAATCACTATTTGGAGGTCTATATACACATATAACTATATAATTGTCTAGTTCCACACAGGAAATTTCAATACAGCATTCAACAGAAAGATTGCCAATATCACTACGTTCTTTTACTTTTATATTATTTTTCACCAATATCATAGAACCTCCTCTATTTACTATTTTTCTATTAAAGCAGCTGACAATATTATAATTGTTTAAGCTGAACATCATATTGCTCACTTTGAGCCAATGTTCAGTTAAACATAGAACATCTATATTATTTTTTTCTAAGAACAATTGAATAATTAATTCACAGCCGAGAAAACTTTGTATGTTCTGGTGAACAATTTTCAATTCTGATAGCTTTCCCTTTGTCTTTTTCAGCAGTTTAAATCTGCAGTCATATTTAAATTTTTGTAAATAAAAGGATTCTTACTAGAATCAATATTTATGTCAATATTTTCAGTATGTTTAGTATTAACATTAGTACAAGTACTACTAATTGGATTAATGCAACCCATTATATTACTTATAATGGGGTCATTTATATTATAAGCTAGTAAACTAGCTATATTTGTTATTTGTTTTTTAGGCAGATAAAATCTATCTCCAGTCATACAAAAGTTTGTAACAAATTTGTTACTATCAAAAAATAAAAAGTCATTATGACGACATGTCATATTATAAATTAAATTATTAATATAATATATGAACTTATTTTGTTCAATGGTCAGAGAACGACAGTAAGGAAAAACAGAGGGCACTCCAAACCAGGACAAGGACTCTGGAAGACTATGGAGTGGCTGAAAGTGAACTCCTGCCTGACGGATACGACTTTAGTCTGAGGACACAGCTTGGGGTTCTCAGACCGTTTTAATTTAGATCCTCGGGACGGGGGATCGATCGGAGGAGTGTGTGTAGTATGTTTGCATGTGTTAAGCAGTTGTAATGAATATAGTATCATACCGTAATTATCGTCGTTCTCAGCCATAATCTTGGACAGACTTGTAGATCCCCGATGAGTATACCGATACACATATACAGGTTGACCGGATCTCAATGCGTGCAGTTCAGCAAGTCGACCCACATCCGCTACGAAGAGGCGATCTCCCAGAGCCTGCAAAGTAGAGAATATTTTAAAAATGTATTTATTTATCAAAATAAATATTATGGCAAATAATAATTATATTTATTTATGTGAAATAATAAACTATTACAATTACTGCTTATAATAAAATTTAGAAGTAATAATCGAGATAAAACTGTCTCTGCTATTCTGATATAGCCTTTATTAGTAAATACAATAAAAAATCAAAGACGACGATAGTACTAGTAGTCCTCTACTAACAAAGTAAACATAAAAATGTGAGAATAACTTAACAAAATTACAAACTAATAATTATTCAATGGTTTCCAGAGGGAACAGATATTTAATAGAGTTATCAAACTACATTACTAATAATTCCCTATGACAGGTTGCCCTCTACGCAGTTCCCCCTGGAAACCATCGTGGAAATCCTATCATCCTCAACTGGTGCCCCGCTTTTTAAGGGTCGGCAACGCGCACGTGACATCAGATGGGCCGTATACTTTGCCACTAGCGCAATATAAAAAAATATCACTATTGAAAAAAAATACCTGAACCAACTGCGGAAAAGTGTCCTGTGTTACTGGTTTCCCTCCAAGGTAATGTTGTTTAATCTTGGCAGCTACGTTTGCTCGGAGGTTGATCGGTAGGGTATCGTTATATTCGAAAATATTACTGGTCAGTTGATCCCACCGGTTCTCCAATTCCACAAGAAGATTAGGGTCCGTTTGATAAGCTAAACAGCAAATAATAAAATTGAAATAGAAATTAAAAAACAATTTCTTTATGAAGGACATTTCAGCAGCTTATGAACGTCAAGTATTTTGTAATTTATATTTTTTTCTACAGTCCAGTTGAATATACAGATCCAATTGAGAAGAACTGGCAAGAAACTCACCTGTATTTTCATTTTTTTAATGGTATTTATATTTTATGCTAATATAGGGTTTTATGGTTATACATAAATTATTTAATGTTTGTATGGATATTTTTATACTATTTTTTTTTGTTATCTACTACTTACTCGTATATATAGACAATTATCAATGCTAGTTAATAGTAGTCACTCAATTTGAGTACAAAAACTTTTTTGGTATTAGGGTACAATATTTTTCCTGTTAGGAATAGGAGAAATATTATTCAGCCGTGGACGTCTACCGGGCTGAAATGATGATGATGATATATTTATCACGATTACAATAAAAAAAATAAAATTATAATTACCAGCTGCAGGGTAGAGTCCCTCTTCGGAAGTGACCGATGTGATGAGAGGCAGACGTTGCATGGCTCCGACCTGAGCGGCCTGGTATGGGTACTGAGTGAGGAACGGATTCCGTACTGTGGACGCCTCCGCCGTAGGGGTGAACGGGGTGAAATAGTGTACTTTCCATTCCTGCATAAAATGTTTATATATTTTAATTCATAACTACGTCGGTGGTTTAGCACATCACTTTATGTCCGATGGTCACGGGTTCGATTCCTCGCACGGCACAAACATTTTGTATTCATGAGTATAATTGTTTTGTCTGAGTCTTTCTGTGTATAATATGTATGTATTTACGAAAAAAAAATGTATATGTTTTATCAGTTTTCTAGTACCTATAACACAAGCTTTAGCTAGCTTAAATTGGGTTTAGATGGCGCTGTGTGAATTGTCCTGAGATTATTATTATTATAGTCACTATCATCCTTCACTGGTGCCCCGCCAGTGTATACCCACCGCCGTCTTTAACTAGGCTTTCCCCCGAGCTCTTGACTGCCCTTCCCTGGGCAGTCAAGAGCTCGAGGCCCTTCTGTAAAGTAAAAAAAAAGCTCATTAGGTAAAAACATAGGAATAGGCCAAGTAATCAGTATAATGGCGTAGTATATACCTTGTAAATAACATTTGTTAAAAAAGTGTAGTGTGCCCGACAAAAATCTTTTGAGAATAAATGTCTGAGAAAATTTGTCCGTCCTTCGGGGGCCCCCTGAGAATGGGGGCCCTGGGCACGGGCCCCGTGTGCCCTAATGGTAAAGACGGTATTGTGTATACCGTTAGCGCAGGCGGCTGCACCATTTCACTATCATCCATTAGAAGGAAAGAAAACTAAAAAAACATTTTGTTATCAGTCAGTGTTTATCATTTCAGTAGTAAAAAAAATATAATTACAGAGGAAACATTTATTTAAGGAGAAATAATTATGTTATTGACTCGGACACGAATGTCTGGTTGCGGCGTGTCTGCGAAAGACTTATTGTGTAGGTGGATTAAGCGAGATGCATCTTGTATTCTAAGTTTGCTTTTGTCACTTAGTACTCTCTGTCTACCCGCAAGAGACGTGGATTACTTGTACACATCCGTTGCAGATGTTTGTATCTCGTGGATGTGATAGATGAAAATCTTTAAAAACATTTAAAAAAAAACGTTGTAATGAACTTGTAATTATATTTTATACTAGCTAACCCGAGCAACTTCGTCTGCTTCACACTTACTTGACCAATTTACATAATATCTTTTTAAATTATAGCCTAATGTGTTATTTTGATGTATAAGCTATATCACTGTAGAATTAATAAATTAAAATCCGTTCAGTTGTTTATGCATTCAAGAGTAACAAACATCCATTAATTTATCCATCTATACTTACACTTTCATGTTTATAATGTTAAGTAAGATTTAATCATAATTTGAATACAATTCGTGGTGTGAAATAATGTGCAGAGAAAACAAAAATATAACAAAAGATGAGCGATCATTCTATAACACACAGAGTAAATAAATGGATAAATTTATACATAAAATAGGTAAAAAATGTTTATATCTTTAGTTTTTTGAGCTTCTAACAGCAGATTCAGTTTTAATTAAATTTATTTCTCCCGGGGTAATTCGTATACTCCTTGATTTGTGTTAGTTGCAGAACTATATATTATTATTAAAATAGCAATAAAAACGACAAATTCTCATTGTATCTCTACAGACAAACATACTATATGTATGGAAACCATTCTGCACTCCTTCTTTATATAAACTATAAGTACGCGAAACAACTCCTTCGTCCGCGCAATTTTCCTAAGAAAAAAAATTAAGACTCAGCTATTTACCATCATCTCGATTTGTGCGTTGACAATAACTTCAGCGGGCCTGTACTTGAGGCAGTCGACCAGCTCCCGCGTGGTTGCTGTAGGGCAGCCAACAATAGCGGCCAGTGCTTTAGCTTTTTGAACTGGTTTCACTGCATGAGTCCAGGACGCGAATGCTGAGCCACTGAAAGCGATGCCCCTATTGAATGTACCTGAAACCAATTCGATCAATTGCTTTACTCATACTGCTTGTATGTAAATACGATGCTGCCTTGGCGTGGAATATAGCCTATGAGGTGAGAAGGGAATTGTTAGTCATGCGGACTAATAGCCCCATTGCTGGCAGAATACCAAGTCAGGTTGACCTCGACGCGGTTCTCCTGGAAACCTGGTAAATTCGCCATCCGATGGGCAAACAAACCTGACTTAATGTTCATCCTATCATCCTTCACTGGTGCCCTACCAGCGTATACCGTTAGCGCAGGCGTCTACAACATTTATTATCGTCCATAAAATAAATCAGGCGACCAAACGAACGAAATGACTACCCCACCATTCTGGTTAATATGTTTACTATACTATAAGTTGAATATGCATTATAGTCCTATTACAAATCCAATAACTAGGTTATAGTTACTTTTATTCGAGAGATAAAATAAATAGAAATGAAGTATATTTACACAAGATACATTGTTCTGGATGAAATATTACTGTACAATTGTATTGTTTATCGCTAAGGTCTAATTAAATAACTCGTAGAATGCAAAGCAATTGTTTTGACAGACAATTTACACTGCAAAGGAATGCTTTGCGTTGTTATTTGCGGATAATAAGCTACAACGCTGTATCTCTTTATTAAATAAATGAATTTATTTGCGCTATTAAAATGAGTAGGTAATCATAGTTGTTGTCGTAGACCAAACAACTGAACCGAGATAACATGAGAGTAGATTTTGTTTATCACAAAAAAATAGACAAATGAGTAGATAATAATAATTGTAATATACCTAATAATATTATTGTGTCCAAGAATATAATTTATCTAATGCTTTGCTAGTTAAGTCGTAGTTAACTAAAGTTATCTTTAGTAAACTTTTCGGGTATGTTCTTCTGAACATACCCGAAAAGTTTACTAAAGATAACGATAAAGTTCTTATAACATTTATAAATATTCTTATTTATAAATGTTATAAGAAGCATTCTCTATTCATTAGATAGTATTCATCCATTTTTCACGAACTTTGGAGAGTTATTGGTGAGTTCTTGCACCAGCCACAGTTAATGATAAAAATATGATATTTAAACCAATAGTTTAATCGACTGTCATTAAATTAGTAAACTTTGGTTTATCGATTTGCAGTCGAAAGCATAAATCCTATGTTCTCTGCCCTATGCTCTATTATAGTTTCTTTAAGTAATGAATGGTTAAATTTTGACTTAGAGGAACAGTTCATTAACAGATTTTATTATATTTAACTAATCATTCATTAGCGGTAATTTAAGGAACGTCTCTCAGTGGGAGCGTACAAAATATAAGCTACACTTTATCCAATAGATACATCCCATGAAACAGGGGGAAAGAAGTTGCGTGCAAAAGCCAGTATCTAAATAAAACTTCATCCCTGAAGTTTAGTGGTTGTAAATTACGCCCGAAAATTATACAGTAGCTTTGAGAGGCTCCAAATTGTATGTAATTATAATGAAGATATTCCTTTGAGGCCGAATTCAGTTACGTTGAAGCAATTTGTTGTAGTCACAATATTACCTTGTTGTTTAGTCGAAGTTTCATCAGAAAAGACACGTAAGAAATAGTTTATTTTAATTTTATTTAGTTAGAAATCTGTGTTCGTAGACCTCGTGTCTCTTCTCACCCAAGCATGTTAGAATGCTTTCAATCAAATTTATAGCTTCCGCATTACTCTATTATTAAAGTAAATATAAAGGTATGTTTTTTGTTATACTGAAAATCAATTATTTCTCTAAAGTCTTGTACATTTTTTAAAATTCTATAGGTACCGTTTTTAATTGTTCATACTAATGAGCTAAAGATAGGTTCTTATAGTGAAATTCGAGTTATAAGATGAACATGAGGTCAGATCAGTTAGCCCATCGTGACTAATTCACTAGGAATTTATCATGATGGTTTCCAGGGGGAACCGCGTGGAGGTCAATATGACATGGTACATTGCTAGCAATGGGGTCAACAGTCCACATTTCTAACAATCCCCTACCCCCTTGTCTTATGTGTTTTTTTATACATATATAATGGAATTGGACACCCGCTTGCGCTAACGCTGGCGAGACACTAGTGGAGTATGATAAAATGAGTTTGAAGTCAGGTCAGTTAGCCCATCTTGGCAAATGGCAATTAACTAGGAAAGTTTCCAGGGGAAACCGAGTGTGTGATGTGATGTATCAAAATACTTTTGGGAAATTTCCGTGTAACTATCAAGGAGTATCAGCGGTAAACAAGTTACCACTGTTCATCAAGATAGGTTATTTTTACCTTTGGATAATGGAGAGAGGTAATGGTAGTGCACACTAGCGCCACCAGCGGAGCACCCGGTGAGTGTCACACTGTCAGGGTTCCCGCCAAACAACATAATGTTGTTCTGTATCCAGCGAAGCGCGAAAGACTGGTCTTTCAACCCAGCATTGCCTGCGGCGAACTCATCTCCAGTACTTAGGAAACCTGAAGAAAATAAAACGAATAATACCTAAGAGTATGTAACAAAAGTACCTAATCTTATTTCATAGACCACAAATCTATATATATTATTATATATATAACTCAAAGGTGACTGACATAGTGATCTATCAACGCACAGCCCAAATCACTGGATCGTAAATTTGCCAAGAATGACGTAGGCATCCGCTAAGAAAGGATTTTGATTAATTCTAACCCCACGATAAAATAGGGGATGAAAGTTTATATGAAACTTTGTCAATTTTAAACCAATCAGGGTAGACTTTGCATGCAGCTACTATCACATCCCCTAAGAAAGGATTTTGATAAATTCCACCCCTAATAAATTAACGCGAACGAAGTCGCGGGCAAAAGCTCGTTAAAAATATTCTTTAACTCATTCAGTTGAAAATAATGTCAACTGTTGTAACTTTCGGTTTTTCAAGATGGTGACATATGAACAGTGACTTGGACAAAAAGGCATTATAGGAGCAACCCGAGCATAGGGGGCGAGTGCAAATAGCATTCCAAACTCGCGGAAGGACTTATGGAGAGGCTGAAGGCCAATCCCCGCCTGACGGATACGACTTTAGCCTGGCACCGCTAGGGGTTCGAACCTAGGAGAGGCAACCGAGGGCGCCGATGCGGAATGGATGAGTGCACGACTCATCCTTTCATAATATAAGGCACAATACAAAGCCTATGGCATATTCATAATACAAAGTTTATGGTTCAGTTGAAAACAATATTATTATAAAATAGGCTTTTATCTAATGAGTGTTATTGAGACTAAGATAAAACTTGTTTGTGGTATAGATTAGCTGTTGTGTTGCCCTAGTTTTTTATATAACTCTAGCTGACCCCGAAAACGTTTTGCCATATGAATTAAAATCGCTATTTAAAACTAGGCTAATAACTAGGGGTTGATGGTTGAAGGATGAAAATTTAGAGATTTTTTTTTAATTCCTAATTATAAAAAAAATAATTACCCAAAAAAGAGAAAAAAATGTTAGGGGTGGACAAATTTTATCATTTGGGTATATGAAAAAAGGATAGTAACCGATTCGCAGACCTACTGAATATGCATATAAAATTTCATAAAAATCAGTCAAGCCGTTTTGGAGGAGTACCTAACATTGTGACACGAGAATTTTATATATAAGATTATGTTCAAACTTAGGAGAAAAGGGTCCCTATCGGCATAGCTGAAAATTCAAGTTTTATTTTTAACGAATACAGAGTTCTCTGTCTAATGCCTTTTTAATTTACTTCTTTCATATTTTTATTAAATCTAAATATACTTAGATATTTTTTTTTACATATACATAGAAAACACTCATAATCATGAATACAAATATTTGCACCGTGCGAGGAATTGATTCCGCGCATTTATCTCCAAAAATAATAGGGGATGAAAATGTGTGCAGAGTCTGGGGTAGGTCGTCTTATATGTGATGATTTATTATTATTTATAAATATGGTCGAGCGAAGTGATGTGATGAGCCAGCCGTTCATCCGTTATACTCGTGAACAAGTGCTGCTTGCAGAGTCTGCTCTAATCACTACGACTGATTTAATCTTATTAGGCATTTATATATTGACCCTAATAAATTAGCACTGGTTGGTAATTTGTTTGTTACACGTTTCAACTTGAAAAATGTAAAATTACAACGATTATTTAAAAGAGCAACACACAAGTTCCTTACGCGTTCTTCTTGTGATGAGACAGCTTTCCGAATGTGCAATAGATTAAAAAAATGTTATGATTATTCAAAAGTGCTTAAATTAAGTTGTAATTGAATAAAATAATTTTCTATTCTATTAAATTTAATTTAAAAAGTAACTTACCCAAAGGACCCAGCCTATAATTAAATGTAACCACGACCACATCTCTGTCCATAAGATGCGACGGATCATAAATACCACCCGAGCCGTACATGAACGCGCCGCCATGGATGAACACAACCACCGGCAGATTCACCCCCGGAGTCAGTTTGGGGGTGAACACGTTCACAAAAAGACAATTCTCGCTGCCTGTAAAATAAAACAGATATATTCTTATTCCTAGTTCGTTAATATTAGTATACTGTAAAAGATGAACATAAACAGAAAAAATATCTATGAATTTTTTACTTCTATTTAATGTTACTTTATAGATATTCAAGATAGTAACATTCAGAAAAATGTTATAAATGTAAATTTATCTGTTATTATTTCGGGACTAAACGGCGAAACAGATCTTAGTGAAATTTGACATAAAGATAGATTGTACGACGAAAGAACGTTTTACCGAAGATATGATACACGCATGAACACATACATCTAGTACCACGGTAAGAGTTTGTGTTATTAGACAACTGATATAAATAATTAGATATATATTTGTAAATACATAGATAATATACCTACATAGAAAACACCCAGACCGATACAAACAATCATACTCATAAATACAAATGTTTGCACCGTGCGAGGAATCGAACCCGCGACCATGGGAAGTAAACCGCTAGATCACCGAGGCCGTCGTGTTACTTAAGTTTTCCGAAATAATATAATAAAAGTTACTATTATTCTGTTGATACCCTAGTAATTCGTACCCAGGACAGTCTTCATTATGGGCTCGTACTGTAAACACGGCGAGAGCACTCTGCTTGCATCCCATGTGCCGATCCATGGCTTCAACTGTTGCGGTTCCTGAACAAACCATACATACCATTGTTTTACTTTTATTTAGTTACTCAACCAGTTTGTTGTGTATTCAATACTAGCTAATACGCGCAACTTCGTCTGCTCTTAATTTCCCCACCTTTTGCAATATTTCTCATTGCAGCTCCTCTCCTATTACTCGTAGCGTAATGTTATATAACTTAAAGCCTTCCTCGACAAATGGACTATCCAACACAAATATAATTTTTCAATTCGAACCAGTAGTACTTGAAATTAGCGCGGCAAACAAACAAGCTTTTCAGCCTTATAACATATAATATAATATATTAAGTATAGATTTGTAGCCACACGTTTTAACTAAAAAATATAAAATTACAAAATTATTCAAAAGAGCAACACGCAAGTTTCTCGCTCGCTCTTCTTGTGAGGAGATAGCTTTTCGAACGAACGTTGGTTAAAGAAATAATTATAATTAGTCAAAAGTGCTTAAATTTATGTTTGATATTACAGATTCACAGGACGATAGGGAGCGAGTACAGATGGCACTCCAAAATCGCGAAAGGATTTATGGAGCGCCTGAAGGCCAACTCCCGCCTGACGGATACGGGGTTTGATTGCAAATAAAAAAATATGAACATAACTAATTGGTAATATATTCTGAATTTGAAGGTCACAGATATACATACATCACAATACACAAATCGATCGACAAACCGACAACGCCAGCCTATTAGTGATGCTCGTTGCATTCACTTTGTCGCCGGACAATGAACACTTAATAATTGCGGTTAATTTGCAACAGAGCATAGATAGACAACTGGGCGCGTCTGTCCTAAACTAATTAATACATTTTCGACGGACTGCCAAAGGTACATTGTTTTTTTGTATCTCCTATTCTATATGGAACTGGGGTGATAAATGAGTGTCTCAAACTAATAAATACGTTTTCGACCGGTTACCAAAGGTACTAAAATTTTTTTATATCATATTTTTTATTTAAATTCCCTATGATCTACGGGACTCGGATGGGATTATGTGTCCTATACTAATTAATACATTTTTGACCCACTGCCAAAGGGCAGAGGAAGACCGAAATAGAGATGGATGGACTGTGTGAAAGATGATATGGTAAGAAAGGGAATAAATAACGACATGACTGCAAACAGGGATGAATGTAAAAGAAACATATTACGCCGACCCCAAGTAAATGGGATAAAGAAGAAGCAGATGATGATGATGATGATGCCAAAGGTACATTATTTTTTATATGTCCTATGCTCTATGGGTCTAGGATGAGATTGTGTGTTCTAAACTAATTAATTTTCGACACAATACATCGACATTGTTTTTTTATCGACCATATCCGCTGCTTGGGACGAGATTGGGATGAGATTATAAGTAATTGGGACTTATGGTTTAATTGCTAAAAATTTATCAAGGATACTAAAATCCACGTACAAGTAAGTGATTTTTGGTACAATTTTCATCAGCGTGAAATTAATTAAAATCTGATGTTTTTAGACTTTTCTACGAAAAGTAAAAAAAACATATTTCAATCATCGTACAAGTTTGTTCGAGATTATTACGAAAGAAAATCTAATGATGAGGATCATATCAGATTTTTTTGTTAGCCAGAAAATGACGGTGGTCCATCGCTTTTGACACCTACTTCCGATGGTCGCGATGATTAACAACATAAGTACAAATATGTATTGCACAAAGATCAAACCACGACCATCTGGAAGTTAAGATCTGCGATTAATCACTATACTACTGAGTTAACTAATTCAGTAATTGTGAGCTAAACTAGATTTGAAACCAGTTAAATGTGTCGTTGTGTTGAATGAATATTATACGAGATCAGACTACCCACACTGTTATTAGCCTCATTTCGTTGTCAACAGCATTTACGTAGGTCTGTGTGTGGTGTGTAGGTAAAAACAGTGATTACCTAGATCTAAAATGAATCAATCATCTAATTGTATTTATTTTCTTTTGGACAATTAATACAGCGCCGTTTAGTCCCAAGGTAAACAAAGTTTATGTTATAGTTACTAGACAACTGATATAAATACTAGATCTTTATTATCTTTTATATAGGCGGTGAGTTCAGTGAAAGAAGCACTCACATTTAAAAAAATTAAAATATGATTCTGGGCGGTAGGCTTACTACCTACAACGTTGGTTTTATATATATTCAGCGAAATAGGGGTACATCTATTGTTGCGTTCATAACATCTACAGTTGACAATGCTTCTGGTTATTCCATCTGGTATAAATGTCGTGACGGTATATTTCAAATCAAATCAAAAAAAAAAATTGTTCGTGTAGGACTTTTTAGCTACTTTTGAACGTCAAATATTTTATATTAATATTTTTTCCCTACCGTCCAATTCTAAAAGTATTTGCTGTTTTTGTTTATACATGTGTTATATGTGGTTGCGTATTTAAAATAAAATATTTCTATTTCATTCACTTTTCAACTAGTAACTACATAGTAAGATCATGGATCTTACTATGTAGTTACTTGTTGTATCCATGAGTTTGCCGCGTCCATCATCAGGTATACTGTTTCCAACAGATAAACTATAACCTGTACTTGTCATAACTCCCCTCCGATCGATACCCCGTCCAATTCAAACGAGGATGGATATTACGACGGCCGAGGTTCGAACCTCTAGTGGTGCCCTCAGACTAAAGTTGTATCCGTCAGGCAGGAGTTGGCCTTCAGCCGCTCCATAAGTCCTTCCGCGGGTTTGGAGTGCCATCTGCACTCGCCCCCTAACGTCCGGTGAAGCTGTAAAGGCCAGCTGCAGCCAACAGCATTAGAGTAGACCGGAAAAAAACTTGTCATAACACCCACCTGATGGTAAGCAGTAACCGTCGCCCATATATGTATATGAATTGCACTATGGATATCACGTTACCCTGTGATGATAACCCGCGTCTGTTTCAATTCCAAGGACATTTAACTGTCTAATATAACGTTATAACCGTAACACTTATAAAACATGGGGGAAAAAGGGGATTGTTAGAAATCATGATTAAAATATGTCAGTTTGACATTAATGAAATTAATTAATCAGAATGTGCGAAGTGACCTGATTTCATCTTTACATCCTCCACTGGTGCCTTGTCAGCATAAATCCTTAGCGCTAGCGGGTAAAACATTCCATATAATATAAATATAATTAAAACAATATAGCAACACGCAAGTTTCTTGCTCTTCTTCTTGTGATTTTTTTATTCTACCGCTCATTCGGAATGCTGTCCGAATGAGCGGTAGAATAAAAAAAATGGGTCTATTCTAAAGTGTTTATATTAAGTTTATTTGAATAAAGATTATTTCTATTTCATTATCCTTAAAAAAACTAGAAATAGGTCAGCCTGAGGTAACTGATACACAGATAACTTTTCACAGTCTACCTCTTTTATATTTATTCGATGCTTCCCAGAAATAGTTGGTTGTTGAGAAAATAGTGTAATGGCTGACTGTTTGGTCATCCGCACACCCTAGGGAGGTGAAGGTTGGGGCCTCGGGGCGAACCCCTTTGCCCCTAATCCAAATCCCCTAGGGCCAGTATACATAAAAAAAAAGAATACATAAAAAGCGTAATGGAAACATTGGAAACTTACACGAAATCTGTATTTGCCGACAGGTGGTCTCGCGTACGGCACTCCCTGAAAGCTAGCGTAAGTTCTCCCATTTGTTGACACTCTCCACGTCCCTTGTAATACCCCATTGTTAATCCTAACAATAGGATTAGATGCTTGACAATGTACCGAGACGGCGAGGCAACATAACAAAAATAACTTGAAGCCGACCATTGTATAAATAGTATAGGGCACGACGTGCGTACACGCCGATCTCCCGCGGTGTACTATCAACTACCGACCAGTGATGGCTGTCTGGTATTCCCTTAAATTTTGACTAAACACCCCATAAAATGCAACTTTTGAAGAAAACTTTTCCAAATAAAGAAGTTCATGACTGCTTTTTTAGGAAACTTGCTCTAAAACAATTTCACGGTTTATATTATTAACCGGGTCTTAACACAGCACGGGTCGTGATAGCAATTGTTTAGATTGTTCTACGATAGTTCGCGACACATAATTTCGTTGAACAATCTAGTGACGGTACAGGAAGAAAACTGCTGTCACCTTTCTACATTGACATCGCTGTTACTCCAGTCAGCTCGTGAATACGGCTAGTGCAACCTAGACGGAACGTCTAGAGAGATAAATACCTTTATTTGCCATAAAATTATTCGTGTTAAGACACAACACAATAATTCCACAGTGATATCTGTATTACTGTAAACATGTGCAACCATATTTGAAACGAATATGAACTGAGTTCTTGTAGGTTTTTCTCTTATTCTTTAGTTTTACACTTGTTTTTGTTTATATGATTCTGATTAAAAACCGTCTACAACACCGAATATAAATCATACTCACACACAACATCACCATGTGTTCTTTCCATCGTTAAAATATCGACTAGTTTCAGGGAAAGGACCCCAACCTGGCAACACTGCTACCAAACAAACAAACAAACAACGAAGTCAAGCAACTCTGTAAAAATATTATCTCATGTGGGTGTCCTCTGAATGTCTCCGATAAGTGCACTACAATGATTTTATTGCAGTTTGTTGATAGTAAAATTTTAGGGTTCCACAAATAATTTGGATTTGGACAAATTTTAGGAATATTGAAAATCTTATTATATCACATAAGAGGAACTGACGGATTTTCTATAAATTTTATTCTGGTACTAGCTTTCCGCCCGCGGCTTCGCCCTAGTGGACTATAGGTTATACTGTTCAGTAGTGGGATGTTATATAGCTTAAACCTTCCTCTTGAGTCACTCTATTCTGTCTATTAAAAAACTTATCAAAATTGCAGTGTAGTTTTTTAAAATCAAAACACATAGGTACAAACAGACAACGGGAAGAGAAATTCTTTTATACTTTATAGTGGCTTGCCAAGACTTTTCACGGGTAGGTATTTAACAAAAATTTCGAAACCTGTAAATTTTAATTTGGGTTTAAATTATTCATTAGCAGGATTGAAATTCCGATTTTTAACGTCAATTCGTGGTAGTCCAGAAGAGTTTGGTGAATTTAAAAATTCAGGTGAATAACTGAACTCCTTCTTCAATATTAGGCATGGTGTCGGTTGATTTTTAATTTTTGTTTATTTCGTTGAGAGTATCATTGCTAGGTGACACTATTACCCCAGAAAATAACCAATAAAAGCCTTTTCCGAGTAAATTCTTGATGTTGAAATATACGGCATCTATCAAAATTTCTAAATTATGGACGATTTGACCTAAGGACTCATCCAGAAAGATATAACAATTTTTGTTTAAATTTGGAGTGGGAAAAATTCTATCCCCAAGTTTGAGCAGTTGTGGGAAATCACTAACTGTAATTCCATGAAGATGAGCACTCATATTCGTCCGTAATTTTATATTTTCAATTAAAGACCATAAGGGAGACGATTTCAAGCATGCTTTTGTGATATCTGCTCGCGTACCTACGTTAATGACACAGAGAGTCTGTCGGAAATCTCAAGCAAATACAAAAGTAATTCCGCCCAGAGTAGAGGTATTTCTAAGATCTTTTAAGGTTCTATCCACGGCCTCTATATGTGTTCTATAGCTCATGGTGCATTCATCCCACAAAGGCATCTTGTAGTAATTTACCAAGAGGCCCAGTTTTGTGGATAGAACATGTAGATTGTTGCTCAAGATTTACGGATAGCAGAAGTTTAAAAGTAGAATGAGCAGTTTTTCCAACCGTTAAGAGAGGTGTAGCAATTCCTGGCGAAGTAACTGCTACCGCTATCTTCCCTGATTATCTTTTCTTACCAAATATCCCCCTTCCGTATCCCAGTGACGACCCTACTTCGCATTTGGGTTATAGCTAACCGAGCGGACTTTTTTTCTAATACTTACAATTTTAAATACGTGATATCTTTCGAATAGAATGTTCAAATTAAATAATTCCAAAAGTTATGTAAAGGTATAACCAGTCGTGAATATAAACTAATTTATTTTGATAAGGATTAATAGCAAATAGATTAAATTTATAAATTAAAAAACACTTATTGTGACATAACTATGATAGGTGGACACATGCCGTCACGACACTTTTTATAGATAATTATATGTTCTACAAAGTCATAGTACATCATTTTGTTCTATCATCTATATTTTTCGCAGCGCACGCAGTGTTAGGTATTTTTTAAGTAATTTTTTTACACCTTGGGTTACACTATTGGAGTTTTAATAAGATTTCCTAATTTTTTTGGAAATATAATATAGCCTATAAAACTCAGGAATAGAGTAGCTTCCAAATGGTGAAAGAATGTTTCAAATCGGTCCAGCAGCTTCGGAGCCTATTCAATACAAACAAACAAATAAACTTTTCCTCTTTGTAATATTAGTACAGATTATAGTCCAATAAAATATTAAATTAAACCATAATGTGACCAGTTTTGGCGCAATATATAAAAACAAATCTGCTAACACGTGAATAATAATATTCAGAAAAAAAATGATTAAAGTCGACCCAGCGACGGAAAGGAATTAAGAAATGAAAAAAATGGAAATCTTTTATTAGATTACATCGACATAAACTAAGTAGGTACCTACAAGATGATTTTTTTAAATAATGTGATAGTGAATGATGATAATGAATAAGCTGATTTCAAGAACGATATCCACAAATATAATACTAGTTTTTAAGTAAGGTTAAGTAGTAAATATTGAGTTGTCCCTCAGTGGTTCAGCAGTATTGCACCTCGCCTTACTTATGATGACTTCGTGGGTTTACTTCCTCGCATTTTTATTCATGAGTATGATACTTTGTATTGTCTGGTTATTTTCTGAGTAATATTATGATTTTAATTAAAAAAAAAAATATATCGATTTTTACTACCCATAACACATGCTCTGTTTTTTTATCTTGGTACTAGATGGCGCTATGAGAATTGTCCTAAAATAGTATTATTATTCTTAAGCGGTTAAATAAAAACCTCCAAAAGAGGGTTGGCAACCCTGATATTCTATAACTTCACTAAGCTTTAAATAGATACGGAACACATAACTCGACATTTCACTTGCACGACGTCCTATTTATTTTTTAATAGTTTACTATCTTTTAATTACCAACTGTTATCTACCAATAGTGGTAAAGGTTATTTGAGTGGTTACTAAGTATATATTTTCGAACTTTTACTGATATTGTATTTTTTTGCATCATTTTACCATCGCACCGCTCCATCGACAGGGAATTCATCCCTCACACACACGCTGAAACTTAAGTGGTCTCGGACAGTGCGGTTTAGGAGATAGTTCCTCCCGCGTACACTTAGACCGTGGAAAACTTCCTGCCGAGGTTTTCTCCAGAGACTACAGCATGGGGTTTTTCACGAAGGGTATTTTAAGATTTCTTAAGCGCACGTGACACCCCTGGTATTTCATGCGTCCATAGGTTATGATAAACGTTTCCCATCAGCTGGACCGTATGCTTGTTTGACATCATCGTGGTACAAAGAAAATGGTTATCCCGCCTGCGCTAACGGTATACATTAATGAGGTACTAGTGAAGGATAACAGGATGAGCATGAAGCATCGTGGCGAATTCATTAGGGGATAACAGCGATGGTTTCTAAGGGGAACCGTGTGAAGATCTACCTGATTAACAGTCCCCTTTCCCCTACTACAGAACAATCGGTACAAGGCGAGTGCTGTCGTCCGCATTATGGTCAAAGTTGGGAAAGATATTTTAAGACCCGAACAACTACTATATTACAAACAAGATCCAGAATGACAAGCCTAAGAATCAACAAGATTCTTGGAGAACAAACCTTAACTAGGCAACAGCGTTGCCGCGTGGTGTAGGTAAATTCGCCACAAATGGAATGGTAAACAAGCTTACGGCCCACCTGGTGGTAAGTGACTGTAGTATCGCTCATGCTGTTCTGAAGGGTTGATATATTACTATGCGTTTCTAAAGCACACTTTATCAAAAATAATTCGAGATTTCTATCTGTATCTTCTATCTATAGTATGTCGTATTAGAAATACAGTCGTAAGATATCGACTGTTGAGAACGGTACTCTCGATAAGGCATTTAAGATTATAATTTGTCTGGCGGATGAAGATCCGATAGTAGCAAGGAAATGGAATCGCGTGGCAATTTTCAACCAATATAAGGCGACGCAGTGAAGAGCCGTGGATAGAGGAAGGCGTTTTGAATTTGGGTAGACGAAGCAAGCTACTTGGCGGCCGAAATACCTGAGACAGGGATACTCAGCTATTTCCTGAGATAGGACAACTGTTCAGAACAGCTGCAGACGATTTTGTACAAAGTCTATTTCGGTATATAAATTTTCATTCATGTGCTATTATTTTAAATGCGATATCATTTACAATTTTATTGGAACTACGACAGAAATTACGCTATTATCAGTGGAACAACCCTATGACATTGGATGTTGGTACGATAAATTTATACAAATTAACCTGGGCTATTATTAATTGCTATAAAATTTGATCTCTACGGAGAGGTAATAAGAGCTAGATTAATGTAACATTACTGTGACCTTACGATCAATGATTGTGTTATGTGTTGTGACAGAGTTTATCTAGAAAGCTTGTGCATTTAACACTGCATTTCAGACTGTAGATAGGAGAAATTCTGTTGTACATACCTCGGTACGTCACATTGCTTTGTTTTTATTGTGTTATTTTTACCAACCTTATTTAAAATGTAAGATTCACTTTATTTATTTTGTAAGTATCTTATCTATCTATGTTTGATTTCATGGGATGATACCTATGACTAAATATAGGTACTTATTTTGGTAGAATTCAGTGAAACAGAGGTACCTAATAATAATAATAATAATAATTTATTGCAATCTTAGTTTGTGTTACATAGTTAAATTAAGTACATACAGTGAAAATACATTTAAAGATGTAACGATCAAGTAGGTAAGTTTACCACTGATTATAATGGCAATAATTTCTTATTAAGATATAGGTTTATAAATATTTACATATCATTCAAAACCAACGTACCATTTCAATATCTCAAGATCAGGTAAGGATGCCTTACATAGCGTGTTCGATTCTTCGCCCGATGCAAACGGTTGAATTCTTAAGTGTGTTTTGGTCTAGGTAAATTATGTATATATTTATATTATGTATATATTTACAAAAACAAATTTATCAACGAATATTCCTATCAGGTGTATAGTAACTATAACAAATTTCCGAATCCATAAATCTCTCCAAATTTGAAATAAATCCATAATAATTGAAAGTTTTAGATATCAAATATGAAAATACTCAGGATTTATGGGAATTCCAATGAAAGTGAGAATTATAAATAGGTAATTTATAGTCATTATATAAGGACAGCTAACAATAAGAAAGAAAAAATTATAACGCAATTATATCCAATCATTTATTTTGAAATACATATTTATTATTGAGAAATAGGTAATTTAAAGAATTATATAAATAAATAACTCACAAAAAGAATGAAGAAATTGTAATGCAGCTGCTTTACAATTTCTTCTTTCTTTTTGTGAGTTATTTATTTATATAATATATTATATCCGATTAATTTTATTTTTAATACATATTTATTATTGATTTTCAAAGATATCATGTCATCATCTTAAGGTATGTTATATTGATCATTTTCAATGAATCCGAGACTATCCCAGAATGATTTGTGTCCAAAATCGGAGCTGTTCCTCATTTCCATTTTACGTGGTGAAGATATATCTAAATAGTTAAGATCTGCAGAATCCACGTTCACCGGTAGCCAAGTAACATTGTCAGACACTTTTGGTACTCTGGAAAAAATATTGGAAATCATTGAAAATGTTTTTTTGACGAAATCATTGAATAGCTTCGTTGGTCTAGTGGTTTAGCACCGTGCTTTACTTTGTAGCTGTAAGTGCTGTGGTCAACAAAATTAGAATAAAAAAAACATTTACAGCCTCGGGAATCTAGCGGTTTAGCCACTCTGTTTTGTGGGTTTATTTATTCTTTGGTTCGAACAAAAATATTTGTATTCATGAGTATGATTGTTTGTATCGGTCTGGGTGTTTTCTATGTATACATCTATGAAAAAAAAGATTAATGAAAACGCCTATAATAAACAAATTTGTCAAATTATATTTCTTACAGATATAAATTAACAAAGATTTTTGCTCTGTCGGTCAGATTCGAACTTGCGATCTTTGGGTCTAAGTAGTATTAGACCACTACGTCACGAAACTAATAATCAAATAATTACCCTGTACTAGCGAAGCTGTATAGCATATCAAGCATGATTTCATTCATTTGGAGATCATCAGACGTCGTTCCGTGCATCGGACCAACGTGGAAAATGTGGAACAAATCGTCAGCATGAGATACTCCTGAAAAAAATATTCAATATATTTTTTTATTGTAACTAAATTAGTTTTAATATATTAATTAATTAAATTAATTGACTTTATCTGGTGGAAAAGGATGGCGAGACCTAGTAGGTATCTAGGGCGCTTACTCAGAAGAAATATGGCTTGAAGAGTCCAGGGTTGTATCTCTCCAGGAACATAAAAGTTGGAAGTGTGTTCCACTCTTTAGCAATGCGTATCTCACAGAACACGCATATAGGATAATAATAATATCCTGCGACAATTCACAAAAAGCCATCTAGCCCCAAGCTAAGCAGCTTATTTTCTGGCTACTAAACAAATGATAGAAATACTTAGATACATTTATTAATTTAAATTATAAACTTGAACAATTATTTTTCTATGCGTGTGCCAAATACATGGTAGTGCGTGTAATGTTTTTGTTATTGATTTACTGTATTGTATATTCATATTTAAGAAAAAAGTAGTATTTTGCCCTACTACTCTGTATAAACTATAAGTGTGCGAAATTTTATACTCCTCCGATTTTATACTCATCCGCGCAAATTTCGTGAATACGGGTAAAAATTTCTGCTTCACGTATTACTGTAATGATATTCATATAAGCCATAGCACGAGCATTTTTTCTAGTTTACCGTAGTTATTATAGTTGTGTGTCAGGAATGTAGTAAAGCTCTTCTCTCCCCGGAAGCTGTATCTGTACAGGTAGACGGGCTGCTGCGATGCTCTCGCATACGTATCAGCAAGTTTGCCAACGTCCACCGAGAACAGGCGATCGCTGAGTGCCTGCAGCAATAGAATAGAATAGAAAATAATTTATTCAAATAAACTTACATTGAAGCACTTTTGTGTAGTCTGTAGTAATAGTCATCACATTTTTTTAATCTACCGCTCATTCGGAAATCTGTCTCATCACAAGAAGAACGTGAAAGAAACTTGCGTGTTGCTTTTTTAAATAATTTTATTGTTACTTCACATTTGTAAGTGAAGCGTGTGAATACAAACTACCAATTAGCACTAATTCAATTAAATACTCAAATACTTTCTGTATTGAAAAAATATAACAACTGGTTAAGCAACTAAATAAGACTAAATCAGTCGTAGTGATTAGATCAGTCCCCACAGGCAGCACTCGTTAGTGAACGAATGCTGCTACTTGTGTATGACGGATTATATTCATTCAATAGTAAAAATGCATAAATATGATAGATAGATAAATTCTTTATTCACCAATTACAGACATAACATACATGAGTTACCAAATGACTTAATAAAATAATAGGCATAGAGCTAAGCTGAACTTATTTTATAGGTACGAAACAACTGATTAAATACATTAATACTTTTTTGTAAATCAATACATAATATACATTGGAAACATCTAGAATAGCACAAACAATTGATCTGCACAAACAATTGATTTGGTTTGCATTGTTTGAAACGGACCCACGATCATCGGATATAAGGCGATGTGTTAAACCGTTAGACCACCGTGTACACTAGCAGTAAGACACACAACTAGTAATAAGATAGCAAATTCACCTGAACAAGTTGCGGATAAGTTTCCTGACTGACTGGTTTACCATCGAGATAGTACTTTTTTATCTTAGCTGAAACAGTCGCGTGTTGCTCTTCAGGTATTGTGTCGTTATATTGGAAGATAGTGGCAGCTAGAGTATCCCAATGTGCCTCTAACTCTGGTAGAAGATCCGGGTTGAGGTATGCTAGAATTATTATTATTATTATTTATATATGTACATATCGTTAATATGTCGCGTACAATAAAGTTTTTAAACTCAATTTCAGTTCGTACGATCAAGAGTTATTAATTCCTTCTTGCAGATAGAATTGTCATTGTTTCTTCCTACAAATAAATAATACTATACAGCGATATATGATATTATTTTCTGATATAATGTTTCTATCTACAATACAGTTCTGCAGTTACTCCAGTTTCTACAATACAGGCCTGAAAGCATAGTGTAGAACGGCAGTAAATTAAAAATTTAAATGTGTATCAAGAATAATAATAATAATTATTATTATCTGTTAAGTAATTAAATGGACTTCTGGAAAATAACAAATCGATAAAATATATTTATTTAATAATATATACATAAATTATCAACATTAAGTAGTAAAATTAATATTACCCGCAGCAGGGTACAACCCTTCTTCAGAAGTCACAGAAGTGATGAGAGGAACTCTCGAAATATCCCCAGATCTTGTAGCTTCGAACGGATGCTGCTTTAGGAAAGGGTTCTTAGAATCCCTAGGTTCTATCGTTGGACCGAATTCAGTAAATAGTTGAATCTTCCAACCCTGGGAGGTTAAAGTAAAGTTAGTCTTTATACTACCACATACTATTTTCTGTAAATAATAATGGAAATAGAAATAAACTTTATTCAAATAAACTAAATACAAGCACTTTTGAATAGTCATATTTTTTATTCTACCTGAGTGGTAGAATAAAAAATATGATTATTCAAAAGTTTCGCATAATAATACCCTAATAATAATAATACGCCTGGACAATTAATACAACATCAACTAGTCCCAAGGTAAGTAGGGCTTGTATTATGGGTACTAGACAACCGATATGAATATTTAGATGTAAATACATGCATAATATAAGTAGAAAAAACACCCAGACCGATACAAACAATTGAAACAATTATACTCATTAATACATATATTTATGCCTTGTGAGTAATCGAACAAGCGACCATCGGAAACATTAATTTTAAAAAAATAGTCTCCCTCCTACTTCTACTGTCAAAGGAAACACGGTAGTGTTAGCCGTACAAAATATGAAAATATAAATATTCAGTATTATAAAACAGCATCTAATAGAAACATTAAAGAAAGACCTTTTCATTATCATTTTCATTCAATAGAAGGGCTTTTATAATGCTACATAAAACTCGGATTGAAGCCTTAAATTTTCTCCTCCATCTTTCCAGTGATGCCATATGGTGAGATTGCTCTTAAATTTATGAGATTATTTAAGGCAGGGAGATAAATTAAGGAACAAATGGGGGTTTCACTCGTTAATGGAGTATTAGAAATAATTTTTAGTCAAATAAATTTGATATAAGCATTTTTTAACAGTCAAATTTCCATCTTCATTCGGAATGTGGTTATGACAAGATGAATGAGAAAGAAACTTGAGTGTTACTCTTTTGAATAAATGTTGTTCAGTATCACATTATTAAGAATTTTGTGTAAATACAAACTGTCAAAAAGCAAACTTGACATAAATAAATAAATAGTTACTTGAATAACAAAATATATGAGTTGTAGTTATCAGTGCAGACCAGTCCTTACATTAATTTAGGGCAATTTTCTGTAGGTTATAATCGTTTATTTTTTGGATAGACTGTGTGAAAGATGATATGGTAATAAAGGCAGTAAATAACGAGATGACTACGAACAGGGATGAACGGAAGAGAAAAACATATTATGCCGACCACAAATAAATGGGATAGGTAAGAATCAGATGATGCTAATCGTTTATTTTTTATCACTATACATACCGTCTAGTTTTTGGCTACTTCAGTGGAAAAAACTGGGAAGGCACTCAAAAAACTATAATATTTTTATCGACATCCCTTTGTAGTGTATAAATCAAGAACAACAGTGGTAACTCAAAGCGTTAATACATTTATTATTTTTATACTACGTAGGCCAACAAGTATACGTGCCCATCTGATGGTAAATGGTTACCGTAGCATATTGATGCCTGAAAAGGGGTGTCACGTGCGCGTTGCGGACCCTTAAGAGACCTTAATAATAATAATAATCTCAGGACAATTCACACAGCGCCATCTAGTCCCAAGTTAAGCTAGCTAAAGCTTGTGTTATGGGCACAAGACTAGGGTATTGGTATTAGACAGCTGATACAACTACATAGATATATTTATTATTCGTAAATACATACATATTATACATAGAAAAAACCTAGACCGATATAAACAATCATACTTATGAATACAAATGTTTGTGCCGTGTGAGGAATCGAACCCGCGATCATCGGACGTAAAGCGGTGTGCTAAACCACTAGACCACGGGGTCGTCATATAGGATATATCTTGAAAAACCCTCTGATGTAGTCTCGTACACATTGCCGACCCTTAAGAAGCTTTAACGTACCCTTTTTTAAAACCCCATGCTATAGTCTCTGGAGAAAACCTCGGCAGGTAGTTCATTCCACAATCTAAGTGTACACGGGAGGAAGCTCCTCTAAAACCGCACTGTCCCAGACCACTTACGTTCCATCGTTTGGGGATGAATTTACTGTCGATGGCGAGCGGTGTGATAGTGAAAGGTAGCAGATTGGGTAGTAGTGGATTAATAATTTACTGAAATATTGTTAGTACCAATAAAAGATCCATTTATTAGGACTGTTCTAGGAAACCAAAAATTTAGGGGTATTTCTGTTAAAATTGGGGGGAAAGCATGATTATCTGGCAACACTATCCTCCTTCGTACAACCACTTCATTAATTTCCATAATATAAAAAGTTATGAAGAGTGTCAGTGGAAAAATAATTAAAATGAGTATAAAAATAATTAAAATTCAGAATAGTCTATTCTATTCTGAATTTTAATTATTTTTATACTATAGAATATGTATAGAATAGAAAATCATTTATTCAAATAAACTTACATTGAAGCACTTTTGAATAGTCATTACATTTTTTAATCTACCGCTCGTTCGGAAAGCTGTCTCATCACAAGAAGAACGAGCAAGAAACTTGCGTGTTGCTCTTTTAAATAATTTTATTATTACTTTACATTTTTAAGTTTAAGTGTGTGAATACAAACCACCAATTAGCACTAATTCTATTAAATACTCAAATAGAAAAAATATTGAATATATAACCAACTGGTTAAACAATTAATAAGAGGAAATCAGTCATAGTGATTAGAGCAGACCAGTCCCTACAAGCAGCACCCGTTCACGAGTATGACGGATGAGCCAGCCATCACTGCGCTCGACCATATTTTAGGGAGCCCAATGACCCGGCCCACCACGCCTCATTCAATTAGAGTAACAGCTTTTTGTAACTAATAAATGCAAATTAATTTTTATTTAGAAATGGAGGTTTCAAATGACCGTATAGATAGCTATTCAGACACCGCCTTATTTCCGATGGTCTCGGATTCCTTCTCGCCGGATACAAACATTTGTATTATTGAGTATATTTGTTTATATTGATCTGCCTGTTTTTTACGTATATTATATCATATATTAGAAAAATGTATTTAAGTAGTTAGTAAGTAGTACTTGTCTAGTATCCACAACACACGCTCTGCTTTGCTTGAAACTAGATTACGTTTTGGGTTCTATGACGTTGATAATAGCTGTCGAGTCCTCAACTTGTTTGCCATATAACCTTTTTTTTTAACGTGTGGAACATCTTCAAAATACACTCACCCCGCCGGGTTATTTTTATTCTGTTGTAGCACTTAGGAAGCGACGGACTATTGCACATATATCTAACAGCCTGCAATAGTTTATTTTATTATTATTTCCTGGAGGATTATTATTTTTATCTTTTCTTTCTCTTCTTTAATTAGTTTAAAAGAAGGTAATACTCACATACACGGGCCTTAACCAAGTATGGGAGAGGTTGCGCTATGTGAAGATGGTATTATTGAGGAAATCAGGAATTATCATTATTTTTATGAATCCAAACATTCATAAAAATAATGATAATTCCTATTGTTTAGATATTAGTTAATAATTTTGTAATTAAATTTTTTGGTAATTCAACACTATACTTATTGTAGAGAATTAATCTATACATATAAATAAAATTGGAGTGTCTGTTTATAACATTGAAATAACCGTTTTTTACTACATGCATATGAATATAAATATGGTACATACACCAAAATAACATTTTTTACAATTTTTGTCTGTATGCCTGTCTGTCTGTTTGTTCCAGCTAATCTCTGAAATGGTTGGACCGATTTTGACGGGACTTTTTTTGGCAGGTAGCTGATGTAACTTAGGCTACTTTTATTTTAGAAAAATCTTTTATTTTATAAAAATAAAGTAATTTCAACACAATACTTATTGTAAAGAATTAATAAAAAATAAAAACTCACCATGAAATGAACTTGTGCGCTGGCGAGTTCCTCACCAGGTTTATCAGTTAAACAATCGACCATTGCCTGGCTACTATTTGTTGGGCAGCCAACCAATGATGCTAAGATCTTCGATTTCTCTACCAATTTCCCTGAGAAGGCCCACGGTGCAAAGGCCGAGCCGCTGTAAGCTATAGCATTTGCGAAGGTACCTGGAAATTTAATTATAACAATAATAATTTATTTATTTACACAAAATCACAGTACAAAAGATGTCAAATAAAGAACAACACATTTTTCTATAACACATTTAAATGTACACATAATTTACTTAGTAAATACCCAGATTTATATAAACAATCATACGCATGAATTAAACCTACGACCATCGGTGCAAAGCGATGTCCTAAACCGCTATACCACCGTGGTCGTGATAACATTAAAGGAATATACTTCAAAATGGCGGATTATAAAAAACTAACTGAGCTGTACATATATCATTTTCAGATATCCAGGAAGTTCCCGCTCAGAGTTTCACAGTTTCGATATTATAATGTGCATAACTTCTTAAAGTGAATTTTGACTTCACACAAGCACTGCTTGCGTCATAACTTGTTTACAAAGTACCAGACCAAAATCAATCAGATTGTTTTTCTTACGCAACCATATTTTTGTTTACAAACTTCTAGAAGAAAATTAATTGAACTAACTACGTAGTTTTCATACGTAATCACATTTTTGTTAAGAGATTTATAGAAGAAAATCAGTGAGAGTGCTTTTCTTACGTAACTTAGACTTAGGTGGATGAATATGCAATGCTTCGCCCGCTTGCTCTAACAGGTTCGCTGGCGGACCACAAATAAAGTATGATACGATGAGAATAAAGACAAGTCTGTTTTTTTTTTAATTTTATTAGGGGGTTTGGGCTATTGTTAGGTGCCTCAGGGCCTTTGGGCTATTATCAGTCAGGACCTTTAGCACTGCGACCTACATAGATCTATTGTGCTCGCCCTTTTTTAGAGTTCGCTACCTAGACCAGTTAGAGACAAGAATTGAAGAATATTTTCTGGAGCGATGGTTTCTATCTCCTCAGGATAGAGTGTAAACTTTCAAAAGAAGATATTACGTTTATATATGAGTGGGCTACAATCACATAGGATGTGTAGTGGCGTGCAAAATCTGCAGATTTTTGTTGTGTATAGGTAAAGGTCAGATCTGTTAGCACGTCGAGGAGAATTCACTAGGAACTGAGCACGATGGTTTCTAGAACTGAATACAGGTTGATGTCATACGGACATTGCAGTATAGTTACTATGGTATATATTATATACTATATATATTCATATGTGAACGTTTTTTGCTGCATCGCTTTTAACAATTCTTGCAAGTACGAGGTTCAAGGAAACCTCCCAACATTTTTAGTTTTCATATGTTTTTTCAAAATTATCAATTGTTGTTGGTTATACATCTGCATTGGCTGAATATAGGATGCAGAGGATTTATGAAGCGGAGCCACCTCCTATATTACGGATACAATTTTAGTCTGAGGTCGCTAGGGGTTCGTATCTCGGCTCAGACCGTTGTAATTCAATCCTACTCGAACGGGGCAAGGAATCGATAAAAATTGTACGTATATTTTTATCCGTTGTTTACAACTTATAGTACAATCTGTGCTTAATTTGTGACTAGATGGCGCTGCGTGAATCCTCGTTAATCATTATTGAAATGAAATGATTTATTTGCGAAAGTAGGTAAGTTGTTACAATAAAGTCATTGATCAGCAATAATTATAACAGTTGTTATTATTTGTAAAGTGAGATGCCATTTTCTTAATATTTTTGGAAGATTATTGTATACTTTTATATATTGATCTTTGGGGGAGGCCTATGTCACTTCTTCATGATGATTATTGTATACTTTCATTGCTATAGAGAATTAAATCAAATCAAAATATTTCGATTCATGTAGGATCTATTACAGACTCTTATGATATGTCAAATCTACCGTCAGTTGGGAGTGCTTTCGAGTTAAGAAGAACTGACAAGAAACTCTGCTTATTCTTTTCAAATGAGCTTGTACATGTTATACAAAAATACAGATTTTTTATACATACATAGATATATATTATACATACATATTTCTTTTATATAAATCTAATCGACACATTATGTTTCATAAGGCGCCTTGTTGAGTCTAATAACATTATTATCACTATTTATCCCTCCTCTATCTCGTAACCGTACGAAACCATCGATCTGTTAGCTTTATTCTTAACTCCTGAACTGTGTTGGCGTGGTAACAGTAAATCTGCATGACCCTCGAGAATGACCTTTGTTATAATAACTATAAGGTTGATAGTATGTGTCATGCCAATTAGTTGCGTGACCAATTTTATGTCCAATTGAATTGGTAAGTAATAGAAACAAAGGCGGTGCCCTCCTTATGGTATTCATAAACCTAATTGGTTTTGAATAACGTTCTATAACTATTTAAAGTCATAGATCCCTAGTTTAATCTATAAATAACAAAAACATCGTTGTTCGAGGCTTCGTGGAATTAATTTATCATTATATTAATACGCAAAGCGAAAACTTTGTACCCCTTTTGTTTTTTATGTAAATTGAGCGGACGGAGCAGTATAAAATATCGCTCACTTATAGGTTACATAGAGAAGCAGATCAGAAACCACTTTTTTTTTAATTATGCATTTAAAATACATTAAACAAATAAAAAAATATTACACTCACTACCATGTATTTGACGCATATAGACTCTTTTGTTTAATTGTTGCTGGTTCAAAAATCTTCTTGTATTTTTTATTATGATCGACAACTGGGCGACGACTAGTAAATTAAAAAAAAAACATATTCACCTCTAGACAAAGGAGATAGTAGATGGTAGTGAACACTCGACGCACCAGCGGAGTGCCCAGTCAGCGTGACGTTCTCAGGGTTCCCGCCAAAAGCGGCAATATTTTTTTTAATCCAGTGCAAAGCGAACGCTTGGTCTTTCAAACCTAAATTTCCAGGTAGTACACTGTCGCCCGTACTCAAAAAACCTGTGAAGGAATCATGATGCAAATTTGTTAATTTTGTTTACTATTATTATAAGAAAGGAAGAAGAAGAAGAAAGAAGAAGTTTTAAATTGAAACTTCTATATTGATGGGGTCAATATAAAAGGTTCACTTTAAAGCTTCTTAGGATTAATCGTATTTGAATTTTTCGGTCACGATAAAGTGTTACCCACGCGTGTAGGGGGAGACGATATAGTGTTGTAAAAAAAAGAGAAAGGCCAGTGATAGAGGAGAGAGGACAACGGCAGTCCGTTGAAGTTTCAGTTCTTCTTTATGGCCCAGCACACTGTCCTTTTTTATCATTACATAGTATAAAACAAAGTCGCTGTCGCTGTCTGTCTGTCCCTATGTATGCTTCAATCTTTAAAACTACGCAACGGATTTTGAAGCGGTTTTTTTTAATAGATAGAGTGATTCAAGAGGAAGGTTTATATGAATCATACATGTACACCGGACGAAGCCGGGGCGAGTAGCTAGTTTAATATACAAATGCTTGTCTTATACATAAATACAACTTACAAATGTAGTTGAAAAGCCGAGAAAACATAGATAAAAAATTTTGACCAATCATAGTCATGAATACAAATGTACCAACCGTGCGAGAAATCGACCCTGAGACCATCGGAAGTAAAGTGGTGTGCTAAACCGCTAGACCACCACGGTCGTTGTTATCTATGTACAGGATACATCAAAATAATAGACCTCTTTTAGCGTCGCTGGTTAAAAAGTAATGCAGCACAAGTTTTGATGTTGACGGGGAAATAGTTTCAGCGATATTCAACTTGGACAACTAGTTTCATGAAAATTATTTACCTTACGAAACTGGGTTCATACACGATTTTCAAACTGAAATTCTACAAGTTTCAATTCTTATGATCTTGATGTCACATTTTGTAGCTGAATTATAATCCGAGGAAGATTGCATGTGCTTTACTTAAATATAAAATTCCTGTCGCTAGCTGTATATTATACTTGTTAGTTTTATCATCCTCTGTGGTCTAGCGGTTTGTCACACTGCTCTATTTCCAATGGTCGTGGGTTCGATTGTACGATGACTTGTATTGCTTTGGGTGTTTTCTATATATATTATGCATTTACCAAAATGTATATTATTTAAGTATTTCTATAAGTTGCCTAATACTAACCATAAAACAAGCTTTGCTTAGCTTGGGGATAGATGTCGTTGTGTGCATTATTATTAAGAGTTATTATTATTTGTAAACACAGAAAATTATTTAATTTACTTATTTTTCAAATTTCGTCCAATTTATTAATAGTTAAACCTATGAATGATTTTAAGGTAAATAATGATATTTACCTCTTTCGACGATTCGACTACGTCACACTACCCATGGTCACGAGCTAACAACTTAACGTCGAGAAAGGTTTACCTTTATTTACCAATAAATTATTCGTGTTAAAACCTGTTTAAGTATATTTATAATTGTTTATATTCATACATTCTTTGATTATGAACTAAAATAAATACAAATATATTTACCTAAAGGTCCAAGCCTGTACTGAATGGTGACGACCACCAAATCTTTGTCCATTAGAAAAAAGGGTCCATAATGGAACCCATTGCCATACATATACGCGCCTCCATGTATAAATACCATCACGGGCATTGGCTTCCCTGGGTTTAGATTTGGTGTATATACATTAACATATAAACAATCTTCATTGCCTGGAATAGAAAAAATATATTACCAGCTGACCCGCACAACGTCATCTGGGTCACATTATCCCCGTTTTTGCAACATTTTTTCATTGCAGCTTTGCTAATATTGGCCCAAACGTGATGTCATGTGGGCTATAGCTTTATAACCTTTCTCGATAAATGGGTTCTCCAATTATTTAAAAGAGCAACACGCAAGTTTTTGCTCGTTTTTTTTTTGATGAGACAATTTACCGAAAGAGCGGTAGATTAAAAAATAATATTCAAAAAAGATTATTTGAATAAACAATTTTATATTCCGATCTATACCACTACTAAAAGAATTTTCACGCTTGCTTGCTTCACCGGTGACCCGGTAGAGGATAAGATGAGCATAAGGTCAGGTCAGTTAGCCCATAGTGGCAAATTCACCAGGACTTTAACATACAGATTTCCAGGGGGAACTGCGTAGAAATGATATATTTAGTATATCTATTTATTAGTAGTAATAGGGTTATTTGTCGACATTACTCTCCCTTTCTCCCCTAATGTGTATATTATAAACGTATATTTATCTGGAAATATATTCAGTTGTTTCTTGTCAATTCTTATCAATTGAATCTATATAGTTGAACAACTAAGTGTTCACACTAAATATCGGTTCAGTAAATGAAAATATTGGTATAGGTACTATTGGTATAGATATAGGTGGATGGTATATTCTTTCCACAACTGAATGGTACAGAACCCGGTGGAATCGAATCCAAGATAAAAATATTCCGGTTGACCACATAATTAAAAAAAATCTTAATAACGCTTTTTACATTGATTAGTACCCATCTAGCAACATAAGTGGAAACTGTTATTTACATTTTTAATTACCAAATTATACGTAGTAGGATCACAGATGAAATAATATTACGTAGTATACCGAACTGGGCGGTAGGGACAAAAAACTTGACGTTCATAAGCGGTTAAAATGTTCTAAATGAATGAATTAATTTTGATTTCATTTCATTTGTTTTACATACCGTGATATCATTCTGCATATCGCTTACTATTTTAGCATGGTTAAAGTCGTAAACAAACAAATGTAATACATAAATTACACCAAATTACAGGTTTTTTTATTACTACTAATTCACGTGTCATCATGTGTCATAATAGTCAATAATAAATACAAAGTGCATCATTGTTAAGCAACAAACTTATATCGCATGCATATATAATTGTATGTAATGAGAGTACAGACAGACACTTTAGAATAATACGATAATGAATGATGTATATACATAACAATGAGATGAATTATAAAAGTCGTTGAAAAAAAACAAGTCACCAAATAATTATGAGTTGTCAACAAATAAGTAGGTATAGTCGATGTATCTTTATGTATATATTTGTATCGCATAATATCATGGGAGATTATGAACATTTTTTTAATGAGAACTACTCGATAAATTATAGAAATAGATATCCATATATGTATTATTAGAATGATAACATTATGTATGTAAGATTACAGTAATTTAGTATCTGTATGATATATGAACTGTAATTTTTAAATATCAGGTATAGCAATTGAGTATCTGATACGATTTATATTGTATGCGTTTGACTTTTGCAATAAGTGTTGTGAAATAACTATTTATAGTTTATTTGTAGAAACTGTATTTGTTATTAATTGTAGAATTATATTTTCATACTAGCTGTTCCCGCGACTTTGTCCGCGTGGAATGTAACTTTATATTTCTAAAAAAAATCTAAATTGAAAGTAGCCTAAGTTACTCCTTATCACAACAACTTCGTCCGTCAAAATCGTCAACGATTTCAAATATTAGACTTTATTTTGCAATTTAACTAAAATAAAAGTAGCCTAAGATACTCCTTATTACATCAGCTACCTGCCAATAAAGGTCGGGTCAAAATCGGTCTAGCAAATTCAGAGATTAGTCGGAACAAACAGACAGACAGACAAAAATTGTTAAAAATATTATTTTGGTGTATGTACCGTATTTATATTCATATGCATGTAGCAAAAAACGGTTATTTAAATATTACAAACAGGTACTCCAATTTTATTTATATGTATAGATTTACTTTATAAGCATGGTAAATGAATTTCAGTTGTTAAACGAAGTAAGTTGTCAACTCAATGGATGTCTATGAAAGGAACGCTATTTCTCTGAACGGGGGAGTTTATTTAAGTCGAAATGTGAACGATGTGGTTAGTGTTCGGAAAAATAAATCCTTGAACACATCCGAAGTTTAATTTTGAAGATCTTTAATTCTAACATATAACATAACTGTCACATATATTATACTTTGGTTTTATTCTGTGTTTAGAAAGTTGATATGTTCTACCGGTCTGTAAATTATGTTAATGTTAATGCATTACATATTAATAAAGAATTATTAGAAAAATACATACGATAATTACTAGAATCAAGATTTCTGAAAGCCCCGAAATTAAAATGAAACTAATGAAATTAAGGTTATACAATACATGTCTATTTTCACAGTGCGAGATGAGATCCTTTGCTGCGTATTCACCTTGAAGAAGACTTGCGGAAGTAAAAACATTTGAAGTAATAGCTTTACACGAATCTAACATAGATTTACCTGACGAAAATTTGCGCTCAAAATGAGCGGATCTATTTTTTGCGTTGACATTTTCGAACGTAATTGCTCGTATTTTAATTTTGTTTTGATATTATTCACATTTATTATTATTTTCCATAGACATTATTTTCCCCACATTCATTCATTTCCTTTTCAATGATGGAAAATGACAAAGATCATTAGACTGTGTAGCCTACACAAATATGAAGAATTTTATAAGTAGACACTTATAAATTTAATTACCAATTACTAAAGACCAATTCTTATGCACAATTATCATTATAATTGAATAATTGATTAAAAATCTGTCTTTAGGCGTGTACTCTATGGTGTGATGTCCGCCATTTTGCAGTAATTACAAAAACGCGCGAAAGCACGCACGATTGTTTTGTGATATTGGACGAGTGCACGGCGCGCTTGAACTTTCTCGTTTTCTTTGTGTACCTTTACATGCACACTCTTTCCCGCCTTTATACCTATGCGGGCGTGAAACAGATAAGTGTAGTACCAATACCTCAGTATTGGTTGGGTTTTAGTCCAGCCCATGAACTCCTTAGCTACCTTTACCAAGGAGCTACATTTACTCACTGATTACTCACCTTTATACTTAGTGAACTCACTAGTGCCTATTACCCCCCAGAGTGGATTATTAGTATTGAGATTAGTGACTCCATTGTTATGTACTATGTTATGTCGACTTCCAAATATATTCTCAAAGTATGAGTAGGCTATAAGGTTGAGAATGTATGATTTCACCGAAAACGTACCGGTAACATTTCTTACAGAAGGTTCGTACTGCAAGCAGTTGGGGGGTCCTTGTGTAGCATCCCGTACTCCACTCCACGGGGTAGGTTGTTGCGGATCCTGTAATTTTTTTTATATATAAATAAATAATTTAGAATTAAAACAATCTTTATTCATAATTAATAAATTTAATTATCTTATTATAAGCTCTTTGTATCTATTCTAGATCCTACCGCCATATCATCTACGAATTTGAACAGTCTATACTTTTTCTCTACAGGCATATAGTCCGTGCTCTTATTAGTTTGTTTCTGCATATTATTATGTTAAGCGTTTACAATTCAAATTCCAAATCTATGATAACTTAAAAATTCACCATAAACTTCAATTTTGGCCAGGCCTTGTATAACCATTTTATTGGTCGTAATATTTAATCTCTTGATTTGTTTAAAGCTAATGTCCGTAATAATACTATTGATCAGTAATAGTATGTAATATTATGTTATCTGTGGTAATAGTATGTAATATTATATTATCTTTGGTAATAGCAATTTAAATTTAGTATGAATTTATGTTAATTAATATATATAAATAAAATTGGAATATTGAAATAACTGTTTTTTACTACATGCATAACAATGTAAACACGGTACATACACCAAAATAATATTTTTAACAATTTTTGTCTGTCTGTCTGTTTGTTCCGACTAATCTCTGAATTTGCTGGACCGATTTTGACCCGGCTTTTATTGGCAGGTAGCTGATGTAATAAGGAGTATCTTAGGCTACTTTTATTTTAGAAAAATAAGGTTAAATTCCACGCGGACGAAGTCGCGTGTACAGCTGTGCGCTTACCATCAGGCAGGCCGTATATTTGGTTACCATTGTAATGAGTTTGAATTGTAATTAGTAGGTTATTTCTTCAAGTAAGACCTGTAATTGCATACCTTTAAATAAATACAATATTTTTTTTATTTAAGTACTAAATTTCTGAAATGTATTTTTCTTCTATACAACAATACACACCGTAAATACATTACCCAATTTTATTAATAATAATAATAATAATAATAATAATCATTTATTCAGCATAAAAAAGCGTACAGATAAAAAAGAAAATTTAAAAACTAATAATTCGCTATGCTGAAAAGGCTATTACGTAAAGTAAATGGAAAAATAGGGAAACCTCGGATTGAATTCTTACAAATTAAAGTTGATATTTTCACTTGACATACACGTGACTCGTTCACTTTTTAAAGAAGGCTTTTCAGTTTAAATATCAAGTAAAAAAACATTGTTTCAACTTAGAGACAGGCTTTTTTAATCTTATATTAAACAAATGTTATTATCGCATACTTTAATATACGTTATATCTCTACCTATTCAGAGATCTTGCGTCTCCCCTCACCTAAGCGAGATAGCGATATTTTCGAATTTCTACCGTAAATTGATACGTTCCGTTTTATTCGGCTTTTTAGTATAGTAAATATCAAGATACTTATTTCGTTATTCTGAAAATACATTATAATTGAAGATATTGGTGACTTGGACATTTCTTCAACTTTTTTCCACTACTATGGTGGCAAACAAGCATACGGCCCATCTGATGGTAATACAGTAGTCTTAGTTATGGACGTTAGTTATGGACGCTTGATTACTGATACTGTCTCTGATCGCTCACATGAATCCTTTTTTTCTCGGTGAATATCGAATCAGTTATGTGTAATGCTAAAACAAACTTGTTTAAAAAATGTGTGACTAGTATGCAACGTTGACATTAGTGGTCTGTGGATTAATTTTCATATAATTTAATTTGTTATTTAAAAAAAAATCATTGCAACACGTTTTACATGAAGAGGAGTCGGGGGACATGCAGCCTTAAAACTGTCGTGGATATAAATTAAAGGGAAAGGTTTTGTCTATTAACCCTTCCACACAGATTTGACACAGATCTGTCTCTGATCGCTCACATGAACCATATTTCTCGTCTATCGAACAGAACTGTGTAATGCAAAACAAACTTCTTTTTAAAATGTGTGACTTATTTAAAATGAAATAAGATAATGTATGAATGAAGAAATATTTTAAAAAATACAAATCTAGCCACGCGTTTTATATGACGCCTCTTCACTTTCGGTCGCTGCGACAGACGACAGACATTCGAAAGGTTAATAGTTAATACACTATATTTTACTAAAATTCTTTCGCCCTATTTGTCGCAAGTTCCTGCTTTCAGCACTTTTTAATAGGGCTGTGCACTGCATATGTAACACACCAAATAAATGTTGTTAAGCAATATATTTTTAAAATTTTGTGTGAATACTAACTGCCAAATAACAAAATTGACAAATCTGAAAATGGAAAGAAAATAAATCAGTCATAGTAAATAAATCGAATTGCGATTTTGTACACCACAGTGGACAATGGCTCTGACTACTCCATCTGGAATAACAGGCGTGACGGTATGTTTTTTAAACTATTTTTTTTATTCTTTATTTGTACACAGACAGGAAAAAATGGACAGTAATAAAGTAATCTAATGTACAAGGGCAAGCTTATTTCTAAAAAGAGATTTCAATATATAATATTTAAAATTTGCTTGCCGATAAATTTTAAACAATTGTTAATAATGGTACTATCTGGACACTAGATACAAATTAATTAGATCTGGATCTAAATTAATTATTTAACATTCAGAAAAAGGTTAAATAATTAATTTAGTAAAACTAGCTATGCCGCGGGTTCACCTGCGTGATATTTATAGCCTATATGTTATTCTGATGTATAAGCTACATTACTGTAAAGTTTCATCAAAATCCGATCAGTAGTGTTTGCGTGAAAGAGTAACAAATATCCATACTCACAAACCTTCGCGTTTATAATATTATTATTAAGATAATCTAAATATATAACTCAAAGGTGACTGACATAGTGCTATCAACGCACAGCCCAAACCACTGGACGGATCGGGCTGAAATTTGGCATGCAGGTAGACGTTATGACGTAGGCATCCGCTAAGAAAGTATTTTGATTAATTCTACCCCCAAGGGGATAACATAAGGGATGAAAGTTTGTATGAAACTTTGTCAGTTTTAAACCGATCGAGCTGAGACTTTGCATGCATAAAGCTACTATGACGTAGGCATTCCCTAAGAAAGGCTTTTGATAAATTCCAACCCCTAAAGGGATAAATTAACGTGAGCGAAGCTGCGGGCAAAAGCTAGGAACCTAGGCCCGGACATAACTAGTCATCAAGATAATCTGTGTTTTCTAATGCTTTATCTACGGTTACTGTACTCTGTTACATTATGAATGTTCCTCCTTATTTTTATTTTATTAAACTATTTGATATTAAATGTATCTTAAAGGATTTTCGCGTGAGAAGTTTAATATTTTTCACAGCCGGTATTCGTTACGATATTACGTTGGGGGATTGCTTGTAATGCATCTTATAAGATCTACCTACACGCGTTTTAGGTTATCATTATACTTCGACCAATTTATACAATCTTTTTTAAATATAGCCCACATGTTATTCTAATGTATAACATGTGATGTATAATGTTAATATTCGAATACCACCTAAACTCCCTAGACCTGGTAAATATAATATATTTATAGAAAATCTCGCACGAAGTAATTTCGGCTTCTACTCACCTTTAAACAGGCTAATGAGAACTTATAACACTTATTCAAAGAAACATTAATCAGTTGACATATTTAGTAATAGTTATTGCAAATTTCGCAGATGTCTCAATAGTATTATAAGTTCTAGTTGAATCAGTACAGGTTTTATATAGGTAGAATTTTAAGTTGTTTTTTATGTTTTGTTAATTGTTAATTGTAAGCACAAATTTGTCACACAAATGTCGTAGTTGCCTATAATTAAGGTTGCGCTTAGTATAAATAGATTGTAATGTAATATATATAATGTAACAGTGTAAGTGTAAACCTTGTTGGTGACCTAAATAAAATAAAAAATAAAATAAAATAACAATCCGAGTAGTTTTCGCGTGAAAGTAACAAATCGCCATCCATACTAACAAACCTTCTCACTGTAATTTCTCATTCATAAACCTTGTTTGACGTTAGTCGTTCAACAAGAGATATTTAGTATTTTAAATACGTTTCGAACTCGATTCGAACGGTATTCTATTTTTTTTTATTAAATACATTAAAAAATCTTGCCAGTTATCAACTAGATGTAGCTAGCCGAATTGGACCGTAGGGTAGAAAAATACTTGCATATGTGGCGAAAACACTTTAAGTAATATCTTACTAATATTATAAATGCGAAAGTTTGTTAGCATAGATGGATGTTTGTTACTCTTTCAAGCAAAACCTACTGAACGGATTTTGATGAAACTTTACAGTAAAACAGCTTACACATTCTGAAGTGTAAGCTATGTTACTGTAAAGTTTCATTAAAATCCGGCTATCATTTATAAAGATATTATGTAAATTGGGCGATATATAATGTAAGTAAGTGTGATGCAGACGAAGTCGTGCGGGTCAGCTACTATTATACATGCATCCAGTAGTCAGTAAAAATGCTTACCTTAAATCTATTTTCATTTATAGGTGGTTGTGCATAAGGGATTCCAAAGAAGCTGGCAAATGTCCGCCCTTTGGTGGACGTCTTCCAAACACCCTGTATCACGCCATCAGCTATATTGACCACCGGCCCGGGGTCAGCAGAGGCCGATGCGATTAAAAAATATAATAAAACAAAGGTCGTAGGTGTCATCTCGTCACAAGACAATATAACACTCCGACCGGTTATCACAAACGTTTATGTTTTATTACGAGTATTTGTATATATGTATGTTGTGTATGTATATATATACACACATATACATTAGCTGGCCCTGATATAAATTAAAGTAATAACGCTATTATAAATAGGTGACTCCATCATTGGAGGGGTGAAAATTTTGAGTTGATTCCGTACCTTAAAAAGATTATAATAAAACATATTATCTAATATGCTAAAAACATTACAGTGCATTACCCTTAATTTTTTAATCCTTTAGAGGCATGAAATATTTATTAATAGTTTCACAGACCTAATGTATATAACACACAATATTTCATAAGAATCGGTCAAGCCGTTTCGTAGTTTTTTTTCTTATGGATGATAATGGAATGTTTATAATATTAGTAAGTATATATGACAAAAGTCTGTAAACAGATTTGCTTCTTATTTCACTAGGAATAAAATATTTTTTGCATGAAGATTCTATATAAAGTCACCTGCATAGGTACCTTAGTCTCACATGTACCAGCTGCCAACCAGCTTACCTATTTTGTAATCTGTATCGATAGTAGGGTGCGATTCGGTAGTGAAAAACAACTTGTAATTCCGAAATAACAATATTTAATAATCTCAAGACAATTCAAACAACGCCATTTAGACCCAAGTTAAACTAAATCTTGTGTTATGGGTACTAGATAACTGGTACAAATACATTGATATACTTCATATTTTATTCGTAAATACATACATAGTATACATAGAAAACACCCAAACCGATTAAACGATCATACTCGTGAGTATAAATGTATGTGCTGTACGAGAAATCGAACCCGCGACCATCGGAAGTAGCGGTTTAACACAAGACCACCGAGGCCGTCAAGTGAATTGTTCCTAACAATAAACCCGGGCGCAGTTTCACATAAAATATGATAAAAGTTTTAAAATGAATTGTTATATATAAATATAGGGTTTTAAATAATTTGTTACCAGAGATTAATAAAAAATATACTTTATTCCTAGCGACATAAATATGACTCCACTGAAATGTTTCTAAGAAAATTTGGTTTGAACTACTAATAAATAATAACACAAACAAATATATTTTATTGGTACTTCCTTATTCCCGTATATCTATACATGCAAAGCCATACAGATAGCCACGTTCACAATTATATTAAAATGATATTAAAAAGTATGTTTTCTTAATAACAATTACATTACATTTGTATTACATTTTTTTATTATTGCTTATTTAAAAGCCACTTATAAATAAATTGAAACATAACGGACGGAAAAATGAGTTATCTGCGAACAGGAAAAACAAGAAAAAAATAAAAATATTACGCCCATCCCAATTGACAGGGTTAAGGAAAAAGTAGTCACGTTTTTCTACAATAATTAAGATGTAAAAACAAGTGTTTTTACCATAAATTGTGGTTAAATATAATAGAAATTTTAGAAACCAACATAAAAAGCATTTTCTTTATACGTATAATTAGTAAAAATCACGGGATCTTACGTTTTATATTTATTTGCTGAGTTCCCGATATTTCGGTAGTGTTTCAACCACCATGATCACGGGTAAAACGGGCAGTTTTAAAACGTGGTAAGATCCCGTGATTTTTACTAATTATAGGTATGATCGCGTCAAGTTTAAAAAAGTATTTTCTTGTTCAACAAAATAGCACTCACAATTAGCGTTTTTAATATAAAATTGAAATTATTTTTATATTATTGACATATAAAAATAATTGCAATTTTCAAATTTATGTATCAGTTATCTAGTATCCCTAACACAAACTTTAGATAGCTTAATTTGGAACTAAATGGCACTATCAGGACAATTAACATTGTTCTGATATTATTATAACAAAAAGAAAGTAGGTACATGTAACCTGTGTATTGCTCTTTTAACTTTACCTTTTTAAACTGTTGTGTGAATACTAGTACATAGGAGTATGTGTTAATACAGTGTACTTTAAATTACTGCTCGTAGATAACGGAACTAGATAACTACAAGAAAAAAGTTCGCTCGATAACCTGCTTATCTAACAGGAAATTAGTTTTCCTCATAGATTTCAATCTCAGAGAAGAGAAGTAGCAAGCGCTATGCAATTTTGTGATGATGTGACAGCTTGTTACATTCAATTTCCCAATTTGGGATAGTGCAGAAGTTCAAATTCAAATTTTGAATATAATTTTTCATGTAGATCTATTACAGACTTATGATATGTCAAATCTACCGTCAGTTCGGAATCATTTCGAGATCAGAAGAACTGGCAAGAAACTCGGCTCGTATTCTTTTCAACAAAATTGCGTACATGTTTACAGTAACTAAGATTCATTTTTAAATTCAAATTTGGGAGAATAGAGTTATCACCAGCATATGCTATTGCTAAAGCAAATAGTCTAATCAGTGTTCGTAACCCGTACAGACCAGTCTCCACATGCGACGTCCGTTCACAAGTATGACGGATGAGCCAGCAACAATGGCACTCAACCATATTAAAGGGAGCACATTGACCCGGCTCACCACACCGCCACAAGTTTGAACTTTATAGCGAGCATGACTGTTTCAAGTCACTCCAGTACGTCATTATTCTTCGAAAATATTAGTATTAAATTAGCAGATAGACTTTCTTAAATAGATAATAATATAATAGAATCGTGGACTCGTCTGCGCTGATGGTTTACGCTGGCGGTGCACCAGTGGAGGATGATAAGATGAAAACAAGGTCAGGTCAGTTAGCCCATCGTGACAAATCTCAATCTTGATAAATTATTGGTGATTTTGTTTGCGACGATTTAAATTTATCATCAATTCATCATTCATCAGCACTAGTGGAGATGATAAAATGAGTTAAATCGTTAACTCAGACCACAATAATCCATTAAAAAAATGTACAGTCATAACAAGCCAATTTAAAATTAATAACACTACAGTAATGGAGGTTAAAATTAATAATTTTATCACAAAGTAAGTTGAGTAGTACCATAACAAGTAAAATTAATTAAGTTGAGTAGCTAGTTTTTTACTGTTTAATAAACTATACAGCCAGCATCATAATACTTACATAAAAGAAATATTGATATTGTCATGCACCAATATACTTAAAAGTTGATTTTATTGTAACTGAAATGATAAATAGGGCACGCCTGATGGTAAGTGGAAGACGCCTATAGGTACGAACCGCACCACAAATATCCTGTCATCATTTTATTATTATATTTTTTTACATATTTTCATTTACATTATTTATAGTATTCATATATATCAATTTATAGTCTCTCGGTATTTATAAAATCCTGGTACTATAATCTGTAACTCGTACTTCAAGTTCCGTTGCTATTCATTTATTTCGTATCATTTTGTACAGTGTTTTTAATTTTGTTTTTAAAACAGGTGAATGTACTCGAGGAGATAGCTGAAAAATAGTGTTTTGCTACATGAGTGATTCTGCACAGTGAGCTATTTTGTTCTGTGCCATTTTGTATTGCTATTGCACGCATATTTTAGTGTGTAATTATTTATACAAAAATAACATCTATTCAAAAGAGCAACACACAAGTTTCTTCCTCGTTCTTCTTGTGACGAATCTGCATTCCGAATGAGTGGTAGAATAAAAAATATGACTAAACAAAAGTGCTTCTATTCAGTTAATTTGAATAATGATTTTTATTTCTATAAAACATCAATCAAACAGACAATCATACAGTAGGTATGTATTCTGCACCGCTACAGTTTAGTACACTGTTTTACTTCCGATGATCGCGGGTACGATTTCTCACATGGTGCAAGCATTTGTATTCATGAATATTATTGTTTGTATATGGTTGTTTTCTATGTATATGGCTCGTCAAATTTAAATCCGCTGACACTAAAAACTGCGTAAATAGTTAGTTTCCAAGTGTTTCTATGGAACCTGAAATGATAAATGATGAGGACATTTTGATTTTCATACAAATTAACATATACTTAGAATAAATAATCAATTCAATATTTAATGATCAATCAACGCTTGATATAATCAGATTTTAAAGGGCCATGTTTACAGCATCATTTATGATGTACCCAAATTCATTTACAAATAAAATATATTATTATGACTGACATTCATTTATTCAATCATCGGAAATGCCGATAACAAACTAAATTAGTGCGAGTGATGGCGGTTGACTGGTCCCCTGTCATGTTGATTCAAATATACATGAAATGTAGCCTACATTTAGTCAGATGTTACCTTCTCAAAGTCGACAGTTGACAATGGCTCTAATTACACGATCTCTGAGTACAGACGTACTATAAATACGTCGTTATATATTATCCTACTAATAATATAAACGTAAAAGGTTTTGAGTATGGATGGATGTTTATTACTCTTTCACGTAAAAACTACTGAACGGATTTTGATGAAAGTTTACAGTAATATAGCTTATAATCAGATTAACTATAAATTTGACGCGGGCGAAACCGCGGGTATAGCTAGTATTGTATATAATAAAAAAATGCATGCCTACTGAGAAACCGTATATTAAAGCGAAGCTTGCTAATGTCACGGTGGCTTAATTATTATGTATATATTTGTCTGTAATGCAAATAAATTACCTAGGTACTTACTTACGGCTGCCCCGATGGTTGAGCGGTTTAGCACATCGCCTTATTTACTACTGTTGCGGGTTCGATATTTATAAACCCAAGACAATTCCGCGCTATCTAGTCCAAGCTAAACAGAGCTTGTGTTGTGGGTACAGACAACTAATAGAATATTTAGATACATTTTTTTTGTAAATACATATATAATATACTTATCTAGAAATATTCAGACCAATGCAAACAATTGTATTCATAAATAAAAAAAAATAAGGAAACGATCCCGCGACCATCGAAAGTATAACGATGTGCTAAACCGCTAGACCAGACAGAGTCAGCCATTACAAACAACCTTCATTCCTCCATAAGAATAGGGGTAGTCATTCGGTAAGTTACGACATTAGTTAGAA